TATCTTATTAAACTAAAACTTTCTCATGGGTATGTTATACAGAACAAAACATATAGGGTCTGATTTCAGGCCTCCACTGGGGGGTCTTGGAGGTCCCTATGGGTGAGAGGGGATTACTGTACATTATTGTCAGGTGAAGAAACTGATACAAGCAGTTGAAGGACTTTGCCTCAGGTCACCAAATCAAGAACTGATGGGACCAGGAGGCAGTTGCAAAATTATGGCCCAAAAGCCAATTCCAGCTTGTGGATGTGCTGAATAACAAAAGTTATTTTAAAAGTCTAGAATTATTTGTTGTTCCTGAGGTTTGAACTCAGGGACTTGCACTTGCTGGGAATTTTACCACTTACTTGAGCCATGCTGCTAGCCCAAAGTTTTGGGACTAAATGTAGATGTTTAAAAATCGGGAGACTTGTAGAAACAAATCCAAATTTCCTAACTCATGAAAAACTATGAACTCTTGTGTGACAGTAACTGGAGCTGCTTCTTAGGTAGGAGATCACCTGGCTAGGGTTGGCCCTCTCTGGGCTCTGAGGCCTTGGGATTTGCAGCGCTGCCTTAATCTCAGGTGTACATGTGAGAGGTTTCCTGCTGTCTAGGAAAGGAAAGGAAGCTTAGCCTGATTCTACTGTGAAGATGTCTACTGTGTTTTAGAGTCTTTGGAGATTAAGTTCATTCACACACAATCACTGGAAAACAAAACCCAGTACATATTAGACTGATAATACCTTTTCTAAAACCAAGCTGTTGTGTACTTTTATACACAATAAAATTAGAGAAAATCAGTTAGACAATCAGTCTTGTCTGCTTTGAGTATCTTTAACATTTTCATTTTTGTCTTCATTATGATGTCAGATCACATGTGCATTTTTTTTATCGTTCATAAAATTATGCCTGTATTTTAATTAGACCTGATTATCATAAACCTTGAAAATCTGTTCTTTTTTTTTAAGTAGCATCAGAAGAGGGGGGGGAGGAGACTAGAAGCATCATTTCCTTTACATCAACTCTAAAATAAGAATAATCCTAGAGATGTTCATATACATATATTCACACATGTAAAAAGTTTGAAAATATTCTAAATTAGACATGCCATAAATGTTAATTTATTCAATATCTTAATATGCTAAACAATGGAATAATGTATAGCTTCTTTGTACAAAACTATTTAGGGTTTCCCACTGCCCTCAGAACAAACTCTTCATGATATGGAAAGTTCTTGCCTCCCACCTATCTGCTTTCAAGTCCCAGAAATCCTCACTAGTTTCTTTCACATGCGCATTTTAAGGTAGGGAAATTTAAAGCGAAAAGCTGTGTTTGGTTTGATATACTGGCATTTGTTTATCCAATAGGGAGTTTCTGCATGTCATTGGCCATTTGTGTTTCTTACATCTTTTACCCACATTTCTTTAGGTAATCCTTTCTTTTGGATTTACAAAAGACTCATAAACTCACAGCTTCTTTACTGCTTATGTCTATCAACTTAATATTTTTTTTGGTCATACAGAACTGTTTGACTTTTATGAAGTTACTTTAAAGAAACCAATTGCTGGCTTTGGAGCTCAGTGGCACAGGTTCTTCTCTCCAAAGACCTTTTTAAAAATCTACTCATACAGTGAGTACTTTTCAGGTTTAATTTCTTATATTTAAATCTTTGACCCAATTGTGATGAATCTTTTCTATTAAAAAAGGGGGCAAGAAATCCATTTATTATTTCAAGCAATTCACCTACTTATTATTATTTACAGGTTAGGTCATATTTTGTTCACTGATTTATAATACCACCTTAACCATTTATTAAATTCTTTCATATATATGAATCTCTTCTTGGAACATTAGTTTTGTTTAATTTTTTTGGTTCATATGCCAATAACAAAATATTTTAATTTTATAATACTGTATTTTAGTATATAAGACTAATAACCCCCATAACTCTCTAACTTTCAAAATTTCTATGTTTTTTTTTCTCCAGGTAAGCCTAAAATTTTTTGTCCCTTTTCCAAAAATATTCAGTTGTTATTTTACCTGTAAGGTGTATCTCCAGTATCTCTCCAAGATTTTACTTTAGGAGGCATGCTTTCTGCTTCCTCCCTCTAGCTGCCATCTTGGAATCTCTTCAGTTATTATTTTAGTTGAGAATAATTTAAACTGATATGTTAAGAAATGAAGAACTGACAGCTCAAAAATATTATAGGCCTATCCAAAAATAAGCTAGATCTATTTTTACATATTCTTTTATTCGTCAGTTTTAAGTACCATTCATTATGATATTTCATGTTTTATTGATATTACTGATGGAAAATGATGTATTACTCTAACTTGGTTTTGGCTGAATATATGAAGATTACAGATGGCTTTATTTACTTATTTATTTATCTAGCAGTGCTGAGAATTTTTTTAATAAGCCAAGTTCTACTAAATTCCTTCATTGCTTCTAATATTTTTAAGCTGATTAAGTTTGATTTCCCAGATCAGACAATCATACAATTAGCGAAACCCTGAAAAATGGCTGGGTTAATCAGTACCACTATCACACTGAGAAAACAGAAGCAAGGTTTCAGTGAACTTCCAGAAGGCTCTCTCTACAATACCAGCATTTGTACTTGAATGGCAGATTTTCCCTTACTCCTGATTTTTTAAAAAATAGTAAGTGAAAAAGGGATTGACTTGATCTCAACCATGACCCATGACGGGGAAAGTCGGAGGGCAAAGTTTGCATTAGGACAGGCTAGGGGGCAGATGACACCATCAGAAGCCTGTGCAGTGGGGAGTCATTGGACTTGTAGACCACTCAGCCCCTGGCCTACCGGGAAAGAAAGAGAGACTTAATCCTCCAACCCTCCACTTCCCATTCCAGTTTATTCCTCCTACACAAGAAGATTGCTTTTACAATATCATGCCTCTTAGATCAGCTTTTTCCCTGCTGAGTTTTTCTACCTACCACTAAACGCACTGTTGTTTTTCTGATGTCAAAACTACATTTTTCTTGACACTTCTCTCCAAGGTTCTCCCATTTCTCTGTTCCCCTTTATTGCAAGACTTCTGCTGTTACCTGTCTTCTCCCTTTTCAGTTCCTCATCTCCATTCTTGCTTTCGTTTCAGAGTACTGCTGCCTCTACCACCTCCAACACAGCTGGTGCTGAGGTCACCAACCATCTGCATATTGCTAGGTCCTGTGGGCAGTTCTCAGTCCTTGTCTTACCCACTTAGCAGCAGAATCTGAAGGTCTTCAAGGGACCAAACTCTCAGTCTTCCTCCAGCCTCACTGACTTCTCCACCCAACTCTCTAGCCCTCCCAACCTCTTAATTTAGGACTGACCCAAGGGTTGACTCTAGGAAGGTGGTCTTCTTTTCCTACCCTGGCTTCCTTGGTGAGTTCCTCAAACTGCATGCCTTAAAACGCTACCTAGGGACCTTTGGGATGTGGCTAATGGAATTAGCTTTCTTGAAAAAAGACCCCAGAAAGCTCGCTAGCACCTTCCACCCTGTCAGGACACAGTAAAAAGATGCCACCTGTAATGAGAGAGACCCCTCATCAGATGCTGAATCTATAGCATCTTGATCTTAGACTTCCCAGCTTCTAGAACTGGGAGCAATAAATTTCTATGGTTTATAAGTGACTCAGATTTTGGCACTTTTGTTATAACATCCAAAACAGACAAAGATGTGGTTGACCGCACTTGTCACTACCCTCCTCTTGTTTAGTTCACTCAAGCTTCACTGGCTTTGGACAGACCAGGTGTAATCTCACCTGGGGCTTTCCACTCTTCTCTGCTCACATCCACATGGTTCACTCCTTCAGTGTAAATCACGCAAGGATTTCTTGACGTCCCTGTTAAAAATCCTCTCCCCTGTTTACCTGCCTTATGTCATGTCATCTGTAGTTGTTATTATTTTGGTGTGTGATGATACATTCTAACTTTCCTTATTACCTGTCTCTAACAATCATGATTCCTGGAAGACAGGAATATATAGATACAAAGTTGTAGACAGACAGTTGTTTCCCACGTCCTTCACTCTGTCACACAGAATAGCAGCTGGCACATAGTAGCTTCTCAATAAATAGTTGCTTAATTTTTGCACAGGCTGATAATAGGAATTTATAGTTATTAATAAAATGTAAGAAAATGCTGGATAGTATGCCACAAACATGCAAGGTACATGGGAGATGCTGAGTGAAAGCATTCTAAGATATAATGATAATATATAAAATATATTGACATAATGGAGGGAGATTACTTATATTAACTTTGAATTTATAGGTCTGCATGGTAAAAAGTAAAGGGGAGAAAAACAAAACTACTTAGCCACTTAAAAAAAATGAAGGTCAAAAAGAAGGAGGAACTATAGAAAGAATAGGACAAATATAGAAAATAAAAAGTAAAATAATAAAATCTAAACATTTCAGTAATCACAATAAATTGAAATGGATTAAGCATCTCCTATAAAAGTGAGGCATGTTTTTGATCAGATAAATGTATAACCAATAAACTATAATGAAATATTCTTTATAAGAAACAAATCTAAAATGTAAGGACACAGAAATGTTGAAAAAATAGAAAGTTAAAAGATATGGCAGGCAAGTATTACTCTAAAACCTCTAGCAATATAAAATGAAACATGAAGACCACTGCAGCAGAGTAAAAGGTTCAATTCTCCTGGAATATTTGACAGTCCCAAAGTTGTGAGCACTGCATAAAGCACACAGTACAAAAGGGTACAATGTAGTAGAAAAGTGGGCGTGTCAGAACAGATCATTCAGGACTATGCTTAAGGTTTGGGGGTGTCATTATTTTTCCTTTCTTGTCTTTCCCTACACTGCAGTCCTCATATCTATGAATTTCAGTTGAAACCCCATGCCAAAGTCAGAGTGTAAATCATGCTGCAATGTCAGTGCACAGCAGGTGCGCACATGTGTGCGCTTCACCCGTGCCTGCCCTCCTCCCGCCACACACCGGGATGCACAGGACAGCCCGTGGGGTCTCCATCCCCAGCCTTACCTGGATGTTGAGCTGCTTGTCGTGCAGGGCCCTCTGCAAGTCCAGGAGGCTCTCTTTGAGCATCCTCAGCTTCGCGGCCAGTTGCTCAGCCTCATCCTTTGTGTGTGCCTTGCCTTCCAGTAGCAGGTTTTCATTGTGGACGGACAGCTGAGAGAGAGCCACCACCTTCTGCTCTATCTCCGCCAGCATTTTCTGCAAGAACAGGAGGGAGGCTCCTACAGCCTCTGCGGGGACTGGTCCCCAAGGCACTGTGCGACCTTCATGGGCTTTCACCCAACCAGCAGGCCGCTGGGATTTTTTGGAGCTTTGAAGAGTAGTTGTAAGGACATTTTTTTTTCTTTAATTGGTTGAGCTTCTTAATTTTTCTTTTTCTTTTTATTTCTTTGGAGATATTGGGGATTGAATTTAGAGCCTCAGGTTTGCTAGGCTGCACCCCAATCCTTTGCTCCTTCAGTTTTGAGGGGACTGGGGTTGAACTCAGGGTTTTGCTCTTACAAATCAGGGGCTCCACAGCTTGAACCACACTTCTAGTTCATTTTTGCTGGTTAATTTTTAGAGATGGAGTCCTGTGAACTATTTGCCCAGGCTGGCCTTATACTTTGATCCTCTTGATCTCAGCCTCCCAAGTAGCTAGGATTACAGGTGTGAGCCATCAGCACGTGGCTTTTAATTTATTTTTGATAGCATCTCATCTGCCCCACTGATTTCAAACAGTGATCTTCCCATCTCTGCCTCCTGAGTAGCTCTGATTTTAGACGTATACCACAATGCCTGGTAATTTTTCTCTTTTCCAAGATTAGATATTTTATAATTAAAAACACATTGGGAAAGAAGCATGGAAGCACATTTGATACAGTCAACAGATAAGGAGAGTGTTATTTCATTCTTACTGTTATTTTATTGTTACAGTGTTATATTATACTCTTAGTTGTGACTAAGAGTAAAAAATATCACAGAATCAACCTTTTCCTTGTTGATCCTTTAAAAGGATCCTCTTTCAAAACTTTGCTTCTCTGGGTTGATTATTTTTCAGGTAGTTGCTCCTCTTTCTTTTTTGAATTTTGTTTTGTTTTGTTTTGGTTTTAGCTTTGTTTTTTTGGGACAGGGTGTCATTATTGGGCTCAGGCTGGGCTTGAACTTATGATCCTCCCGCCTCTGTCTCCTGGGTACTGGGATTATAGGTGTGCACCATTATGCTCAGTTCTCTGGTATATTTTTAACCTTACATTTCCAATTTTTATCTTATTTCTATGCTGGGGTGTTATAGGGTTTTCCTTTATTGTGGAGATCAGTCCAGAGAGCATGCTAAATAATCTCCTCTCGAGGCAAGACCTTATAAAAAACATAAAAGACTAAAAAAAACCCCAAAAAACCAAATAAACAAGAAATAGCTTTATATTCTACAGAAATTATTGTTCCTACTCCTTAACTCTAAACTATTTGGAGTGTACTTTCTAATTATTACTCAATCAAGTGATTTATTAGTGGCAAAGATATTTTATTTTCCTGTACAAAATAAGAATTATTACTGTCCCACCACTTTTAAGAACATGACTTCGAAGAACCGGAGCCAAGTGGAAGAGCAAAATTGTACTGAACTGAAGATCTAGGGCTAATGTCCTTGAGAAGATTTAGGAAGTTAATGAACTTCTGTGCAGGATTTTTCAGTGAGTACAGCAGGCAATGGACTGAGAGCTCGTAAGACTTTCTGAGACACAAGAAGACTTTTAAATTTAATTTCTTTTCAAATATGAAGAAAAAATGAATATAGTGAGGAATTCACTCCAGATCACACTAGTCTTTGTGGGATTTTTTTTTCTTTTAAGGAGAAAGGGACTCCCAAAAGCCATCATGTGACTGACTCTGTAACAGCTACAGCTATAATTATCACACAATGGGCTTTTTTCTAGATTTTCATTGGCTAGATTTTTAACTGGCTTAATATTAGGTTTTTAATGGACTAAGCTTTAACTGGCCTCATTTATAGATTTTATTTGATTTTGAATATTAGAAGGATTGTATGTTGCTTAGTTTCAATTTCATATGCTTCTGGTTTCTTGTAATATGGTCACAATACTAATAGTTTGCAAAAGTCCTGAAATATATTGTCAGAATTATGCATTGGTATAAAAATAGATACACTCAAAGCTGGGTGTGGTGGTGCAGCAATAGTGACAAAAGTTAAAAATGCTAGTTCAGGTGCTCATTTCAAGCCTTAAGTGTTAAAAATAGATTTTTCTTCTCAGGCATGAAACAGCAGAAAAGAAAATTAAAGGAACAGAAACCTCACATATGGCAAGGAATAAAAATGCTTTGAACACACAGAGTTAAATTTCTTAATGCTTTTAAAAACACAAACGATAATAAGCAATATTATGAATTTCAAATTATAAGCAGGAAAGACCAATATGGTGTATTAAGAAGAAAGACCATTGTGTGAGTGTGTGAAGAAGAAAGGCAGAGTTCACTAATTAATGATATTTGCATATTTTATTTCATTCCAGATGGGTGAAATATGAAATTGTGTGCACTGAAATTGAACCCTATAGATTGGGCTGGGTGTTCTAGGCATTTCCTAGTTATTTAATGAAAGAGCTTGTAAAGTACACTTGGAGCTCAATGGCAGACACACAGTTTATTGCCAACTGCTATAGTTTGGACCTGCAACGTTCCCTGGAGGATCACATGTCAAAGGCCTGGTCCTCAGTTTGCTACTGGAAAGTGGAGGAACCATTAAGAGGGTAGATTTAGCAGACGGTTTCAGGTTATTGGAGGTGTGCTCACTAAGTGAATTGTGCACACTGGTATCTTTGTCTCTCTCTTCTACACTCAGTCATGAGGCAAACAAGCTTCCTTTTCCATGTGTTCCTGCCATGATGTACTGTGCTGCCACAGGTCCAAAGCAATGGGGTCTGTGGTATGGGATGAAATCTCTCAAACTGTGCCAGGATAAACCTTTCCTCTTTTTTGGTATTTTGTCACAGCAGCAGAAAGCTAACACATGTATTCTTACTATATGTATTTAGAAATTTCCATGATAAAAGGTAAGAAGAAAAATATTAGAATAAAAACCTTATACAACTACCTCTCACATTAATTCCTAGAGACCTAGCATGGGAAGGAAGTAAACTCTTTGCTTCAAAGACACCTGTGGTTAGCCAGGCAAGGTGGGGCATACTTGTAATCCTGGCACTCAGGAGGCAGAGGCAGGAGGATCTAAAATTCCAGGCTGGCTTGGGCTGTGAGTCTCACAGCATCACACCATCAGTCTCTCTGTCTTCCTAAAAACTGATGGTTGGAAAAGTTTTACAACTAATGTATCAGGACTAGAACCAAAATAAGAAAACAGCCTGGAGGGGTGCTTCCTGCTGGGCTTATTCACAGCTTGACTCACTGTCAGTAGTCCTACTTGTTGGCTTTGTGTTTCTTTTTAACTACTAAATATACACACCATAAGTATTTTGGTGCCTATGGTCTAACACTGTTAGAAACTGAACATTTTTGAAAGAGCAGATACTATGTTTTTAAAAAAAGAAAAAAAACCAAGTCCAAGTTTGGAAACCCAAACTTTAGCTTTATAGTGTACAGCTTTTCTATTCTCTAAATGTACAAATCTGTGGGTTGTGAAAAATCATATATTATACAAAGATTTTTTACCAGTACATCTTCTAGACAAAATATACTCTGTGAGGCTGACACCTTCCTGGGGGACCATTTCTGTACCTGGCAATCCACCAGCTGGGCCTCCATGTCCATGGGCTCCTGGGGTGTGCCAAGCGCTACGTCCAGAGTGGCTTTGGTGCTCAAGAGCCAGTGGTCCAGCTCGTCAGCCTCACAGCGATACCTCTGCAAGGCTTGCTCCTGTCTCTGCTCCTCCAGCTGATCATTTAGCTTCTCCTAAGGAATTGAGTTGAATGTGACACAGGTCACTGGGAGGTGACAGCTTAAGAGTCAACACAATAGAGCAGTCGTCTCAAGCCTTCCTTGCATGTCAGAATTACTGGGAAACTTTTAAAAACAAACCTGTACTTAGGCAACATCTCAGGACACAAACTCAGAATTTCTTGGGGCTGTGTATCAACATTGGAAATTTTGAAAGGATTCCCCAGTAATTCTCAGGTGCCTTAGAGGTCAATGTGACACCTCAAAGAATCTCCCAGAAGATTAGGAAGTCAAGGATTAGAACCAATGACAAAAGGCACTGGTGGATGGCAATAGACCTGAGCTCAGTATCAGCTGCAAGGCCCTGAGACAGAAGGAACCAGACCCTACTGAGGTCTCCTGAGGCCTGCAGCCTAACCAAGTTATAGGAGTGATGATGGGAACATCGGTATGTTTAGAGCCAACAGTTATGAGAATAAAAAAATAGCTGAGTTTTTTAACACAGACATTATCGTAGTCAAAATTTTGTCTATCAAATAGTATTCAAATGAAGGGTTATGAGAACCAGAGTGGCAAGACTGTGTTCATGAATGTCTATGTTTGGACTGGCTCACAGTGTTTTTTGGGATTTATTCTTGATAGTATTAGCACTGTCGTTGATTGAAGGCTCTTATTTAAACACAGCAAACCATTATGCAAATCTGCAATTACTTCTCGCAAGGCTCCGCCTACCAATTACTTGCTTTTCACAGCTTTCTTAGCCGGTCCCACTTGGAGTGAGTCAGCGAGGGAACAAGGACAGATTCATAGTCACACACTGACCTCACTCTGTTCTCCAGACCCTGCTGGAAACACAATACCAGCTGAAGCAGGACTTTAAGAATTACTTCAGAAGCAAGGTCAACCTAAATTCCTGGCTACCTCCAACAGCTGCCTCTTCCCTGACGCTTTCATCCTGATGGTGGACATCCGCTCGGCCAGGACAGTGAGTGTGGACTGCAGGGCCAGCTGCTCGGCGGGGTCGGACTCCCGAGATGCGGCCACCAGCTCCTCTGCAAGAGACGACTGGAGCCCGTTGATCTCATCCTGCAGCAGGAGGATCTCATCCATCAGCGCCTGCAGGGAGGAGAGGGCCAAGGGTCACTCGAGGATGTGCTCCTAAACCAAGGAGTCTTGGCCCACCTGCATCCCACATCCGCTGAGACTAGTGCAGGCCTTCATTTGGACATCGCTTAACTGGCACCTGGGGGCTACCCACTGAAGTGTCAAATGATAGACTGAGTATGCCACTATCTTAAGTGACTTAGAACAAGTCAGTAGATCTTTCTGGTTTCCAAAAGGCTCACGAGAGGGGTATGTTGAATTACATCAAAGTCTTTGATCCCATGCCGAAAATCAAGTTTGTCACTCCCATGTTATATAAGCTGGAGAAATCTGTAGCTTTCTTCTGTGTTGTGACACTGTCCTCATTCTTCTCCTTTTTGATCCAACTCTAAAATGTGATTTCCAGACCCTCTTAACTCTCTCCACAGTCTGTTCCCCAGGTTTCACGTGCTTTCTAGTGCTGGGCTGTCACTAGAAAGCTTTGGACAGCTTCCGAAGGCTGTCCAAAATCTTAGGATTCTGCATTCAACTTATATAGCTTATGGGTATTTCTATCGTGTTATATTGGTAAATAAAAAGTACAAGAGGTTGGGGCTGGGTACAAGCTATTTGGGAGGCAGAGATAGAAGTATCACAATTTGAGGCCAGCCCATGCCCCCACCCCCAAAAAAATGCTCTCAAGACCTTTTATCAAGCTGGATGTGAAGGTAACTACTTTCCTGTTACTTGAGAGGTGTAGGTAGAAGAACTGTAGTCTGAGTCTGGCCTGGGTAAAAGCACAAGACCCTATCTGAAAAGCAAACTTGAGAAATGTAAAAAGGGATGGGAGTGTGGTTCAAGTGGTAGAATGCTTGCCTAGTTAGTGGGAGGTCCTGAGTTCAAACCCCATACTGCTGGGGACAAAGGCGAGAAGAATTTATAGGAGGTCATCATTGTGGACGAGGCTCCTGCTCTCTGGTCCCCAGTTTCAACCAGCATGGCAATGATATTCTCTGTGCTTTAATACTTACACACAAGAAGTGACCTAAAGGAATTTTATATCAGCCAAGTGTTTTTCTGTTCTGACTCCGTGCCCTTGGCTTACAAGGACAGTAACTTTGAAATAACTGATCTGGTATTTGCTTCTTATTTCTGCTTTTTATCTATCAGCCCTTCCTGGTCTACAAAACCAACTTCTGCTCAACTCATTGGAGCACTGATTGTATTTTATGGCCTGAACCATTTCCCAACTCTAGAATCAAAATTAAAGCCAATTATTATCATTAAACTCAGTTGTGATTTTGTCCTTTGACAGCCTCAAGCCTGCTTCCTCCCTGTCTTCGACCATTCCTTCCTTACTGCTCAAGATAGAGAGCCAGAAGTCCTTCCTCCCACTGTCCTCTCCTCCATCCAAATCCTACCCCACCAGAATACACCTTGTATGTCTGCATCCCCACCCAAAGTCAAAGTCCTCCTCCTCGTACTGCAGGCTGCACAGAAAACACTGTGCCTCCTCACAGTGCTCGATGACTGTTAAAATCCAAAAGAACCACAAAAAACCTTCTATCTCCCAATACCCTGTCCTGTCCAAGTCATTTGAATAGACAGTTACACTGGCATTATCACACACATCCAGAAAAGTACACAAAGTGAGGATGTACATCTCTGTGCTGCCATCACCCACATCAAGAAATAGAGCCTTCAGGACTCTACGCCCCCCGGGACCTCCTCCCCGAGGTGATTCCCCTCCTTTCGAATTATTCTGTTGAAGAGAGTAAACGCCATCGATGGCCCTGGGTTATGCTTCAGCATTAAGTGGAGGAAACTACACAGGACGCACTGTTTTATGTCTGGCTTCTTCACCTCCTACCACAACTGTGAGAGCTGTTCATCCTGTGCAGTAGACAGGGCTACACATGTTGGCGGTTGTATTATATTCCACCGTCGACTGCCCTGTGGATCTGCAATTTAGAACTTTCTAGTGGGTAATCCTGAGTGTAATCTCATTGTACTTAATTTGCATTTTCTGATGACTATTGAAATTTTTCAATATGCTTTTGGCCATCTTTGTGGCTGCCTGCTAAAACTTTTTTGTCCATTGTCTTTTTTTTTTGCAGGACTGCAGCTTGAATTGAGGGACTCACACTTGCTAGGCAGGTACGCTACCATTTGAGCCACTCCAGTAGCCCACTTTTTTCTTTCACCTATTATTTTACTGTATCATCATTTCTCTACGCAAAGGGTCTGCACAGGGTGACTCTGCACAGGGTGACTCTATTTCTGCCCTCTACTTCTGTCCCATTGACCCATTTGGCCTTCTGTGTAAAGAACACACTACCTCAATTCTTAGAGTTTTATTATTCTTGCTACCTGCTAGGATACGTCATTTCTCAACTTTACTCATTTTCTTCAAGGTCATCTTCAGCATTCTTTCCTCTTTCCATTTTCAATACATATTTTTCATATGTTTGCAATATATCTTATAGTTCACTTATTAATTTCTACCAAAAAAAGCTTGCTGGGATATATTTTTGTTGTTTGGTTTTTTTTTTTGTTTTTTTGAGACTGTCTCCCTGTGTAGCTAGGTTGGCCTTGAACTTGCAACCTCCTGCCTCTACCTCCCAAGTGCTGAGATCACAGGTCTGTACCACGTCTTGCTGGGATTTTAAAATCAGATTCCATTAAATTTACAGACTGGCTGCCCTTATAATTCATTTAAGGTACTTTTTGCCTAGTAACTTATTTTAGATTATTTTTAATCATTTATTTGGTACCTGATTGACAAAAATATAAAATCTATATTATTTGGTCTGAATTTAAAGCCTCCTCTGTAATAATACTCACCTCTTTCTCTCTCTCTTTCTCTCTCTGCATGGATCCTTCCATATAAACAAGAAAAGCCTCCTTGTGTTGTGATTTCACACCACGCTCTGTCTCATTCTCTCCCAGTGCCTTTCCACACATGCTTACATTTATAGTGCCTCCTACCTACTCCTGCTGCCACTCAAAATTTTCAAAGTCACTGTCTTTCCAGATCCTGGCCAGATCTTATTTCATTTATCCTCTCCCTCCACAGTAGCCCACAGTCACATTCTGTTTTCTTTATTTAGTGTGTTTGTCACCTACATCTGCAGGCTTTTAAATTGTACATTAATGAAAACCTTGTCTTTTTGCTGTGCACGTTGTAGACATTCAACACATCTAATTGAATTTAATTAATTCTAATTCACGAGAGATAAAATGATATCTGAATCACACATGAATCCACCAGAAAAAAGCATACTTTCTTTAGTCTCAGTGACTTGGTCATCCAGGTGTGTGGTGAAGTAATTACATCCACTTCTAATTCACACTGTCCCATGAGAACTTTTACTTTCTGAGTGTTCTTTAATGAGGAATGAGGGACTCAGCACTCTAGAACCACTAGTTTTCTTCCTATGTGTATGTGTGCAAGAGTGTATGTGTGTGAGTGTGTGTGCAAGTGTGTATGTGTGTGTGTGTGTGTGTGTGTGTGTGTGTGTGTGTGTGTGTGTGTACGAGGAGTTGTCTCTGTTTCTGCTTTAAGCTCACAGGCCAAGCTCAATGGGCCTGGGGTTTTATTTGGAGTGATTCAAGCATTTTGGAACAAGATAGAGTAGAGGCTGTATGAAATGAATGTTTTAATTGCCACTGAATGGTACACTTTAAAATAATTAATTTTTATGTTATGTAGATTTCATTTTAATTAAAAATAAGATTTCACAGTCAAAATATGCCTTCATTTCCGTGATTCTGAGTAGAAGATTCCAAAATAAGCAAAGGAGATGAAATGCGTGTCTCTGGATTTCTGACTGGTGATAACCAGGAAGGTCTGGGCCTGACAGCATGTGGTTTAGAGTAGTGTCTAGCGATGACATGGGATTAGAAGGGGGTGAGGAAGTGCTGGGGGTGGGATGGGAAAAGGGAGGCTGGATTTGATCAGTGTGGGTTATCTGCACGCTATAGAAATCACACTGAATCTCATTCCTGTGTGCAATTAGTACACAATGAGTGCATGCTAATCATTTTTTTTTTTACTTAAAGAGGAGTACTTTGAGCTTTTCAAAAACACACAACTCTTTAATATTACAGGCAACACATGGAGCTCACTCTCAGTTCAACATCACATGCAAACAGTAATCTCATGTGGACTCTCAGAACTATCTACACCAAACACAGTTCTCTTCACGGCCTATTTGAGTTGCTACATATATTAAAAACAAAGCCAAAAACAAAATAAGCTCAGTGCTCTGCCTACTATCTATCACTAAGCTGAGTGTGGAATGGCCAACCAGCTCCCAGAGCTCCACATCCACCCAGAACAACAGCCATCGTCAGCTTCTGATGCACTCAAGTCTTAAAATTAAACCCATCACACAAGGAAGAGATAATAAAGGTCAAAAATGCCTAGTCCTCCTTTTAAATTTAGTGCATCTAGACCAGTGCTTGGAGGAAAACTAGGAATTCAGTTAACTCTTTATAAGAAGCAATACTTTCAAAACAGCATGTCAGGAAAGAAGTAACAATTGAAGTGTCTCTATTAATTTTTCAAATATAAAAAGCATACTGGACTTTCTTACCCCCATGCAGTTGAAATTTAGAAGCAGCAATTCTATAATAGTACTCAGAATTTTTAAAGTACCATTTTAGAAGACAAGAACAAATTTAGATATTGTGATACAGTTGCTTTTCATGTGGGCAGCTCTGTCCCAGAATTTGTGGAACTTAGGCACAGACAGCAAAAGTTAGCAAAAATAGCTCAGATGGAAAATGTGACGAATATGCAGAATCATACCGAATTAAACACTCTTTATATATTTCTCCTTCCCATTAAATCATTAATATCATTGTTAAGCCCGCTGTGTGATGGTCATCATTGAACTGGCTGCATCTTCTCATCGCCGTCCTTATTTAGAAGGACAGAGTCATGTGGCTTGCCCTCATTACAAGAAAAGTCACAGATGCCCTACCAATTTACACCACTTAGCAATCATGTGCAATTTCAGTTTTCTCCATTAAATCTTCTAAACAAAACAATAATTTTGCTCTCTATCCTGCTCATGTGTACTTTCATACTAATGACTGGGAGCTAATTTGCATATTCAATTAGGAGCTCTGGAGCCTGAGTCAACAGGACTTTCCCTGCTTGCCTGCAGTTTCTAACTCATGAGGGAGCCAGTGAAGGGGCTTTAGCAGCTGTGGTCAGTCACCTGGGCCACCAGGATGATGGATGGACCCTGAACAAAAGTAGAGATGACCTGAAGGCAGAGAGAAAAACAATTTCAACCTCCCCCTTGGCATTGGCTGATGCTCTTTGGAGTGACTGACCCTCACATTCACTGTGATGCAGCCATTGGAGGGTTTATGCTGCCTTGCTTTTTGCATGTTTGAAGGAAGTGACCACTGAACAGACTGCCCATCAAAGTTGGTCTGCAGAGCTATAATCAAACAGTGGCAATGTTCTCCCCTCTTCCAGGTACCATGAAGCCAAGGTTCAGGGGACAACAGAGCAGATACAACTGTGCAACCCAGAAAAGCAAGGAGTGACAGGGAGCATGCTGGCACAACAAGGCCAGGTGAGAATGGAGTGACTGTCCACAATGAGAACACCGAAGCTGCAGTTAAAGAGAACAGGGTGATGCTGAGGACTTTCCCGAAGGGAGAGGGGCATTTGGAAGGGTAGCAGTCTAGTCAGGAAACAAGTGGAGCTCAGAGGGAAAGAGCACTGCAATAGTCACCTAAGTCCCTGAGTGTCATCGTGATTGGCCTGGTGTAGGAAGACAAAGGTCAGTTTAAATTTCATACTTCTGCCATACTGTTCCCAAACCTCATGGATTGTGGGTAACTTTGGATGGCAGAAAGTCTTTCGGAAGGTGGATGATGAAAGTAAGTTCTAAAAAATGGATTCAATGCATGTCCTGTTGATGTTTATCTGAAGGAGATACAAGGGTGCCCCAAACCTGAAACCACTATCTCTCAACATGCTATCTTTAGGTGAAACGTCCTCATTTTTGTGTTATACAAAAGGGCCTAGATTGCAAAAGAATTCAATCGTATCCAGCTCCCCATATGAACAAGCAAGGTAGTTCAAGGTCGTCCTGGCTTCCAAAACCAGAAAGATGTAGAGCGAAGAACACAAGTACAGAGTTTCACTGCATACACACACACACACACACACGCGCGCACACCGTACTGGCGACTGAACCCACACGCTAGGCAAGCACCTTGCCACTTGACCCACACCTGTAGCCCTTTTGTTTGCATTTTGTTTTTGAGATAGAATCTCCTAACTTTGCCGGCATTGGCCTGGAACTCTTGATCCTCTTGTCTCTGCCTCCTGGGTAACTGAGATTACAATCATGCACCACCACACCTGCCTTTTTTTTGTTTTGTTTTTTGCTTTTTTGGTAAGACAGGGTCTATCTATATGATCCAGGCTGGAACTTGTGATCCACTTGCCTCAAACTCCTTAATGCTGGGATTATAGGCCTGCACCGCCACACCTGGCTTTTGTTTTTTATAAACAGCTCTTAATTAATATTTAAAGATATTTTTCTTTTCCTCTGCCTTTTGTTGGGTTGTCACATGCCTCCTTAGGCTGCAATCAAACCACAAAAATATGATTGTGCTAATGGCATGCTTGACAGCATGGCTAAGGTGCTAAGCACATTTGAACATCAGAACATTTCTTGGCATGCATTTTAAAGTTATGCACTTTTAACCTCTTTCTGAATTACGTTAATGAAATCAGCTCTGTTCCTCATAAAACTAAAGCTTTTTCTAGCTTACATACCTTTAAAAAATGATTGAAGTCAAAACAATCACAATTACCACATAGAATTTAGAGGGCTGGGGGCTTGGCTCAAGTGGCAGAGCACCTAGCAAACTCAAGGCCCTGAGTTCAAACCCCAGGGTTGCCAAAACAAACAAACAAATATAGAATTTAGAAAGCTAAGACTTATTCTGAATGGATAATGGGGAGAACACACATGGCTAATTCCCACATAAGGAAGATCTGGGGTATATTTTACTCTTACAATGATGGCTCACAACAAAATCAAAACAATTTTGCAGCTGTAAGAAAATGCACTTTGTGTAAGAAAAGTCCTAAACATATACCCATGCAGATAGCTTTTAAAAATTAGAGTCGAGGTCCAGTTTTCATTTTCTCCTTCTTTGATTCCCCTTTGTAGCAAAGGTGGAAGTGATCCCACTCCCCCACAATGGAATCTTGCTTGTTCCACAAGAACTGCCAACTGGCAGCTCTGGAGAACACAGGCTTGACAGGCCAACCTAAGAGCACACCTATTCCACCATGCAGGGAGCTGAATTCACAGATATTTTTACCTGATGTTCAGCCATCTGGCTTTCCGGGCTCCTGCCAGGCTGCAGACTCTCACTCAGCTTCATCTCCAAGGCCTCCATTTTTGTGGAGATGGACTGGAGGGAGTCCTGGTACTTCTGTTGGCGTTCCAAAGCTTCATAGAGGGTGCGCTGCTTTTCACTGATCTGAACAAGAAAAGAGATCTTACCAACAGTCTGTTACCTCTTATCTTCCAGATTGCAACACTTCTTTCCTCATTGCTTCACAAAAGGGTTTAGTGCTGGATGTGTAACTCCGTGTGTGTTTTGAAAGATAATACCTCAGGTGATGGGAGTATGGGGAGCCTAACCAATCCCTGGCTTTAAAGGCTTACCACATTTTTTAAGGTTTCCCAAGAGCGCTGCAAATCACCCAGTTTGGTGGTGGCAGATGGCTCTAACCCTGGTTCATAGAACTCCTGGGAGGCTGTTGTGCTAGGGTGAATCCTTGCAGCATCCAACTGTAGTCTCTCAGCAGACAGGGACTGGTAGTAAGCGATGTCCTGGGAGAAGAAAGCACAGGATTGGAGTAAAAATGAAGACAAGAGTCCAGATCAACATATTCCAGGAACTATGTGTGGTGTGGACCAAAGGTCAGGTCTACAAACCAGAGACATCAGTGACATTCTTGAGACAAGAAGAATTGAAAAATACCAAAGCATGTTACAATAATTTTTAAAAATTTTGGTTTATAGTTAATACATTAAGTTTGCCAATATTTCAAGTGGCCAAAACTCATTCTTGGGCATGGTAGCTCATGTCTGTGATCAGGAGGATCAGGGTTCAAGGCCAGCCCCGGACAAAAAGTCAGCAAGACTCCTCTCAACCAATAGGTGGGGGTGGAGGAGTGCACCTGTCGTCCCAGCTATGTAGGAGGTGTAAATAGGAGGATTGTAGCCCGGGTTGGCATAAATGTGAGACCCTATCCCTCGAAGGAACAAAAGCAAAAATGGCCCAAGCAGTAGAGCACCTGCAGAGTGAGAGTGAGGTCCTGAGTTCAACACCCAGTGTCACCAAAAAATTCATTCTTATTTTGTATTCGATAAATGGAAATACAAAGATTGTAAGTGGTATTTAAAAACTGAGTAACTAATACAGCAAAATAAGAGAAGTAAATGATCCAGTTCCTAAAATGTACAATATCCTGACTGACATTCTAAAACATTTTCTAAGTATTTGATTAAAAAAACTAAATCTACAGACACCAACTGTGTAGAGTAGCCAGATCGTCACCGTTTCTAAATTCATTATTTACATAGATTAATTAAAATACTTTAATATTAAATAAGGTAAAATGTAATGAGGAAATTCAAAATACTCAAACAAATGAAAAGTTTTCCTTTTATTCATTTCAGGCTTTTGAAGTTTTTTAATCTCTCAAGTTATAAGTAACATTACATATTTTATTACTATTTTAATGAAATTTTCCATACCCAGACATATAATTGATGTGTTTTAGTAGTCTTTTAGTGTATCTATCTGTATCTCAACAGAAGCTGAATTGGGAAAGCAGTATTTAGTCCGTGAGTTGCTATTTTTAAATTTCATTGCTTTTGCAGTTGAGGATAAGTAGGTCAACTTGAGCAGAGTGGCTCAAGTGGTAGAGTGCCTGCCTGCCTAGCAAACATGAGGCCCTGAGTTCAAACCTCACTATTGCCCAAAAAAAAAAAAAAAGAACAGAAATGAAAAATAAAAGACCTGAGTCTTTCTGATACACATATATTGGCAAAAAATATTGAAGAAGGTTTTAGCCATATGGAAAATCACCAAAAAAATAGCAGAAAGTGAGTTTTTTTTTGGTGGTGGTGAGGGGGTTCTAGTCTATAAGAAGGCAAAAGAGAGGTGGGTGACAGAATGAGGTCAGCCTGGGAGTGAGGACCCTGCAGGTTCTAGCTGAAATTTTCCTAAGAAGCTATAGAATTGCAGCAGGTAACCACTGTCCTGTGCACAGGTTCAATACTGGGTGCTTCTGAAGACAAAGTGAAATCATGCTTGGGTGACTGTGACACCTTACTGTTCTTGCTGAAGCTTCCAGACAAGTCCATAACATTTATTGATGACATGTTAACATGGAAACTGGTTCCTCTTATTTCCTTACCTGGTCACCATCTTGATCAATGCAAATTTATTTTCCAGAGTGCATGTGTGTGTGACACACACACACACACACACACACACACACACACACACACACGCACACACACACAGGAAGCCATCAGGAGCCATCCTTGCAGCATCTCAAATGTTCACAAGTGTATCTGTGTTCAGACTCACTCTTACCTCAGGCTTTCCAGTTTCATTGGTTAAGGATGACCCTCCTGTCTATCCCCCAAGTGCTCTCCAAGGCCCTTGGTCCATGCTATCCTCTCCTCTGTCCTTTCTCCTCAGCATATAAACAGTCAGCAGTTTCCCATCTGAAAACACCTAGACACACTTTTTATTTCTGTTGATAGCACAGTTTAGAAAAGTCCCAAATCGCAGCATGTTCAATTGTCACTTGTAAACACACGTGCTCACACAAGTTTAACCCTTATTTCTTTCTTTTCTCCCTCTCACTTCATAACCCAGCCTCTGAGAATGGCAGTTTTATGTGCATGCTCACTTATGTACCCTCAGTACCTCTAAATACCCAATCTCAATCCACAGTCATTAGTGGGTTCTCATCCCCATATGAGGATTTGAACCCAGGGCCTTGTACCTGAGCCATTCTCCAAGCTCTTTTGTTCATAAGAGGATCTTATAACTTTCCTTGGGGTTGGCCTCAAACTCAGTACCTTCCAGCCACCATTCCCAAGTAGCTGGGACATGTGTTACCATGTCTGGCCAGTGGCTTCTTTTCTATGAGAGAAAATGGTTACTTTTCATCCCTCCCCTTGCTTGGCCTCTCCCTGGTGTTCAGTAGCATGGCCATCCCCTTTGGGGACACTTCTCTTTTAATCTCTCTGTTCTTTCTCTGACTTTCTAGTCATTCGATCTTTCCCTTTTGCAGTTTTGTTGTTATTGTTGCATGTGTTTTGTTTTGTTTTAGGGTTTGAGACAAGGTCTGACTATTTAGTTCTGGCTGGCCCTGAATTTGCCATGTAGCTCAGGCTGGCCTCAAACTCACAATCCTTATGCCTCAGTTTCCTGAGTGCTGGAATTATAAGTATACACTAACACTCCTGGCTTGGAGTTCGCTTTTCTGCTAACTCTTCAATATTGGTGGGTTTATAAGCTCTACAAGTTCATCAAACTCAGTATTAAAAAAAAAACATAGGATAACAAATGGATTCAGGAAAAAATGATAAAGTCTCATTCGTCTCTCATTAAATGGACTGTCTACCCGTCTAAGCTATACATTTGGGATTTATTCTGGATTCCTTCTGTCCTCACTGCTTATGTAAGGATGACATTCCACTGGCACACACACTCTTCCCATATCCTGGGTGGAAGCTCTCACTCCGGCGACATCATCTAATCCAAAGATTGCAGACTAGCAGCTTGCAGGCTTCCTCAGGCCTGCACACTTTAGTTTGCCTTATATAGTGTCTTACATTTTTTAAAATTTACCTTCATTAAGATAGAGAGATTTTGTAAAAAAATTCAGATTCGTGACTTCTCTTGCAAACCAGAAGGATCAGTGTCACTGCGCCCTGTGTTTATGTGGATATAGTTACTTTAACAGAGGTCACCTCATTTACGTAGGGCAGGTGCTATCCAGGTCCCTGCAGTTCCTCCTGGGCTGTTCTCTCATTTATATCACATGGATAAGCCAGGGGTGAGAGTGTGCCACTTCTGTCTCTATCTTCCTGGCTCTGAATTTGCCCACCTCCATCCTACTGTATCTATTAATTCAGAATGATCTCTGTAACACTCAGTTCTGTGCAGGGCTGCTAGCTAAACTCCTTCCACGGTGTGGCATTCCAGGTCCTTCATGGTGCACTTTCTGCATCTGCCACCGCTCTCCCCAGGTCCCATGTCCACATTCCCCTAACCTATACTTAGACTGAAACTATTTGCAGTTGCCTGGGTGGGCCATTTTTTCTCCTGCCTCCACTGCTTCCCACACGGTTTCCTTTCTACCTGAAACTTCACCTGGCACCACCCTAACGCCTTCCAATCGCTGAACCTCACACTTCCCTTAAAGCTAAAGGGACATGGTTGCCCACACCTGAAGTCTACTTGGCTTCCTGTGTCCTCTCAACACTCCCTGTGCTTTTCAGCCATCAGGCCACTTGTCACACTCCAGTCTCATCTTCTGTCCTGTGTTTACAGACTGTGAGCTTCTTAAAGATGTGGCAGTGCCTACAATCTTGCATCCTAAGCACACACTAGTGTTTGACAAATAACAACCAGGTATGTTTGTGTGTAACAGATCATGTGTGTAAAAATCACTCTGTAAACTTTAGCATTTTCTATACATAGAAGGTAATATAGTAGTCTCCCTTAGCCACGGTTTTACTCTTTGCCATTTCATTTATCTCAATCAACCACAGTATGAAAATTTTAAATGGAAAATTCCAGAAATAAACAATTCATAGGGTTTAACTAACTTTTATTAGTTTATTATATTGTTGTTGCTGTCGTTAATCTCTTACTGTGCTTAACTTGTAAAATGACTTTATCATAGGTTTTTATGTGCAGGAGGAACTATGTACAGTTTGGTACTAGCTGTGGTTGTTGGCTTCCCCTGGCGTTGGAATGTATCCTTCATGGATTGGATAATGGTGGACTATTGGATTATTATTGTCCACAAGGAAAAGCAAAAAATGCCTTTTAAATGTTGTTAATCAGGCTGGGGGCATGGCTCCAGTGGTAAAGTGCCTGTCTAATAAGCATGAGGGCCTGAGTTCAAACCCCAGCACCACAAAAAAAAAATAATAAATGTTGTTAATCTTTTTAAATGAATGTGCCACTATAAATAAAGACCCCCAAAAGAACTATAATAATTTTTTTTTGCCAGAAAAACTTTTTTCTGGCTCTCTGTTGTATAGGTGTCTGATGGCTACACACTGGAATGGCACTTTCTTTCTTGAAAGGATTTGAAAATCTCTTACCTTTTGTGAATAAATAACTTGCTTCTGTTGGAAGGCTTCATAAATTCAATAGCATAGATCCATAGTGCTATAAATAACCACCATAGTCAGCACATGGTGTCGTGAGGAGTCACTCTTGGAAACCTGTCTCTAGTTGCCTATGCGTCTGAGTTAGGAGTGATATTAATAGATTCCTAAGGATAACCGTAGCTGCTATTTGATCTGCATTTTCCAGTTTAACAAGTACTTTCCTGACTAACAATCACATCTCATTTTCACTCTTTTGTGAATTAAGTAACATTGCTTCCCATGTAGAAGGAGGGCATCAAGGGACTTCCCAGGCACACAGTTTAGAGGAGGAAGGACTGTGGCTCTGTGGAGCTTCTGACCTGGAGACCAGCAGTTTTACCCTTGTGCTATAGCTCCTTCAATTCGATGCGTCTCTCAACTCTTCCATGGAGTCCATGTCCTGACTTGCATCCCAGGGGAGCAAGCAACTGCAGCAAATTCTGGGGACATCTCATTGTTTCTATCCCTGGTAGCTACATGCTGCTTTCGAGTGGGATCAGCTCCTTGTGTAATGGAGATGTACTTTCAGAACCAGCAAGCCAGCCCTTCCCAGCTGCGACTTTGTAAAGCAGTTATATTTGGCTGTTCCTTGAAACCCGCTGTGCACAGGGCTTGGACTCTGAAAACTGGAACTTTAGGGGATTCTAAATGTTCTCTTAAGTTTGAAGAGACAATTTTTGTAATCCACGGTCCCACTGGCCACATTGTCATAGTTTTCATTGCTTTCTGATTTATATTGCTATGCAAGGAAAATAAGACTATGATATGGGAGTCCTTTGTTTGAGCAACAGCAAGCATGCCATTGGCTTTTAAAAGCGTCCTCCCAATAAAGTTGCCTGACCTAGGCGCAGTGAGGACATTGCCCCGTAACTTGCAGTACCACATAGCAGTATATCATCCCAAGGATGTGGTTTAATTATGTTTGCCTGTGACCAGGGGAGAGTTGTCACAAAGGGACCCACGCACAGATTAAGCTTTATGGCTAATGACAAGTAATAATAAAAATCTTTGCATGCTTTGTAATTCACTACACACCTCATGTGTCCAGTGGAGGTTTATAATTTGAGAAAGGGTGTATTCTTTCCACAATGTTAGTATCTTGAGACTAAGTATTTATTATGCAATCTGCGAATTTTAAGAACATTAAGTATACCATATAATTTTTTTTTCAATTCAATATTCAGCTGACTATAGTCCAATTTCCTGATTCTAATAACATCTGTCACTATAGTGAAAAATGTGTCATCGAAAGATGAGTAATAAATATTTTAAAATCAGAATTTAGAGAACAAGTGGCCAGAAACTACCAGGGTTCCCTGAACCTCTGTTTTTTAATTTCACCTGATCTCTTTGTTATCATTTATCCCATGTTAGCTTTTCTACCTGGAGTATAAGTTCCTTGTGGGTGGGGCTATTGTCACTCTGACTAGGTTTGTCCCCTGGATCCAGCACAAAGTTTTGTGGCATGTAAGTGCTCAGAATGCATTTGATGAATGGAAGAGTTGCTAATTTCCCTAGAACTGTATTGATTTTTACCAAGAGAATTTTACTACCTGAAAAACATCATCCCTTTTTATTGGGAGGAATGTTCTCTTTATCATAGAAGTCCTATTCTGAATGCTTTGTCTTTAAAATAAGTGATATGACTGATTTATAGCATAACTTATAAAACACTTGCTCTGTTTACTGCCTCTTCCTGGATAATACATCTCAACTCTTTTGAACGCTTACATAATTTCATAGTAATGCAATAAAAACATTTTTAGCTGTTTTGGCTTAAAAATACACTGTCATTTAACATGCATCAAAGGGTTATCATAAAAGCGTCTTTTTGATTTCTATCCAATACTTCTCAGAAAATGTTTCGACATGTAATTTAGAAAAATCTACATTTGATGTAATGCATGCTAAAACACATCCCATGACAAGGTACTATCTTCATTCTTTGGAAAATAAAAGCGTAATATAATGAACGCAAACTTTCCATATTCAAAATCTGAGCAGATAAACATCAACACTATGTTCAATGAATATGAAAATACTCATAGAGTTGTTATTTTACAACAGTGTCAGAGCCTTTCATTTTCTGTTAGGATGCAGAAACCCATTATACATGACTGTTCGAAACTAAACCCAGAAGCAGTAAAAGAGAATTCCTCGGGTGACAATTTCCATGACCTAATTTTTGCTCATCCAGTTGTTGGTAGCCCATGTGGACAGATGACATAAGGGGCAGTGGTCTTGCAGGACAATCACAGTTGTGCAACGGTAATACCTAAAGGTGTGGCCCTGGAAGCAAATGCGATGAAGTCTAAGATTTGTACCCACAACTAAGGAACACAAAGAATGGAGTACTGCATCTTCCCAGAGTCACAGTGAGAGGGACAGACAGTAGGAGGTACCTGGTTAACAGAAGCCTCTGTATTAGCCACAGGTGAAGGGGAGCGACAGGCAGGTGGAGAGGAAATCTCACTGTTGGTTCCTTCCTCCCCAGACTCTTCAGTGACAGGTGACAGCAAAGTGTGACAGCGACCTGCAGTCATCTGCCACGTAAAATGCAGCCCAAGGACATGAAAATCAGTTAGCTATGTTAGCAAAAGACCCGGCCAGACACAGGTCAACCAGACAATTATATAACAAAGGTTAGACTAAGACTCTAATTTATATATTAATCCTGGGTTAGTATGTAAGAGTTTTATCTTCAAGTAAAGACCATGCAGAACAGAGATGAAGGGAACACATTCCATGGGTTTGCTGATGATTAAAAACTTCATTACTTTTTGAGTGTTTGTGTCTTTATAAGTAACCAAAAAATTATGAATTATACAAACGAGGAAAGGGTTTGTGAAATGGAGCTTGGTCTTTTGTGTGCCATCTCAAGTTTCAAATGTCCGAGGGATAAATGCATCTAAAGTAACATGTTGAACTAGGGGTAGGAGGGTGTGGCTCAAATAGTAGAGCACATGCCCTGAGTTCAAACCCCAGTACAACAACAACAAAGATAAATAAAGTAACATATATACTGCTACATGGGCCTATACCCTTGCACATTATCCAAGACACAGCACATATGAGGGAAAATATACAGGACTGGAAAGCATTGTAGTTACCAAGCAACTCAATGCATTTTCCATGCAAAGTGTTTGGGGGAAACAATGGCGAAGAACAGAGACTGATGGAATTTCTTTTAACCCAAACCTATACTTAGAATTTGCTATTTTCTTATTTTTTCATAGTAGTTTTTCTCCTAAATTTTGCTAAACATTTATGCAACAGAGTGTACATGCAACATACCTAGTCAGCTAGTTTGTTGGAAAACATAACTGAATCCCCCCAAAAATGAGACCACTGTGCAAAGGAACTTAAAAAACTAAAAGCTCAGAGCCTCTCAGCATTCTTGCTGAATAATAAATGAGTGAAGGGTAGGTCTTGGACAGGGAAATTCAGCGTCTCTAGCATAGTTTCATTTCAGCTGCTACTGTTTACAGTGTAAAAGACTGGCTCCGGCCCAAACGTAGTCAGAGTGTTAAGGAAACAGCTCCTTAAATCGAATCTGTAAGGTCTAAAACTAAAAGCAGCCCAGGTCTGGCTCCATCCAGGCTGAAGCCTGCAGACGGGGGAGGGAGGGATGCACTTGACCCTTACCATGACCACAGAGGGGTGTGCTGAGGGCGCAGGGAGGAGCTCCCCATCCAGGTCCTCGGTCCCCTCCGCCAGCCCCTCCACCTCGGTCACCGTCAGCAGCATGGTGGCATGCTTGGCTTTCATCGTCAGCATCTTGCACTTGGAGTTCAGCGAGGCGATCTGCTCCTGGTAGCCCTTGATTTTCTGCGCCAGCTCCTGCGGAAACATTTCCCGGGTGTCAGAGCAGCATCAGAAGACATGAGTCGTGGCGCCCATCTTCCTGCAGCGCTGGCCAATGAGGTGTCAGAGCCGCGGGGCGAGGGCAGGATGTGGCCGGGCCGCCAGCCTACATCTCACAGCGGAGCCACCATGCCTTGGTGACAGCCACAGCCCGCCGGGTGCAAAGGTGCGGGAGCCCCGCCTGCGACCCTAGGAGCACCCAGGAGGCCCCCTATGGAGCCAGGAACTTCCAGCACACAGGACTGGAGATTTTGGCAAGTGCCTAGTGCATTCAAAATTTACCAGATGGTTCACGCCACGGAAATTAGGTCATGTGACGACTAAAACTACCCAAAAAAAAAAAAAAATGTAGAGCTCAGCTCTTATCATAGACTGAGTACAACCAAGAGGTGGCAGTCATTTGGTACTGCCTGTTCCTGTGGCCACCTGGCAGTTGTGTTTTCTCTAGATAAGCTAGATATTATGAAATCTTAATTTTTATGCAGCTTCACACGTCAAATGTCTCTGACCCTCCAGACTAGAGTTTGACAGAACCATAGTTTCCTTTGTTCTTGAAAAACATTGTAAGATAGAGGTTTTAAAACTCTCACTAAGAGCTTATTGGAAGTATATGCTGGACTGTACATAGCTTTTATTTTTTTATTTATTTTTTTTTTACATATATTTTTTATTGTTGTTTTATTATTCATATGTGCATACAGGCTTGGGTCATTTCTCCCCCTGCCCCCACACCTCCTTACTCCACTCCCCCTCCCTCCCCCCTCACCCCCTCAATACCCAGCAGAAACTATTTTGCCCTATTTCTAATTTTGTTGAACAGAGAGTATAAGCAAAATAGGAAGGAACAAGGGTTTTGCTAGTTGAGATAAGGATAGCTATACAGGGATGACTCACATTAATTTCCTGTGCGTGGGTGTTACCTTCTAGGTTAATTCTTTTTTGATCTAACCTTTTCTCTAGCCTCCTGGTCCCCTTTTCCTATTGGCCTCAGTTGCTTTAAGGTATCTGCTTTAGTTTCTCTGCGTAAGGGCAACAAATGCTAACTAGTTTTTTAGGTGTCTTACCTATCCTCACCCCTCCTTGTGTGCTCTCGCTTTTATCATGTGCTCAGAGTCCAGTCCCCTTGTTGTGTTTGCCTTGATCTAATGTCCACATATGAGGAGAACATACGATTTTTGGTCTTTTGGGCCAGGCCAACCTCACTCAGAATGATGTCTCCAATTCCATCCATTTACCAGCGATTGATAACATTTGTTCTTCCTCATGGCTGCAATAAAAATTCCATTGTGTATAGATACCATATTTCTTAATCCATTCGTCAGTGCTGGGCATTTTGGCTTTTCCATACTTGGCTATTGTGAATAGTGCCGCAATAAACATGGGTGTGCAAGTGCCTCTGGAGTAACCTGTGTCACAGTCTTTTGGGTATATCCCCAAGAGTGGTATTGCTGGATCAAATGGTAGATCGATGCCTAGCTTTTTAAGTAGCCTCCAAATTTTTTTCCAGAGTGGTTTGTACATAGCTTTTAAAAAGGTCACTACAGATCTGTTTTAGAAATATGGGTAATTCTAAATATTACAGTTATACTTTCTTGCTTGGATATGAAATATAAATATTAAAATATTTTCTTTCATTCTTAGAAAATGAAAATGTATACTCCAAAATATTAACCATAAAAATACAAAAGTATTATTTTTCTATTCCTTTTAGTTGACTCCTTTGCCTGAGAAACTGTCATGTAGTGCTCTGCACAGAACACATTTTGTAATAAAGACATTAAACATCCCTGTCTTTACAATTACAGTATATCCACACACATTCACTCACAAATATATATCATGCACATGCACCATTTTGTTAGTGTTTCCTTTCTCTCCTCCCAGCCAAAACTGAGTGGAGGGGAATTGGTCCAGCATGGCTCAACTTCTTTTCCTGATTCCAGTACAGAACAAGAATTTTTAAACCCAGCTTCCAAAAGGCATTCTCACCTCTTTACCTCTGAGGCTACAGATAATTACCTATCAGGATTTTTTTTTAATTGTCAATACTTTTTAAATATCTGTGTACTACTTGGAGACTGTAGGCTAGCACATAGGTACTCAATAAATGATATTTGTCATAAATACTTAACATGCAAGATAGAACCTATCTGCCAGCTTACTGGATATCTTGAGCCCAAGGAGATTGCACTTTCTTACAATGGCCTGGTTGGTACCTTGCCCACAAAAGTAAATGTGAGCAAAGTTTGTGAAGCAGACAGTTAGACTGAACCCTTCCCTACTTTGTGCTCAGATGACTGGTCCCTGCCCCCTACTGCAGCACCTTGTAGAGGTATGTACATGAAGAGTGAGTGTCCTTTCCTAAGCTTAAAAACGTCACTACATGTAGAATCCAGCTGGGTCATTTGTTAAAAATGCAGATCCTTACCTTGACCACGCAACCTTCTGATCTGGAATCAGAACTGCTACCTTTTCATCACCAGGCCCACTGCTCCCAGCGACAAGTGGGTCCAAGAAAACAAATGACTTGTCCAAGATCACACAGCGAGACCTCTGTAGAGTTACCAGCACATTGCCTTCCAGGCTACCAGTTCAGGGATCTGTTCATCTTATCATATCTTCTCTCTCTGCTAACCATCCATGTACACACTTGGGTTTGTGAAAATCTGTATTTTTCACAGTCAATCTATGTCACTCCAAAACTCTGTTCCATGAAAATATAAACCTGTTTGTACCTCATGACTTTTGTGGGGGATTATTCATCCACTAAAATAAAATGGAGCCCTGGTGGGTTACCTATTCTCAGAAAAAAATGTGTGTGTGTACATATATCTTTAAATTCATGGTAAGTATCTCTGAAACTGATTCTGAAGGTGGGGATGCAGCACAGAGACTGTTTGAAGGAAGGCCTCGGTGGTAGCCTCATGGACTCACACACATCCTCTCTGCCAGGGAGAAAGCAAAGAGGTTTGAATATTCTCTCTCATGACTTAAAAGTAGCAAGATAATTTTTCAAATTAAACTCAACTTTCCAAAAAATTACAGAAAATAAAGGGTGAATTCCTCAGAACTGAATCAATTCTGTTCTTTCTATGAGTTGAAGTTGTCCAGGCCCAAATGAGACTTACCTTAAGATTGAAATTCAGTTAAAAGCAGCAGAAAATACAAGGAAAAATGCCCTTGTCCCAATTTTTTATGTTATTGTCAATCAGGCTTCTTCTGCCTAGCACTCTCACAATGACCCTCTCACAGAATGATGTCATTATTTACACAAAAATGTGTTCTAAGTCACATGATGAAATGAACAAGTGTGGACATGGATGGTTAGGGGAGCAAGAAGATATGATAAGATGAACAGATCCCTCAGCTGGTAGTCCGGAAGACAATGTGCTGTTGACTCTGCAGAGGGCTTGCTCTTGGACAAGTCATTTGTTTTCCTGGACCCCCTTGTTCTTTGTGCAATGATTTAACCCAAACAGTTACTACTAGAGTGGAAAAGTCATGTCATTTGAAGCCAAAGATACTGGAATAGAGTCTGCTTTTAACCAATTACTAGATTTGGGCACTCAGAAAGATGTAAAGATTTGTAAGTTTTTAAAAGCATATAACAAAAACTTCAGTAATTGTTATTGTTATTGTTATTGTAGATAAGATATAGAAATATTTTCTGGATTACAATGGAAGAGCTGCTGGAAGAAAATTTTGAATCACATGAAACAAGAATGAAAACAGTTTGAAGATAAATATGTAGTAAGTAGTCCAATGTATACATTATCTAGTCTGTGGTTTCAAAAACTGGCACAACACACTCCCAATGCATAAAAGAAGTAGCTTTCCTAGAAGATGTCTATGGTTACAGAAGCAAGTGTAGGTGGGATATTCATTTAAATTATTTTGTAAATCATACATAAATGTATGTGATTGATGTATTGTGTCAAGAAATTAAAGATTTGCATTTAGAAAGCGGGCAATGAGATTTTTCTAAGAATCTTCTGTGAGCCTGATGGAAAAATTGTTCTCCCCACCAGGTTAAAATAGAGTAGCTGGAAGGATACACTAAGTGCCTCCTTCTTGGCACAGGGAAATAAGACCCCTCCCTCCAAGTTGGCACCAAAACTCATGGTGCTAAGCAGTAGCCCTAAGGAAAAGAATGAACTTGGCTTCTATAGGAATCGATGGGTCAAGAAGGAAATTCACTGCTGAGTGCCAGTGGGTTCCCTCACTTGGGGCTATCATCTGAGTCCAGGTGTGCACAAGGAGTCAATAAGGTCCAAGGTCATTGTGATGCCAAAGGAAGGAGAAGGTGGCCATTTGAAAATGGGGTAGCATGGAGGGGGAGGTACTTACAGCCCCAACCTAAAAATTAGCAAATAAATAAGGTGGACCACTCTCTGATTTCAATGAACAGAACAGAAATAGCTGAGCTATTAAAAGACAAATGATTTTCTTCTTTTTCTTTTTTTCTTAAAAAACAAAACAAAACAAGGATCTTGCTACATTGCCCAGGCTGACCTTGAACTTGCTATGTAGTACTGCCGAGGCTCACCTTGAACTCTTGATCCTCTGCCTTAGCCTCCCGAGTGTTGGGATTATAGGCTCCTTATTTCCTTTTTACTATAAAATGCGCCACCCCCCACCCCAGCTTTTTGGCAGCACTGGAGTCTGAACTCAGAGCCTCACCCTTGCTAGGCAGGTGCTCTTACTGCTCGCGTGAATCTGCCATCTCCCCCCCCTTCCTTTATTTTTTTAAAGGGGGAAAACAAGGTCTGGATGCCAGTGCCTCACACCTGTAATCCCAGCTATTCTGGAGGCAGAGAGATCAGGAGGATCATGGTTTGAGATCAGCCTGGGCAAAAAGTTAGTGAGACACCATCTCAATAAATAAGCTGGGTTTGGTGATAAATACCTATAGTTCTAGCTATGCAAGATGCTAGGTAGGAGGATCTCGATCCACTGCCAGCCTGGACAGAAGTGCAAGACCCTACCCCCAAAAAATAACTAAAGCAAAAAGAGATGGTGGTATGGCTCAAGTGGTAGAGCACTTAACTAGCCGTGCAAAGCCCTGAGTTTAAACCTCACAGTGTCAATAAATAAATAAATAAATAAGAAGGCAAGCAATGCAGCCAAACTTTATGCGTTGTTGTTTCTTGTAGGCTTTAAAATAGGAAGTGTGGACTAAGTTTCTATATACTAACCATTCAGGGCATTAACTGGGCACAGAAGACAGTTGGTACACCCTGGTGGAGCTATGTCCTGAACAGCACTCAAAGAGGTTGTGGAATGCAGGGAGGCTTGTGTTATTTCATCAGCAAAAATCACCCTTAAAATGCAAAGACAGCCAAATGCTGCCCAGGGGTTGAGCACATTATATGCAGGTCAGGGAAAATCTCTCTGACAGCCACTCACTAAGCCTGTGCCCTGCTCCTGGGGCTCACCTGTCCTCCTGTCTCACCTCGTGCCGAGAAATCTGGGCTTGTAGCTCCTGGATGTTACTGGTGGCCACAGGTTTGTCCTCAATCTCCCTGTGAGCTCCTTCTATCAGCTGCTGCAGGTGCTTCATCTCCTGTTCATATTGTTCATACTGCACCACAGCCTCCTTTGGAAAGAAAAAAAGGCTCATGATTTCCTTTCTGTACGGATAACTGGGTTACTGAACCTATTGTATTATTCCTAACTCCTTGTGTGTCAAGAAGTGATAAGTAAAATCCCTAGATGGTTCTAATTCTCCACTTCTACTTAGAAACATCAAAGCTTTCTCTTTACAGCTTCCACTGAACAAGACACTAAAACAACGAAGGCCAGGAATAGAAAGCAGGTTGTGTTAAGGGGAGGGCAACAGCAGGAGGGGAGGGTAAATGAAGAAGTTAGTAAAGTACACGTCTATGAATATGGAACATTGAAACCTGTGGAAGTCGTTTCAGGAAGGGAGTGGGAGAAGAGGGAGATTAATGGAGGAGGTAACCAAACTGGGATATAGTATGTGTAAATATGGAAATGTCACAACACCCCCTGTATAACTATCAAATACTTATAAAAATGCTTAATAATAAAATTATTGATAGAATCAAAATAGGTGAGTGATTAGGACTGTCTCTTCTCCCTACTTATGCTGCCTGGAGATGCAATGTGATGGTGAGAAGGCAGAAGCAGTATGACAAATAGGCTTGCTTTTTTTCTCCAAGAAGTACTGAATAACAAGTAAGACCTTCGGCCAAAAGCTGCAGTAGAGGGTAGAAATAGGAACTATGTATGATGCTTCATCTCTGGAATTTAACATCTGACAAGTTCTAAGATAGTGTAAGGAGCAAGGACAGTTGAGCAAATGAACTGTAGTGCCAGGCGTGGTGTGCACACCTGTATTCCTAGCACTCAGGAGGCTAAGGCAGGAGGACTGTTGAGTTTGAGTACTGACTGGGCTAAACAGTGAGTTCAAGGCCAGTCTCTTCTACATGGTGAGACTATCACACACATAAAAAAAAAAAAAAGAACCAGGACTGATTTTAATGAACAGCAAATTAATAAAGCAGGTAAGTATTAGTAGAAAGGAGAGGGAAAATAAATTGTGTTACATCTTGGCAAATGTTTTTCTATTATTAGGTGAAGAGACTGAGCTATGCTTGGGCAAACTTCTTAGGCCAGAAAATGTATGTAATGAATCAATAAGCTGAAATAGGAGAAGAATTCTTCAACATGTGATAAATGCTAGCCTCTATTTCCAGGTTCTAGATGATTTTCAGATGAATCAAAGATCACAAAGTAATGATTGCATACAAAATCAACCATCCAAGTCATCCTCTACAAAAAAAAAAAAAAAAAAAAGAAACCCACCAAAAGATAGTCTTCACTAAAGGATAATTTTTATAGAATTTTCCCCAGGCTTTCGTGGGTGATCCAAATTATAGCATTTTAATCTCCTTATTTTATGTAACCACAACAGTCTGTCAGATTTAGTGCTCTGGATGTGTTTTGATGGCTGAGCCCACACAAGGCTCAGAAAAGCAGCCATGACTCATCCGCCCGCTCTGCTGGCGCCAAGCGCAGCTGCACCTGCCTGCAGGACGTTGCACTGCTGGATGGCTGTGTGCTGCAGCTGGCTGGCCTCCTCTTGCAGCCGCAGAGCAGCGTGGCACAGTGGCAGGCTGGCTACCACCTCCGCGGGGATCCGGAGCGTGCTCTGGCACTGCTGCACGGCGTGCACCTTCGGCTTCAAGGACTCCATCTCAGACAGCAGGTGCTGAAAGTGCAGTGACATGGTGCAAATTCAACACAGTCGTCGTTTAGTATAAGCAAGGGACATTTACCGAACTATAGCTGCAAGTTATAAACACGTTGCAAGGAATGTATAGACATAGACATACGCTTACACACTTACACATATGTATACACATTAGTGTTCATTAATTGGACAGTGGTTGAGGTTTCCATAGAAATGCACTTTGGACAGTTTTCCCTCTATTATATTCCCTTAGCCTCTCTCCCTCCTCACAAGCTTTTCCAAACAGTATTTAGAGGGTTTTACTTTGTTATAACATATATTGATTCTGTTCACCCCAATTAACCTTTTCTTTCTCCACCCCTTCAACTGGTTTCACTCCTAAATGTATCCCATTCTTCCTCCTCTGCCATCACCTCGTCCTCCTCCTTCTTCTTCCTCATTTCAGGTCTCAATTCCACATATGAGCAAAAATATGTGATATTTGGCTTCTGAGCTTGGTTTATCTAGCTCAACACAATGATCTCCAATTCCATCCTTTTTCCTTCAAATCACATATTTTCATTCTTCTTTATGGTGAAATAATACTCCATTGTGTATGTATACATCACATTTTCTTAATCCATTCATCTGTTGTTGGGCATCTAGGCTGATTCCACAGTTTGGCTATTGTAAACAGTGTTGCTGTAAACATGGGTGTGTAGGTGTCTGTCTTGTAGGTTGATTAATGAATGCACCTTCATCTATATGCCCAGGAGTAGTATAGAAGACTCATAAAGTAGGTCTATTTTTAGCTTTTTGGTGAACCTCCATACTGATTTCCACAAAGGTTGCACTAATTTACATTTCCAAGGAATATATATTTTAAATAATACATCTAGTACTAAGACTATAAACTTAGAAAGCATAGTTCCTCTCTATGCTATTTTTTAAATATAGGACCCCACCCATTCACCTTAAATTATTTTTGCTTACCTGACGATGAGACAGTTGTTCCTTGAGACTAAGGCGCCCAACCTCTGGAGAAGTCAGAGTTGTCTGGGCTTGTTCCAAAGCAGCTTGCAAGTTTCTCAGCTCAGCTTCAAATTTTTTCATGTCCTGCAGAATAAAAACCCTATGAAGATCAATGTATTGCACTTGAAGTTCAAAGTTGTAGGTGAAGAATAGCATAGTAGTCAAGAAACCACATCAATCATAGTGAGCACTAGTTCTCCAGAATAACGTCACCATTTTTTTGTTTTTACCTTGGCTGCATCTTGGAGATTCTGCAAACGAATTTTGATCATCTGCCGTAACTCCTCAGTCTCCCGGCCCAGTTCTGTCACTTGCTGAGACATCTTTTCTGTACAATACACGCTAGCGAGATGCTGTAATTTCTCAGCCATTGCTTCCAGATCGCTGTCAATTTCTTCAGCTTCTTCTAGCAGGGTCTAGAGTAAATTGTGAATATTCATGAAGTGGGCAGGTAGGCAGAGAAGTACAGGTCGCAAATACAGTGTTATGTGAAGACCAGTCAACTAGGAAGGGAGCAAGGACAACTAGGTTGTCATTGTGCTTCCTGCATGTACTACACAGGTTCTTGTGAGCATGGTATGGTACTTGACCTTCACACCCTGTCTCTGCTTCCTGCTTGGTAGCTACCTATTATTACCCCTATTTCATAGAAAAATTAAAGGGGCTGATAGGGTGGCTCAAGTGGTAGAGCATCTGCCTAGCAAGCATGAGACCCTAGACACACACACACACACACACACACACACACACACACACACACACACACACACAAGATATTGCTCATTTAGGGCTGGTGGAGTGCCTCAAATGGTAGAGTGCCTGCCTAGCAAGCATGAGGCCATGAGTTCAAGCTCCTATACCATCAAAAAACCAAACCAAAACAAAAAAACCTTTGCATTAGAAAAATTAAGTTTGGGGACACTGACAGCTTGCCAAGGCTACAGTAAGTGTGGTACTGAAAGGCTCATGCTCTGCCAACCCTAGTCTGGGTCCTCATGTGAGTCAGGACACGAGGATTCCTGGAGTGGTGATGCCCTGGTACACTGCACGTCTTGACTGAGTCACTGGGCCTGCCCTTCCCATATTTAAACTAAAGAATCTCTTGGCAATCATAGTCTAAGTGCACATCACCCTAAGAAACAAAACTGAGAGCATTACAAACAAACAAAAACCTTTGAGACAAAGAGGAGGAAGCCACTTGCAATGTCAAGAGAAGAAAAACAGCCTCATCATGCAGGATGGGATTGTCCCTTGTGATACAGTGGATATCACGTGTATATAAACGCATTCATCCAAGTATGCACTGTACAGAGAGGAGAGTGATTGAGAAGCTGACTGCTAAAGGCTGGGCTCAGAGGAGATGTACCACAGCTCATGGGAAGGTTGGGAGAAGGCCCCATGGAAGAGTGACACCTGAGCTTAGGAAGAAGGATGTTAGCATCTTGACAGATGGGGAGGAAGAGAAAAAAATTCCATAGGCACTGAGGTGGGTGAGCACAGAATGTGCAGTTGGGGAGGTACGTGAAGAGGAAAAGGAAGAAACTGACGAGATATTCTTAGGTAAGACACTATTTTTAAACGTGAACTAGTCTTCCTTCTCACAATGAATGTAATATATCTAAATTATAAAACGTAGAGCTGGAAAATACTGAAAATAAGGAAGAAAACATATCATAGCTCAGAGATGACTGGAAGAGGCAACTGTTGATACATTTGGACATATTTTGAGGCAATTGAGATCATACATACACACCTATAGTTTCCCATTTTCTTTGCCACTGAGATAAGAACACATGGGTTTTCTTGCTGTGCATTCTTTTTTTGTATAAACACAGACAGCTTTAATTCCTTATGCAGAGACAAGATGACTCCCTGAAATAACATCTACAAGCTGAGTTCTCTCCCATGCTTCTGAGCAGACAATCCTAATACCTGCCTCTTTTCCTGTGCCCTATAATGCAGTGGACTCACCCAACTGCCCAAGTCATAAAACTGGGAATTGTCCTTTGCTCCTCCCTCTTTCACCATATCCAACAGTCTACAAGATGGGGAGTTCTAGCTCATCAGTAGCTCTGGAGTTTGTCTTCTCATCTCAGTCTCCAAAAAGAGTTCTTGTCATTTTCTGCACAAATGAAGAGAATGGAAGAGGTGAAACCACCTCTTCCATTATCTTATCTCAGCAATCTGATTTCCATAGGTGGCCACATGAGCTTTCTTAAAACACAAGCTTGAACTTGTCATTTGAAAGCAGAAAAACTGTCAAAGGCTTCAGAGTGACTTTAGGATAACGCCCAAGCTCCTCATCACAAGCCTTCTCTTATCTCTCAGTTCTTATCTCTTATCTTTCTTTCTAGTCTTTCAGGGCAACAAGCAGAGCACCTTTCACTCTTACTGCTAGGATTTCGACAAGACAATGTGTTTTTGTCTAAAATACACTCCACAAGTAGAGTTCAGTGTCCCTTGGGACTCAGCCCAGTGTCACCTTTTCCTATCAGGAAGGAGCCCCTCTTTCAGCACCTTGAGCTCTTTCTCCTTGCACTTGTTACTCCATATTGTAATTGTTTCTTTTCTATCTGTCCCTTCCTTTGACTGATCAACTCATCAGTGTAAGGGTCAGGGAATATTCTCTGTATTCCAAATACTCACCAAAATTCCTGCATTGGGAAAGTACTCTCATTGTTTGTTGACTAAGTAGAGGAATGAATGAGTGCAGGAGATAGTAAAAACCTTCATGATCTATTCAAAGACTGCATGATATGATATGATAAATAACTATTTACCCAGAAATGTTATTTGACATCTAAGTTTTTTTTTTAAATTTCACTATAGCCATTAATAGCACTAGAAATATTTTCTGCAATTTGAATTATAGCCTAAGTTATGAATCCAAGAAGTATAATTGATAGGTCAGAGTAGTGACAGCTTAAATGATCATCATATATTTTTGATAACTGTCTCTCAAAAGATTTCACCAGATGACCAGAGTTGTTTGGAAGCTCTTACTTCCTTAAGTATCAGCTATTAAGAAATAGCGTTAACTTGACAATTAAAATTCTCTCTCCCTTTTTACATAAGTTTGCATTTCTCAATTTCTAGTGAGGTTGAATGTATTTCCACTGTTCACAAGTCAATTGTAACCCAAGTTTTATATGTTAATATCTGAGTATATTTTACTGCAAATGATTAGCTTTATTTAAGAAAGACATGTTGGGAGGAGTGTGAAAATCTGATTAGAGAAGGATAGAGTAGAATAATTAGGAACTGTTGAACATTCCAGGAAAGGAAAAGTGAGTGTTTGATGGAGAACCCAATTGCCTGAAACGGAAAAGGGGATTAACTTAAAAGATTCAAATATAAAGAGAATGTCTAGAATACTTAAGGATATCCATGTAGTCTAAATAAAGGTTGGTCTGTTTCATTCAAAATAACCAAGTCTACTAGACATCTACACCTAATTCAAGTGCAAATTACAAAAGGATGATATAATTTCCTGAATAACATGACCAAAAGAAAAGGAACATTTTTGTCGCATAACTTTAGAGGAAATGAAGTAATGTATCCATCATCTGATGTGGGCCATGGTCTGCTCCCAGCTGCCCCCACCTCCTGAGGAAGGCCACATGACAGCCTGGCAGGAAGGCTGAGAGGATGCATGTGCCGGGTAGGTGCCAGCTGTTTGCACATACATGAACTATGTGATCCTCGTAGACATGACATATGAATATTTTCTATCTCCCTAGCTTGTAGATGAAAAGACAGAGAATTAAGAGAGGCAAAATATTTTGCTCCAAATCACAGTCTCAAAAGGAAAAGCTTGATTTTCCTCTTAGCAGAGTGCAGCCATCATCTTTACCTACTTCTCTACACCCCTACATGGGGAAGAGTTTCTCTTGCCCCTAACTCTCAAGAAGCTGCTAAAAAGGTCCTGTAAAGCCGATTGTTTTAAGCTCTGGGAAAAGAGAGTCTAGGAAAAATAGAGGATGCTTACTTATCCACAGTCTCATGAAACCTCATGGGTAGCTACTTTCTGTGAAAGCAGAGCACTTAGCATTTAAAAAAAAATCTGCTCCCTACCATAATTTTACATCATGGTCCTCTAAATTCTGTGTCCATTTAGACAGTCAAATCAAATAGCTTTTCATTACTCTTTGAAAACTATCTTTCCTAAAGTTACCTGATGCAAAATGTATTGTTCCCGAAGTTGACTTGCAGAATTCCATACAATATTTCCATGTACCAAGACTTTAGCTTTCTCAATCCACTTCAAAATTAATTCAAGCATTTCATTGTATTCTTCTAAGTGTGATGCTGCCTGAAAAAGTCAATAAAATTCAGATGATATGAAGTAAGCATAGGTTTACATGTAAGTCTCAGGAGCACAGCATGGTATGAAATAAACTGCATCTAAGCTCCCTGCTTCACTGTCAATATCATCTTTTTATTTGTTTTCTAAAGAGAAAAGCAGCTGGTTAAAGTTTCTGCCTTAGAGCACTTTGCTTTCTGGCCTGGAAAACGTACCTGATTGAGCTTGGAGAGCCGGTTCTCAGCCTGCCTAACAGCCTGCTGGTGAAATTCAGCCAGTTTTCCTATCTTCTTGGCCAACGGCTTGGCCAGTTGGCCATTCTGTTCCGAGAAGTTTTGTACGGCTACATCTAATTCCATTAACTTTGAATTACAGCCATCTAACTCCTCTCCCAGAACCTACACGGTCATCAAAATGAAAGAGCATTAGACTATAAAAAATAAATTTCTCCAGGTTTTCTAAGATCAGAAGGATTATGTTGAAATAACTTTTGTAAAAGTCAAGTATTGTGAATAATACATTGTGTTTCTTGGGTTAGGGGGCAGGGCAGGATGTCCTGGCTCACATTTTCCTTCTGCTCTACCCAAATGGATTAGAGTCACTTAACTCATCAACAGCCCATAAACACAGAATTAACTGCCAAAAACATGTTGGAATTTACAAACTTATACTTCTACATCACTTGGTCTCTTAATAGTCTTCTCTGTTAGACACTCATGGGTGTGTATATTTACAAATGCAGTTTGGTTACAATGATAAACTAAGAAAGAGGATTTGTGCTATTACACTGACAACATGCCTGCCATTACTGTCGGGTTCAGTGAAGTCTGCTAAGAAAGTGGTTTTTGTTTGGTTTTGGTTTTCCCTATTCTATCCCCAAGTAAAACTGACTCCAGAGAAACAGGGAATTCATTCAGTAGACCCCTTGTATGTCCACTTCCTCCTTACCTTTTGATCAGTTTTAGCTTGAACCAAATTATCAGTTTTGGCTTTCAGCTTCGTTAGGATAGTTGTGAGATCTTTGGCTACCTTCTGAATCTGCCGGCTGAATTCCTGACTCATGGTTTTGCTCTGTTCAATTTCTTTTACTTTATCTTGGATCTAAATAATTGATGAGAACAGCAAAACAAACCATGATTAAAATTTGGATAATAAGAACCTCAAATGACGTTGACTTAAAGATACTTCATGTGCATGACATAGCACTGACACTATCGATATAGCTAGTTACGAGCTCCTTGGCTTCCAGGCTGCCTTCTGCCCATTGCCTTGATACTACACTACTGCTGTTGTCTAGCAAGAAAACAATCAACACATGTCCTGTGATTCATTTATTAAATATTTACAGCAGACTCATTACAGATGGCTACGCATAGCTGAATCCTAGCTTCTCCACTTACCAACCTGTGACCTTGAACACACGCTCCCTTTTCTACACCAAACAAAAAATTTTATAGTTATCTGTCAGTGATCTGTTAATGCTTTTTCTTAACTTTCCAAATACCACGCTATAGTATGCAAAGGAAGGAATGAGTTTGGGCTGAGGGCATAGTCGAGTGTAGAGCACTTGCCTAGCATGTGTAGGGCTTTGGGTTTCCCAGCACCACCAAAATAAATAAATAAAAGAGTTAACATTTGCACATTTTTAATGGATTTGAGGTGATTTGATAGCAAGCATTTATATATTTGCCAGAATAAAATGCTGGAAAGAAGATTGTAAAGAGGACAAATATTTTTTCTACATACATGAAATGCTTTAAAAAAACTTTTTAGAGAAGAAACTCACCATTACAAGAGCTTTTTTTTGGCCTATGTTATCTTGAGTGAGTGCCAAAGTGACAGGAATTCATATGAACAACTCAATAATAGTTGAGGAAAAATAAAACTTAAAATTGACTTTTTTTAAAAGTCTGAACTAATCAAGTTGTCTCTGGCAATTGACTTTCCAATGCTGAGAAGTCAAATGGGTCAGTTAAGCATTCAGAATATAACACAGCACACAGTAGGTTAGCTCAAAACCCTGATGCAGTCAAATCGGTCAAATTGGATTTTGATGAGATTTTTATAACACTCAATGCCTTTTACATTGGAGATTACAAAAGGTGTAGCATATGTGTGAATTATATGCTTGTATTTTCTATCCCATGCACACTTTATGATCAATGTATGTCTTTTTCTTGTGTCACTTTGAATGGTTTTAACAAAATTTGAATAGCTTTAGCATACAGCTACTATGACAGTCCTAAAAAATTCATTATATGTCCATATAGATGTGGTGTGAAGCCATTTTCCCTACATGAAAGTGTGTCCTGTTTGTGAGACCTAAGACAGAAATCTCTCTCTGATCTCATCAATGGAAAGGGCAATGTATTTCTTCTATAAAAATCATTAAAAAAATTTTATTCATGGATCCACAAGGTTTTCTGCACTCTCTTTCTACCCTGGTTGGAACCAGGGTCAAACTGAAGCCCATCTTCTCACAATCTCAACCCACATCATGCATCTTGGTAACAACTTCATCACCTACTTAACCTACTTACCTTATATCTTACTGAACTGTTGAACTAAAATAACAGCTAGAAGAGTACCTGGCACATTCGAGTACTCAATAAATATCTGAACACATGAAAATATAGCTTATTTTTGTTCAATTCATTATTATAAATATGAGAGGAAGCAGAGAAATTATGCTCACTTCTATGACATTATTGCTTGTATCTATGACTATCTGATGTGTTTCTTGTCTATGAATAAGTTGTAATTTAATATTAATTGTTTTATAATGATCCATTATTTTAACTCTGCTTCCAAAAAGATCTGACTGTGAAAATCCAGAGCTCTCACAGAAGAGGACTGGCCCAGGAGAAAATAGAGAGCCACTCTTTCTTGATTGTAAGTTTACCCGATCATGAATTCTTAGGTCCAGTGCCACTTCAGCTAACTGAAGGGAGATCTCAGAAGGTAATATAGTGTAAAGACCCAAGTACTTATTCTTCTGATCTTCAGCCATCTTTTCAACGTTCTGCCGGTGATTTGTGGCTTCTGTTAGGAGGATCTGAAGAAAAGATCAAAATTAAAACTTTCTGTGAGCCTGCTAAGGCACATGATTTTTAAGAGTATAGGGACACAGCCACCTATGGTTCATCAGTATATGACTTACACGTGGGACTGGAGAACACCATAAAAACAAAGCAATGTGAAGCATGTTATCATTTACAAGACAAACAAAAGACCCCACAAATTAATACGCAATGTCTTTTACATAATACACGCCCCCAGTTTTTAATTTACTGTTTCTTTAAACACGAGTAAGCATGCATAATTAAAATAAAGGCAATTATTTTTTACATGAGAGGGGTAAAGAACAAAGAGACTTTTGTACCTGTAGCTCTTCCAGCTGAGCGTCTACTTCCATTGTTGGGTTCTCTAAATACTCCTTCGTCTCTTGCAGCCAGGCTTTCACAGAGTTGATCTGAGACTCTACCACTTCCCGCTCCTGCAGCTCTTGCTTTATTGCCTTTCCATAGTTCTTCACTTTCTCCTGCATGCTTCAAGACATTATAGGGAGAAAGCAGAAGTGGATTTGGAGTAAGAGGAACCCTGTCCGCCACACATGTAAAACAGTAAAGACACTTCTCCCAAACTGTCAGATGTTTAGTAACACTAAGGCGAGGTTCAAGTACAACAGAAGAATACTCGTGATTTCGAGTGCACAACCTATCCCTGGAAAATGGAGTTGATTTTCTTCTAAGTCACTAAATTTCAAATAAATGGCATTAATTTTCTTATCTAAAGCACACAAAAATTGTTGGATTCTTTACTTCTTCTTTGGACATCTGCTCAGATGTACAAAAAACAGTATTTAAAAGTTCTATGTAGTCAGGCAGCAGTGGTTCACACCTGTAATCCTAGTTACTCTGGAGGCAGAGATCAGGAGGATTGTGGTTCAAGGCCAGCCCAGGCAAATAGTTCTGAGGCCCTATCTTGAAAATAGCCAACACAAAAAAGAGCTGGTGGAGTGGCTCAAGTGGTAGGGTGCCTGCCTAGCAAGCATGAGGCCCTGAATTCAAACCCCAGAACTGCCAAAAAAAAAAAGTAAACCAACCTTTAAAGAAAAAAAAAAAACAAGCTTTGAGCATTTTACCACTATTAATGTTGAAAATATCCAAATTTCAATTCTCTATTTGAATTAATGCAAATCTGATAAAAAGAAAAGTTTTCAATAAGTGGTATCAGATTAACCAGACACATCAATAAGGTGAATGTAGAATTTATTTAGGTTAATATTAGTTAATATAAGAATCAAATTGCCTAATGACATTTCTCTGGCAAAGAAGTGAATCAAGACTAACGTTCTCCTACATTCACTACCAATAGATGGCTTTCAGTTCCTATCTCCATGTCACAATACACAGCCAATGAGTTATAGCACTTTCTCAAACATTAAGTTCTAAATAGCGCTCAATTGTTTACCTTTCAAGATTCATTTCTCTCTGATTGCCCAAAGAGTTTCCCGAAGGTGAATTCCCCGAAGGTGACACATGTCCTTCTAAGCTTTCTTACATGTCGTTCCCACCTCAGCGCCCAGCTCAAGCCCATTGAGCCTCAGTCTCAGAGGAAATGCGTGCTTTGCCCACTCTCCTACATTAATGGCCGCTGCTTTGTGCTTTCTGAGCACACGTGTCCAAAGCCTGCAGTCCTCAAATGGCTCCTGCATCATCTCCCTCCGCTGTGAGACTACATGCAGGTAGATATGGCCTGTGGTCAGTTCCCTGTGCATGTCTAAGAGCTACCTGGTAATATTTGTCAGACTCATGCCGGAAGAGTTAAGAAAAACCGAGAAACAGATGGGAACAAAGCTCTACATTTTGAAGGTAGCCCAGTGGAGCTCCCCCATTCCCAAGCACCCAGTTGTCTCTGGGTCAAGGCCAAGTTTGGTAGCAGAAAATGACAGCAGCTATGCTTACCTGAGGCAGCGGTCCTGCACTGCAGAGATTTCCTGCAGGATGGGTGGCTCTTCCCCAGGTCCTGGGCTAGCTCTGTCCTGCAGTATCCCTCGTACTTGCTGCTGTAGTGTGCCCAAGGCCAGCTGCTGCTGCTCCAGCTCCAGCACGCACACCTCGTGGCGTTCCAGAAGGGCCAAGAGCTCTGCCTTTGAGGCTTTCTCCACGAAGCTCTCGGGTAATTTAGCTTGCAACTCATCCATCATTTCAGTGGCTTTTTTGACCTAATGACAAATGTATATGTTATAAAGCTTGAGAACAAACTGAGAAAAAAAATAAGGCCATTCTGACAAATGCCACATTTGATACCAGTGCACCCCATTAAAGATGGTGTAAATTCTAAACTTCAAGACACGAAAACTGCTGATTAAATACAAACATTGCACCACGAAAGGAGAAGTGACATGTCATCGTCATCCTGGGCAGTGGCTCCTCACGGGAGTCCTGTTGCCTCAGAGTACACCTGCAGTATTTGGAGACATTTTGTTTTTTACAACTGTAGCATCTGTGATTATTGGCCAAGGGTGCTCGAAAACATCTACTAACACATGCAGGACAGCCCCTATTACCCAGAAATATTCTGCTCCACATGTCAGCAGTGTCAGAATCCTGGCTTTTGACAAACCAGTCTTAGCTTCCAGTGATTAGATGTAAGACACCATAACTAATATAGCTGCTGTTTCCATATAATTTACAGTGCAAGAAATGTGTTTAATATCCAAAAAAACTAAAACTGGAGAATTCTCCATGACATGAAATGAAAGTCTACCCTCTAGCCCTGGGTTTCTTTCTTTCCTTCTTTCCCTCCCTCCCTCCTTTCCTTTATTTGATTTTTGAGACTATATAGTCCAGTCTGATCTTGACCTCACAATCATCCTGCCTCTATTTCCCACGCATTGGGATTACAGGCATGTGCCACCATGACTGGCTTCATTCTGGGTTTAAAGTTTTACTCTCAAAATCTTATCAGGACAATTAGACACTATGTATAACATAGAAAAGTTTTTTTTAAGTTAAACAAACTATTCTTTTCAATGTTTAAGTTAATATGAATGTGTACCTTTTAGTCATAAAGAAGATGTAGTTAAAACATTGGCCACTACTTAAAAGATGGTAGAGACTACAGGATCTGGGAAATGAGTTAACTTGACAGAGAAAAATAATTTTGTATTTTTTCAAGACTAGATAAGAAAGCAAAGGGGGTCTAAACTGGCTTGTCTGTCTTTCAAAATTTGGTTGCTGGGTTTTCCAGTTGAAATAATTTGACCCTGACTTGATACTAAATCACACATTGAACTTTGTATGTTGTTTCATAATTTAGTTTTCATAACACTGAAAGAGATGAAAAGGTTTCCGTAAGGCCAATTTCCAAAAGGAGCAAAATAGTTTTACAAAATATATTGCAATCAGTGAGAAAAACAGTAACTTGCGCCCATCTGTTGTAGACATTACCTTATTGTTCAAGCCTTTCCACTCATCCACTGCATCTTCCAGTATCTTCTCCTGGTCCTGGGCCACAGCACGGAGACATGTCCAGCGCTGCCAGACAGTGGTCATGGACCTGCTGAGGGTCGCTTTGCTTGCGTCGTTTCCAGTTTTGTCCAGTTGTGAAGCCTTTTCCTCTAGAGCCACAATTTTCTCATGGGAAGAGTCAACTACTGACACTAAAGCCTGGGTTGGAGGGAGAAGAGAGGTGATTGGGGGGGAGATTTATTTTTAAAAATTCTTATGGGTTTGGGTTTTGCCCCAAATGACCTGCAAATGTAAATGTTTATAGATAAACTTCTTTCCCTCTTGTTACTTTTCACTTATTTTTTAGCTGAATTTTGGGCTGGATTTTTTTTATAGTAAGGTGAATTAATTGAGTAGAAACAAATGCTTATTTGCTACTAGAGATGACATTTTTTCTATTTTTAAAAAGTGGCAAATATAAAAGCAAATTGAATTGATATTTCAAATGTCACAGTCTTGCTTTTGTTGCCATGTGAGATCAGAGACTCAAACTATTAATTTTTGAATTTTATTTGAATGAATCTAAGTTATCAACTGAAAAGTATTTACTGACACTTATCAAAAGCAAATTCTTTGGAATCTCTCTCTCTCTCTCTCTCTCTCTCCCCCTCCCTCTCCTCCTCTCTCCCTCCCTTTCTCTTTCTCTCTGTCTTTGCAGTACTAGGGTTTGAACTCAAGGGCTTCACTATACCACATGAGCCATACACCACTCCTTTTGCTTTTAGGGTCTCATGTTTTTGCCCATTGTGAACTGGGTCTGAAATTCTCCTGTGCTTGCCTCCTAAGTGGCTGGGATTACAGAACTTCACCATCACCCCTGTGTTTGGAAAGTCTTTTTTTTGTTGTTTGTTTTTAGCCATAGCTACGCATTTCCCATGAGAATCTAAAAAGGTGGCAGCATCTAATTAATTTTAAGCTTCTCCAAAATGTGGCTGGTTATATCTGTCATATTTGAGGAGCCCAGGTGGAAATGAAATTGCAAATGAAGATTTAATGATCTGTTTCCAGAGCCACCATGTCACAAAGACCCATTATAGCAATAATCAAAGGCTATTTGGAAAAAACAAACACCAATCAAACTGACCTTGTGCTCTGACAGTTTTTCTTCTGCTTCGTGACTAGAAGAAGTCTTCAACAAAGAAAACTCAGACAATTTCTTTTCTGCCTCATTCATCAATTCAATAACCTCTTCTCTTGCCTTTTGATAATCTTGCCATTGAATAGTGCACCTTGAAAGATTCCAACAGAAATCAGTAAGCAACACTAGGTCAGGCATTCCACTGTAAATATCTCTAACAATACTTAAGAGAGAAGAGTGAATTTACACGCTAATATATTCCCTCTGTGTGTTACTATTTTCTGTGTGAAATTCATTTTGCTGAAATATAAAGCATAAAACTCCTCTAAATACCTCTGCAGGAGGTCTGACTGGGCATGGGAGTCCTGAATGATCCTCTGGCCCCTCTCCTCCAGTGAGGCCATTTTCTGTGCAAGCTCTTCTTTCCCAGTTGACTTGATGAGTGGGTCCAGTTTGGCCACCAGGCCTTGGAGCTCCTCCAGTTTACTGTGGAGTTGACACTCTGTACTGAAAAACTCCATGTGACTTTTGAGATTTTCCTCTGCGCTCTCCACATCCAGCCCATTGCCTGCCAGCTGTAACATTTCTTGGGCATCCTCAAGCCAGTCATTAGCTGCCTGGTATACTTGATAATACCGTTGACACTGACCATATATTTCTGTCAAGGTAGCCTGAAAGACAGAGATTGCAAATATAACCAATTCCCAAGCACCATATGCTCACAGGAAATAGTTTTATCTTTCTAGTTGTTTTCTAGTCCTTGGTCCCATGGGCATAGATATACAAGTGAATTGATAAATTGGTGAAACATTTTTGTTCTGCTCGTCTTGTTATTTCATTAGAGTTAAAATAAATGATATATAAGGACAGAAACAGACTAGAAATCTATGTTGCCATCTTGACTAGTTTTATAACTCTCTTTCTATAGGAAAAAATACAATGGCTAGGAGAATATAGTGGCTAAATATTTAGGAAGGTACAGTGAGACCTCAGTTGGTTAAAAGTAAAACAGCACCCAAGTTCCAAATTAGCATTCATCAGACCAAATAGCAGTTTCTGGAAATGAAAGGGTTGCCTGTGAGTCTTAAGTAGAGATTAAAATAGAAAAGCATAAACCTGACTGCTGTGCCCTTCAAATAGAGAAGGAAAGAAAACACTGTGACTAGACATCAGTCAACGGACAACATGAGCCATACTGCATCAGCACAGATTCAGAGGAGTGGTAGTGAAGGTGCCAGGAGGAGTCACTGAATAAAGACAGGCTAGGATGGCAGAGCAAAGAATTGTGTTGGAGTTTAAAATATCCTGGGACATGACCTGCAGTCATGTGAGCCAAAAAAAAAAAAAAAAAAAAAAACCCAGTAAGACAAGGTGACAGAGTAGAGACATCTAAATAGATTTAGGATTTGGGTCCAGTCTGTAATCTTAGCTATCAGAGAGATTAAGATCTAGGACAGCCTAGGCATAAAAGTTCATGAAACCCCATCTCAACCAGTGGTTGGACACAGTGGCACTTCTGTAATCCCAGCTACACAAGGAAGCACAAATAGGAAAAGCAAGGGTCCAAGTGGCCCAGGCATAAAGTAAGACTCTATCTCAAAAATAACCAAGGCCAAAAGGGTTAGGGGCTTGGCCAAAGTGGTAGAGCACCTGCCTAGCAAGTATGAGGCCTTGAGTTTAACCCCAGTATTGAAAAAAAAGTTAAAAAAAAAATCACCAAGTCAAAAGAAGAAATCTCACATGACTGATGCTTTTCAAGAACAGAAATGTCATTTTTCCCTTCCCCCCTGGGCCTGTCACTATTTACTTCTGTAACCATGAAAACAGTTAAAAATATTAACAGTGGTTTTGAATTAACATGAAAAGGCAAAAACATACTAAATAAACTTGAATTTAAGAAGTCATAATTTTCCACATGATGTTTATTAAGATTTCATTTGAATAATAAGTGCAGGCTTTACGATTTAAAGTATTTGTCTTGCCATATGTGGAAAATAAAGGGAATGAGGACTGAGATTTATGAAGGGCTGTCTCCCATCAACCCTGTGCTGAGAAGACAGCCTTTGAGAGTGGTGTCAGTATTCCTCCCCCACAGAGAGAAACCCGACACTTAAAGGATGCCAGTTCTTTGCCAAAGATCAAGGTAGCTGTGACCAAAATCCAGATGTTGCTCCAAGCCTGCAGCTTTTTCCCAGTCTTTCCTGGGGAAAGTCAGCTTTACCTAAATGACTGGTAGAAATCTAGCATCACAGGGACGAAGAATCACGGGCGGGAGAAATGTGGGCCCAGGGAGTAAAGGAAGGGATCCTCTGGGTGCTATTACACTCTTCTTATTTTGAATGCAAGTGCAAGGCCCAGGGAAAGCCACAGGTGGAGGGCGATCTGGGAAGTCCTACACATGCTCCCGCTTCTGTTTGTTGTCCGCAAGTGCAGTCATCAATGAATATTCTAGTCTTGCTTCTGCTGCGCTGCGGGAAAGCCAGGGAAGAGAGGCAAGTAACTCCTTCCTGAAGAAGGGGAAACCCCACAAAAGAACAGCCTTGGCATTGGGGTTGGGGTTACGATATTCATCTGCCTTCCTCTGTGTACAGACTCTCCCTCAAGTGTGATCTTAAAAATGCCAGGTTTGATACTCTTTAAAAACGGTGTCATAATTGAGGCATCATAATTATCATCAATATACTATTTCATTAATTATTTTATCAATATACTAATGGAGTCATTTCTCAGTCTCTGCATGAGATTAGTTCTAGGACCCAAAATTCCTTTAAAAAGATGCTCAGTCCCTTCTATAAAATGGTGTGGTATTTGCATGCAACCTCTGCACATTCTCCCATAGACTTTGTTTATTTTTGGCACTACTGGTGGTTTGAACTCGGGGCTTTTGCACTTGCCAGGCAGGTAGGTGCTCTACCACTTGAGCACACCTCCAGTCTTCTTTTGCTCTGGTTCTTTTGGAGATGGGTCTTGCTTTTTGCCCAAGCCAGCCTTGACCATGATCCTTTATTTATGCTTCCCTCTGTAGCCCGGATGACAGTCATGCACCATCATGCCAAGCTATGGGTTGAGATGGGGGTACTGTGAGCTTTTTAACCTGGGCTGGCCTGGAGCTGTGATCCTCCCCATCTCAGCTTCCCAAATAGCTAGAATTATAGATATGAGCCACTGTGTCACTGGCTTCTCCCATACACCAAATCATTTCTAGATCTCTTATAGTATGTACGATTATACACCTGGTACATAAGCAGTTATTATTATATTGTACTGTTCAGTGAAAAAATGATAAAGAAAAAAGCCTATACACATTCAGAATTTTAAAAAGCATTTTCTGAAATTGGTTGAATGTATTATGAGTTGTACTATTAACATTATTTATTATTTCTCCGAAAGGCCTCTCTCTACAACAAAATTAGAAATAAGGGCAAAATAGTTCCTGCTGGGTATTGAGGGGGTGGGGGGGAGAGGGAGGGGGTGGAGTGGGTGGTAAGGGAGGGGGTGGGGGCGGGGGGAGAAATGACCCAAGCCTTGTATGCACATATGAATAATAAAAGAAAAAAAAAAGAGATAACTGAGGTTTTACACTGACATCAGCAAAGTGTAGGCAACATGGAAACCACATGAAATGAATAAAAATGTCCTCTGAAGTACTGTGGAAAATGATTGTAGGTCGTTTCAAACAAGAAATGCCTTGATATCTCGGCTGCCTGGCAAGTGCAAAGCCCTGAATTCAAAACCCAGTGCTATCAGAAAAGAAATCAGGAAAAAGAAATACTTAAGTAAGCAACTCTAACCAGCCAACCAACCAAAGGCAGACTTCTCAGTGTGTGGGTAAGCTGAGTCCTCGCACCCACCTGCCGGCTGCGTAAGGCTTCCTGGACATCCCCGTCCAGCTCCGAGAGCTCCGCCAGCGTGTGTTCCAAGTCAGCGGAGATCAGCTCCTTGGCTCTCGTGAACTTCTCCTTCTCCCTGTGACTCAGGGCGCTCATGATTCTCAGGCTGGACTGCACCTCCTCCTGGTGCATCTGGATCTTCCTGATCTCCTCTTGGATGTCCTGAAGGCTGAGGTCCAGGCACACCGGGCCACTGAGCTCAGCCTTCACCCTCCGCAGCCAGTCCAGGGAGCGGCTCATTTCTGTCTGGAAGTCTATGCTCTGCACCATTCGACTCTCACACTCTGCCACGGTCTCGCCAATGCCAGAGGTCAACTGCTTTAGCTCTTCCTGCCAGGCCTGGACCTGACACCGGGCTTTCTCATAAGCCATGGGATCAAGGTGTGGGGAGAGATCCTCCAGGTGCACGGCCACTCTTTTAAGCAAAATCCCTGAGTCCTGCAGACTTCCTGCCAGGGAGTGATAGATTTTGAGCTTGTCCTCTGCAGGTAATGTTTGCTCGTTCACTTTGGTCTGCTCTGTTTTCACGGCCTCCAGCTGTCTCTCTAGCTGCTGGCACATCTTTGCATGCTCTTGGTACCCACTTGTGACATCTTCTAAGGAGTTTGCCCTCTGTTCTGCTTGTCGCTTCAACCTGTGATACGAGGTGACTAGGTGCAGCATCCTGTCTGGTTGCCAAGGCTGACCAGTGCTGCGGAAACTTTCTTTCTTCTGGTTCAGCTCATCCACTGCTTCCCCGAGGCCCACCACCTCCCCCAGAAGGGCTCTGCAGCTCTCTTGAAGAGACAGGCTCTCTTCAATGACCAGGTCGCTAGGCACTGTCCTCATCTTCAAAAACTGATCTTCAGGTCATTCAGAGATTGTGTTGTCAATTCGATCAAAGAAGCATATTCTTTCCGAGCAAGAATTGCTTCTTGGACTTTATAGAACTTGTCTTTAGCCAAGGCAACAATGACATTGAATTGTTGGGGCAATGCATTTAGCTTTTCACTGAGGTAGGAATGATCGACCTCGTTCAGTGATGGTAGCATGGCCTGCCCAGTTCTCTGCAGGGTGAGTAGAAGGTTTTCATACTCGGGAGATTGCTCGAGGATGAGCTGGTATTTCTCCAGTTGGGTGTGAAGCTCGGTACTGTCGTTCATGAGGGTGATTTCAGGAAATGTCACAATATCTGCTTGTTTGAGCCAATGACAAGCTTTATCAAAATCTTCTGTAAAATGCCTTCTAGACACCAAATTCTTCTCTAGCTCTTGTAACCGATGACTACACTTTTGCAAAACAGAGTCATAGATGGTCTGCAACTCCTGAAGTCTCCCCAGCACCTCACCCTTTTCCTGCTCTGTGACTCCCTTCATTAACTCGCGACCCTGCGCCCAAAGTCCAGTGATTTCACTCTGGTACGTCTTGAGGCTGGCTTGGGCACTCCTGCACGTTTTCACTTGCTTGCTCACATCGTCTGGAAGCAGACAGATGTGCTCACGGAACGTGATCTTCCGCTCATGTTGCTGGATTTGGCTGGTCGCCTGGAACACTGCCATGAGAAACTGGGTTTTCTCGGATAGGGCCTTGTTAAAGTACTTTCTTCTCTGGCCCACTAAGTCACTGAGACAATTCACATGCCTCTGTGCATCCGAGAGTGCCTTCTGGACCAACTTCCGCTCGTTGAGGCCGAGATCAGTCATCACCCTGTCGGCGTCCTTTATGAGGGATTTCAGGAGCATCTGTTTAGCCTCTAGCTCACTGCAGATGGCCAGGTGATCCATGAGCAGGTTCTGAGCCATGTCAGGAGGGGGGCTCTGCTTAAGTGCCTCTGCAATGTTGGGTTGTCGCTCTTCTGCCCACTCCATCAGCTCCTGAAATCTGGACTGCACCACATTTAACTCCTCCAAGTTGGTGATTGACACTTGGATTTTCCTTTTAACAAGGTCTTCAAGCTGGAACCAGCGTTGCTCAAAATGACTGGTCTGTTCTTTGACTAATTCTTTGTCATCTAAACTCAGATGTTCTATCATTTTCTGCTTTTGATCTTTCAGATCCTCGATGGCATACTTTCTCTCCTGCAATGCCAGCGCCAACTTTTTCAGAGCTTCCAAGTGGACAGCTGTACTCTCTGCATCGGATCTGTAGATATATTGAAAGACATAGGAACAAATGAGCACCTATCATGATAAATTACATCTCACCATTTTCCTTCAGTGGATGCTGTTTGCTATATCATCGTGACTAGGTCAATTCATGACTTACTGATAGAGGTGCGGTAATTAGAAAGGAAGACGAGCCTCATCTATTTCTATATCAGAAGTTACATCAAAGCATGTTGCCTCAGGACTTCTGTGCCTAACGCTGCCCTTCAGTCACACCTGACCTGCTCCTATCGTCCTCTATCAACCTGTAGAATCTGCATGGTAACAGGGTCCCTAGATAATCTGTGTAATCTTAAACACTGAGAAGTGCTGATGTACTGCATTACTGAAATAGCCCTGAACAAAATTAACAGATCCCAAAATGCAGCAACAACCTGCAAGGGATAACTGATGGCTTGAAGAACTACTCAGGGTGTATTTGGTTATTGTGCACAATTGTATACTTGGGTATTAAAAATCTTTGAAAAATAAGTGTGTGATGCAAAGAATTTCCACTCTTTCGACTAGAACACACACACGAGAGAAAGTAGAATTCTACAGTCTGTCTTTCATATATAAATGATCAGTTCTGGAGTGTGAGAAGCAGAATTGGAAGGCAATTTGATGAGTTCTGTCTGTGACACATTAGATTTGAGGTGCCTATTGGCCTGCTCTAAGCCAGAAATATGATTTTTTTTCTAATATCAACTGGATTTAATACAAAACTAGCAAAGTGCTTAACATCTCAGGAAAGTAAACAAATCAGAAGATTGTAATAAAAACAGACTCAAAAGCCACACTGTGATTTAAGTACATTTAAAACAGTGTCGGCGGGTTTAATTGCAGCTAGTTAACACATACAGCACAAGGAAGATTTAATAATTATAGTTTTAAATGCATGGAAGGATTTTTCCTATGATGATTCAGTGTGGATGGATATGTGGGAGGATGCTTATTTTTCAAAGAAAAGTAGTTAAAAGGGGTTCGTTCACTGCAAAGTCTCAAAGGGCACAAATATTAGAATCTGAATTTTTCACTGATTCTTAGGATATGATCAAAGTTGATTGGATTACAGAGAATGTCTCACTTTACAGACTTGATAAGAAACCCCTGGAGCACATAGGTTCACGAAGATCTACTCCACAAATTCATGGATGGTAGCCCCTAATTGGTAATTAAACAAAGCTAGAAATACTCTTGGAATATCCCGTAAGATCACAGAGCAAAACAGCTGTCTTCAAACATTTCTCTTTTGCCCACTGGAAATTAATATCAATCTAGGAAGCCCATGGGCCCATATCTGACAATATTTGGTTCTTAATAATGTTTTGCCAATGTTGGTAATGGTAGACAGTGATGTTAAAAATATGAAGAGATTTTTAAATTTTTATAGAAATTAAGAAATTTGTGGATTAGCCTGACAGTGATTCACTGAAGAATTTCTGCTACCTGGCCAAGCTATCCCATTCTGTAGTAAAGGTGTCTAAGAAGGCCTCGACGACATTCATCCGGTGATGGTAGTCGCTTGTTCTCTGAAGACCCTCTTCTCTTTGCAGGCACAGCTTGTCTGACTGAAGGCACAGGTCCAGCCACTGCTCATTGAGGTGGCTGATTTCCTTGTGCTCAGGTGACTCCTGCCTTCTCGTTAACTTATTCACCTTTTCTACGATGCTGCTCACTGATGACTGCTTGCACTTCAGTTGCTTCACAAAATCCTAAGGACAGCCACAAAAAATAGGTAATGTGTGATGAGCACTCCCAAATAAACAGAGCAAAACACAAGATACAGTACCTCTTATAGCTGGAAGTTCCTTAATATGAAAAAATGAAAGAGAAAATCTAAAAGTTGCCATACCTCTCTATGAACATAATTTCAAGTGTTTAACACTCAGACTAATTCTAGTTTTCTTTCATTTTGTTAGCTTGAGAATTACAAAGAAAAAACTAAAAGTATCTTTCATTGAATTGAGGGCCCTTAGTCTTTAAAAATATTTAGAGTTCATATTTTTGTGAAAAGAAGAAATCTAATTTATATTGTCCCTTATTCTTTATTCTGTACCTGCAAACAGTATTCTAGTAGAATATGGCTCATTGTAAGAGAAGAAAAATGAATCTCAACTCTTCTAATTAAGTGAATATACTTATGATAAGTTTTGACCATACTTTAAATGGCTTTCCTTTGTGTGTGTGGTACTGGAGATTGAACCTGGGGCCTTGTGCACACTAGGCAGACACTTTACCACTGACTTCCAGCCCTACCTCTGGCATACTTTAAATTATATATAATATAAATCACATTTCTATTATAGTCTTTAATTCTGTATTAACTAATTTAATATGTAACTGATAGGCTTCTATTTCTATAACTTTAGTGGTATGGTAAGGAAAATATGAACATGAATGAATGATGTTTGCTTAGCAGTACAGAGTGAATGTTCTCTGATAAAAAAAAAAGGCCATGTGCCTCTCCAAGCACACATGTGGCTGTTGATTTTATTCTTTCTCCCTCCCTCCCTCCTTGCATCCCTCCCTATTTCTCTCTTTCTTTCTTTTTTCCTCTCTCCCTTCCTCCCTACCTTTTCTCCTTCCTTCTCTCTTTTTTCCCCCTCCCTCCCTTCACTTCTTTCTTTCCTTTTTTCTCTTGTGACAGGGTCTCAGTACGTCCAGGCTGGAACTCTTGGACTCAAGAGATCCTCCCACCTCAGCCTCCTGAGTGACCACATGGGCACACTATGGTGCCCAGCTTATGAAGGTTTACTACCAGATCTGCCTTTCCCTGACACCAAAGGTGGGCTTTTCAGGTTTTCTCTTATCTGTCCCTTAAATACCTGTACTGATGCCTAAGGATTGCCAGGATCAGGTGTATCAAAGTGAACACACTTCATCTTTTCTCCTGTCCTGGTCTCTTTGACCCCCTGAAGACAAAGCAATTCCCACCTTTACTTGGGAAACCATGGTCTGGGCAATATTTAAGTCCAGTTCCGAGTGCCTCCTCTTCATGTTCTGTAACTGCTCATCAGCATCCTGGAGATAAATCCACAACTCAGCCTTCAGTTGCTTGATCTCCTCCCAGCCCTGAGTTAAATTCTGAGCGTGGGCCAGCCTTTGCTCAATCTCGAGAAAACACAGTGGTAGATGTTAGTAGCCATAGGCAGAGATGTGACTCTTCAACAGGTCCATGGGCACAGACAGACAGACAGACACACACACACACACACACACACACACACACACCACACACACACACACACACACACACGTAGATAAGTCCAAAACAGCACTTCTTTATTGCTTCAGGAAAACCAGGTCTTCCTTTAGATTTAGAATTTCCAAAGAATTTAAGTGTCTAAGAGTTATGCCATATGATTTTAATTAGTGTTGTGAAGCTCCAAGAAATTTTAGCAATTTATTAGATTACAGGCTGATCTAATAGTGTTTCAGACAGAGCCTTTTCTTTCAGCAGCACATTTGTTTGACTCATGGGTTTGGTGTTGAAGTTATTAAAGAAGAGTTATTTATTATCTATGGCAAGTCTGTCTTTCCATCTTATAAAATGCTGAGTTATTAATATTTTGTATATAACTTTAGATCTCCTTATTTCTGAAACTATAACATTTTAATAAACCATTCCTATAAACTATTTGGGTTAAATTATCTTTCATAAGGATTTAAAAACAAATTAATTTTAATAAATAAAAGAGGAAACATTTCTTATTTTAATACTATTTTCTTTGGGTCATTTTACTATTTTGTGAATATTCAATTAATTAAATATAGAAACCAAGTCTGATTTTTCTTCTAAACCTGAGTGAGTTATATTAAAGTGGTGAAGGCTGTGGTAGCAGTAGCTGTGAGCACAGGGTCCTGTGCTGCCTTCTGTCTGCTGTGGTCAGTTTTTTTTCTTTCTTTCTTCTTCTGTTTTTGAGACAGGATCTCACTATGTTGCCCAGGCTAGTCTTGAACTTGTGCCCTTTCTTCCTCAATCTCCCAAGTGCTGGGATTTCAGGTGTATGCCACTGCCAGGCTTGAAGTCAGGTTCTGATAACTTATCAATACTTCCCAGCTTCAGAATCCTTCTCAACTCAGTGCTTGACAGCTATTATCAACAAAGGAGAAGGACTGTGACAGATGGCAGGCTCTCTGACATCCCAGGTGTAAAAGGGCAAGGTCAAAAGTCCATCATATTAATTATTACTTTAAAAAATTAAATAGAAGAAAAGAAAAAAGGCATGGGAAAACAGGAAGAGAGAGAGAATGGCAATTAAGAAGTGAAGAAGATGAAGGTGCTAATAAGTAGAGGTGGAATGGGATTCAGTTGCAAGTCGCTGTCATCAGTAACAGCATACTTACATTTCTATGACTTGGATGAAATTAAATATACATTGATTGTGTACCAATAGGAATGTTATAGCAAGAATGACCCAAGAGATACTTTCTTTAAACCTCACTTGTATCATTTGAGGAAGAGAACATATTAGACAATTTGATGTGATTTTATTGTTATTATTACTTTACCATTTGCTCTGTTTGCTGAATGTCTTTTGCTGTGTTTTTCACTGAAGAGTTTGACAAGTCACACATGGAACACAGGAGATCCAAGTAGGTTCTTGCCTGCTCTTGCAAAGCTCTGAAGTGTTTGACCTGAGAAAAGGCAATTGTCAGAGTGAAACAGATGAATTTACTGTTTAGGTGGGAAACATGGGTGCCATTGGTAATATTTTGTTGACATTTCAAAAATGATCTTGCTATGTTCAGTGTTCTTGCCACTGTTATGATGGATGCTAGTGGCTCACGGGCTTCCTTTCTATGTGGGAAGTTCAATGTCTGTTCTTCCCTTTCCACAAGCCCAAGAAGCAAGCAGGCTTCTTCACAGAAACACAGAGGAATGCATTTCTTTGCAATGTTTAGAGTCTAGGGAAGCAGTGGTTTTGACACCAGGAATAAAGCAGTCCACATGCCACAACCCTTGCTTTCATGGAACCTACATTCTTACGAGAGTGACAGGTAATATATAAACAAATACGCACTGCAGTGTTTGGTGGGCTGAATACCAGGTGGAAAAGGAAAGGTGGTCAGGGAACAGGAATGGAAGGAAGAAGTGTTGCTGCCACTCTAGGAGGGTATCCCTAGGACTCTAGGCATAGACCTAAATGCAGCAAGGGAACAAGTCATGGCATGGGGTAAGAACATTCCATTCCATTGCAAAGCCCTGAGGCTGCAGCAGGTGAGCAGGTAGGAACAGAGGTAAAGGAGGTAGGCAGGGACCGTTAAAGGGGAGCTAACCGTATATCCCAGTTCACAGGGTTTATGCCCCTGGCCTAGAGTTCTCAACCTCAAACTAGTGACAGTTGAGGCCAAATACGTCTTTGTGGTGGGACTTCTCCTGTTCCTTGTCTAGGGGGATCAGCAAAATTCTAGGTTTTATTTGCTAAATGGCAGCAACATCCCTATCACTCTCAATGGTGGCACCAAAAATGCACCCACTCATTGCTAACTGTGCCCTGGGTGAGGGGACTCACTATGGTTGCCCACTCAAGAGCCACTTCTGTAATCCCATTGGATTAAGAGGAGTGGATTCTGTTATCAAAAAGATTCCTTTTGTGGACAACAAACTGCATAACCAGACTATTCGCAGGCTATGGAATGAAAAGAGGAATGTACTCTCAGTGTGCTGAGAAGACACTGAGAGAATCATGACCTGCCCCAGGCCTCAGGTCACAAGGTAGGGAGAATGTCTATAGGAGGTGCACACAGCAATGCGACCAGTGAGCGAGCTGTGATCAGTACAGACGAGTTTCCCATTAAGTCAGAACAGCACCTTTTTTGTTCAGTTACCACCTGCCTAGATTTTACTTTACTTTTAGTTAGGATCATCAACCACTAACTAACCAGTGTGCAAAAGCAGAGAAGGCTATCTGTCCCACACAACTTTCAGAAATGAGATGCAAACAAGATGTCAGAATTTTAATTTTGTAAATATATTTAATTTATAATAGAAGTGATTTATTTCGAGATTTATGTAGCTGGGCTAATTCCAAAAGTAATGGAAGCAGCCTGGAGACCATCAGTGAAGAAATAGTTGCAACAGATTTTTTTTTTAAGGCAAATTTGACAGTACTTTTTCCCATCCCCCCCAAATTCACATTTTATACTTTATAAAAACATATGCCACTCTAATTAAATTGTTGCATCAGTTTCCTGTGGTCACGGGGAATATATCATCCTCATATATTTATGGAGTGTTGAACACGGGATGGTGGGGGGAGACAAAATGTTATCTCCAGGTCACAAACAAGATGCCAGTCAAATCTGATCCTGACTCTGTTTTGCTTTGAAGTCATCAATAGTGGAATTCTTCCGTCATTTTCTAGCCAACCACTAAAGGCCTGCTCAGTTCATGTGAACACAGAAGTTGTCAAGGGGAATACTAATTAGAACAAAGCAAAGAAAGAACAGCAGAGACAAAACAAACAGTCCCTTCCCCTTAGCATCTGAGATCCAGATGTCCCCTTCATCTCCTATTCTATTCTGTGGCTACTTTCAAGTGGGGTGACAGACCACTGTGAGAGGCTGTGGAAAGGCAGAACAGTGAGCCACAAGGCCACCTAATCTGCTATCCCAGCAGGATCAGTATCCACCTGTGGTTAGTTTAGTAAATCTGTCCTGTTCTAGAGAAAGGCCAATGGGATTAATACTTTTTTTCCCTCCTCCTTTTGTTCTTTTTTTTTTTTTTTTTATCAACAAAGGAGAAAAATTAAGGTTTTTTTGGGGAAGGGATTTTCTGAATAAAATACAGTGGTACCAAAAAGCTGCAAGACAAGGAGTAACTCATGAGCACTCTCGGTCTAAAGAAAACATGATATGTATATAAAATGTGCCCATAAAGAAGAGTGAAACTGTGTCATTTACAGGAAAATGGATGGTATTGGAGATTATTGTGCTAAACCAAATATGCCAGATGCAGAAAAAGGTATCAAATGTTTTCTCTCATATGGAATTTAAAGAAAAATTTACATGAAAGTAAAAGGGGTTTTGTTAGGGATATAGAAGGAGGAAGGGGAGGAGGGAGCACGAGAGGGTAATGGAGGTAAATATGGTCAAAGTGCTATTTACATGCATGTATGAAAATGTCATGATGAAGCTGATTACATTGCATAATTAATATTGCCAAAAAATGTAAAATTAGAAAAAGCAGGACATGTATAGTTTTGAATATTTAATTTGTCCTGATGCTATGCTATGTCACTTATGTGAGCCTTTTCACACCTTAAATAATGTAAATTGTTCAAGCCAGAAAGTGTACATTAGGGATGACATGACACATTCTCTATGGGGATTAAATGAGCAACTGCCTTGTATTAATCTCAATTAATGGTAAGAAAATGGACTTATTTTGTGACACATTAATTTATATCTGGCAAAACTAACCTTCACAACTAAATTCCTCTAAAATATTTCCCCACAAGGTTAGCACTGCAGAGAAAATCTGCTCAGTTCAAAACTTTTAAAAATCTTTCCCCATATTCCAAGGATTGCACAGCACAATTTAAAGCTTCTGGATGGATGTCATATTGACATGCAGAAAGTTCCTTTCATGCAACAATTACCATTCCATTTATCATTCATTTATTAAGCACTTTGCTTGTGCAAAAAAAAAAAAAAAAAAAAAACCCTGTGGGAGAAGCTAGTATTGCTTTTCTATTTACAAATCATGTTCACTTTTTGGTGTGACATTTGAGTGTCAGCATAACTTTCAAAAGTCTGTACACAGTTGGTCCTCTATATTTGTGGATTCCACATCAACAGATTCAACCAACTTCAGATGGAAAATACCAGAAAAAAGTAGAATTGTGTCTGTATTGAACATGTACAGACTTTTTGCCTTGTCATTATTCCCTAAACACCACCATATAGCAAGGATTTGTATAGCATTTATACCTGCAAGAAAAAAGTAGAATTGTGTCTGTATTGAACATGTACAGACTTTTTGCCTTGTCATTATTCCCTAAACACCACCATATAGCAAGGATTTGTATAGCATTTATACTGCTTTAGGTACTGTATGACACAACGTATGTGGGAGTGTATGAGTAGTTTTATGCACATGCTGCACATGCCATTTATACAAAGTGACCACTTGTATCCACCACTTACATGCAGGGACTTGGGCATCTTCAGATTTTGGTGTCCATAGGGATCCTAAAAGTGTTACTGTACTTATAACCATCACTTGACATAGTAAGAAACAGAAGTCAGAGAAATTAAGTGACGTAGTCAATGGTTACCCCACTGATTAGGTCTCAGAGTTGATCTTTGGTTTTAGAGCTCAGGTGCACATGTCAGTATTACGTCCATTGCCCTGGTTGGAACATAAAGTAGACTAGAGCCAAGCTCAGACCTTATTTATAGCTTTATGTCCCTAGGAGCCAGAAGTTTGGCAAATCAGAAACACTTGATATGTCTGGACTGAACGAATGACTCAGAATAACAAACTTTCAGGAGTTTACTACCTGCTTAACAGCTTCTGTCCTACTCAGAGGTGGCTGCGGGCTTGGTCTTAAGTCTGGCTGGACTGCGGAAAGCCAGGCTTGGCACTGTTGCAGGGTGTCTTGTCGGCTGACATGCTTCTGAAGTTCATGTTCCAAACTCCGGTACACCTGGAGCAGAAAGGTCACACCGAGGTTGTGAGAATTGCCATCTCTCCCTCTCTCTGGAAGCACTGGAATTAAAGGACGCTTATCCTCGAGTACACTTAAATGGATTTTCCCCTCAGGACTTGCAACCATACACGTAGCCAAGGTAGTTGCCTATGTTCCAAACTGTTGCCAAATGCAGGCGCCCGTGGTTCACGCCTATAATCCTAGCTACTCAGGAGGCAGAGATCAGGAGGTTTGCTGTTCAAAGCCAGCCTTGGGTAAACAGTTTGTGACCCTACCTTGAAAAAAAAAATCCCACACACAAAAAGAAAAGGACTGGTAGAGTGGGTCAAGAGGTAAGAGTTCCTGCCTAGCAATCATGAGGTTCCGAATTCAAACTCAGTGCCACAAAATAAAAATAAAAAATAAAAAAGATAACCAATATTTGTCTAACTGTAATTCTCCTGAGTAGAGTCAAACTGGAGCTAAGTTACAACAGAGCAGGGGGGAGTTTGATGCCTTCCTTTCCTTTTAGAAGTTATGTTCCAGAATAATTCATACATTTTCTGATATTCCTATTCAGTCAGTCCTCAACCATCCAACCAATTTTCACTTCATTCTTAAACACATGTTGAGAAATAATTGTCTCCCACTAAAATAAGAAAGAAAAAAAGACCCATAGAAATGAGTTTAGTCTGGGAATTCTGTCATTGTTGAGACAACAGAACCAATTGAACGATGCTTTTCTTTAACATCTGTTCAATCCATCATTTTCATCTGACATTGAGCCTGTCCCTATTTTTTCTAAGCAGAAATTTAAAAAACAAAGGGTTTTGTTCTCTATCATGTTTGCAAACTTCATTTGTTTCTGACCCTGTGTGTAAGAGTTTATTCTGCTTTTAAAAAATTATGGTCTTTCCAACACTTACACTAAAAAAATAAACCTTGAAGGTGTAGTTGTACCTTAAATGCCAAGAAAAAACCTGTGATGAAGAAGTCATTGAGCAATAAATCCACGTGGAATGAGTGAATGAGTGAGCTCACCAGAAAGCTCAAAGCACTGTCATGTTGTTTTTTGTTTTCTCTCTTCTTGTTCTCCTTTGCTATGACTTGCAATTTTCCCTCATTTTTCATAAGGCTTTCCTCTCTCTCTCTCCTCTCTCTCTCTCTCTCTCTCCTCTCTCTCTCTCTGTGTGTGTGTGTGTGTGTGTGTGTGTGTGTGTGTGTGCTGTACTGTAGTTTGAACTCACACATGTGAGGCAGGCTTTTTACCATTTGAGTCGTGCCTCCAGCCCCCATCACAAGGGTTTTTTTTTATTGTTTTTGCGGTACTCAGGGCCTACACCTTGAGTCACTCCACCAGCCCTTTTTTGGAAAGGGTTTTTCGAGATAGGGCCTCATGAAATTATTTCCCTGGGCTGGCTTCAAACCACGATCCTCCTGATCTGTGCCTCCTGATTAGCTAGGATTACAGGAGTGAGCCACTGGTGCCTGGTTCCTATCATAAGTTTTGAAAGTGACTTTTTCAAGTCTAGGGAGTCAGTTAACATTTCCAAGGACTTTTTCTTAATAAACAGATCATTTACCAAAAGTCACTATCTTATCATTTCTTACTGTCCAGCCCAATAATGAAAATACATTTAAACTTAAAAAAACTTTTTAAGCAAAGTTTTGCTGTAAAAAAAAAACACAAAACTTTTTACAGCATCTTTTAAAAATTCTCAAATGATAGAAGGCAATTCATTTTATGATACTAAGTTTTTGTTAAAAAGCGACACTTTTTTCACCTATCTTAGATTCATTTCTGTAACATCAAGTACTCCACTTAAAAGAAAATATTCCCATTAAAATATAATGCAAAACTGGTACTTATTTCTTTTTTCATTTTCTATGTGAATGTATAAAATATTGAATCAGCATAAAATTAGGCTGCATAGAGTTAAAATGATTATAAAAGTTACAAAATACATTTATTTCATTGTTTTAGAATAAATGGCAAATTAGAAAGAAGTTTTGATGGTGTACGAATAAAAATAAGCAAAACAACAGTTTTTCATAATCAGTTCATTGAATAAGGGACTGGATAAAACTGAGTAGCTAAAATTTACCACTCAGCCACATTAATCAAATACATGACACATGGTTCATGTTCACAGAGACTGGGAAATCTGTCCTCTTACTTCTTTCCTGGCAACACATCAAAGCCATCCCAAGGACTCAGGCATCAGTCTTATCTGTGAAACCATCTTGACCACAAGACTTTTCTCCATAACTCATCATAGTCAGAGAACAGTCCGGAGTGCTCACCCTCTGGGCTGTGCTGCAGATGGCCGAGTAACTGTCCCCTGTGCCCTGCAGATGAGACTGCACGCTCTGTTTCAGCTTCGATTGCAGGTGGTCTGCACATCGGCTGATCAAAGTGTCACCTTTAATTTTAAGGTTGTTCAAACGGTCTTCAAAACCAGCAATTTCTTCCATCATTGCCTGTCAAAATAAAACAAATATTGAGCTCAATTAGAGCAATAATTTTATTGTCTAATAAAGTTTTTGAAAAGAGTTTTGTAATTTATTTTAGTTATGTATTAACAAAAAAAAAGCATGTAAACATTTTCAGGGATACTACCACGTAAATAGCTAATGAGCTTAAGGTATTAGTCACACCAGTAATGGGGAATAACTTTAAAGCATGGGGCTGGCTGTGATTGTTCCTGCCTAAAATCCCAACACTCAGGAGCTGAGGCAGGAGGACTGTGAGTTGGAAGTCAGCCTGGGCTACATAATGAGATCCTAGCTCAAAAAATCTAGAAAAAAAAAAAAAAAAAAGAACAAGTGTATGTTAATGGCTGTTCCATGCATCGTGTCTAGAGAAAAAGAGAAAAAGATATTTATATATTTGTCAGATCTTTATAATTCTGGCATAATTTTTATCTAAAATAATCTAATTGCTACTTACTCTCAATTAACTAATACATGCCCTAATATTCATTTTCTGTGACAATCTAATATGTTATTATTCAATTTAGATAACATCTTATAGCTATTAGTACTTATATTAATAAAAATAACGTATACACTTGCCATTTACTTAGCACCTGCTACAGTCCAGGAATTAAATATAAATGCTAGTAACTGTACAGTGACATTGGTATACAGATGAGGAGACTGTGGCACAGAGAGGTCATATAACTCACTCAAGGTAACAGAGCAGCTCAGATTTTCAGCTCAGAGCACCACATAAATCCTCCAATGAGCACTCTGATGGATTACTCTGGAGGAGGAACCGACTTTTCCAAAGGTGGTAGTTTCATAGACTTTACATATAATCAACTGAAAATAAGCATTTTGTCTTCAAGTCGGAGGAGAGACCCCACATCATGAGGTGGGTGACATGACACCTGGCCTGGTGTCTTCTCAGTGCCTAACAGAATGTGTCAGTGCAGTAGGTGCTTTTCTATTCATAGTTGTTAAATAAAATCATTCCTCTGCCAAGAATGCTGAAGCCCAGAGAGGTTTAGTGGCTTTCCTAAGGCATACTACCACGTATTAACATGCCATGGCTAAAAATATTACCCATTAAGATCACCAAAACTTTGCTCCATAAAATTGTGACCAGAAAGTTGGGTGTCAGTGGCCTCACGCCTATAATCCCAGCTACTTGGGAGGTTGAGATTGGGAGGATCAAGGTACAAGGCCAGCTCAGGAAAATAGTGCTTGAGACTCCATCTCCAAAATAACCAAAGCAAAATGGATTGCAGTTGTGGCTCAAGCGGTAGAGTGCCTGCTTTGCAAGTGTGAAGCCCTGAGTTCAAACCCCAGTTCCATCTTAGAAAAAAAACAAAAAACTGTGACCAGATGCCATCTGTTATCTGTCACCTTATGTTAATAAGATAAGAATATGTCATATCAGAGTTGCTCTTTGTGGTTTACAAAATGCTTTTACGAACTTCTCCCCTTGTGATCACCAGAAGAGTTACCTGGCGGGCTGCTGGTGTTACCACGTAACACAGAACACGAACAAGAAGGTGCAGTGAGGCAAAGGTCCCTCAGCTAGGAGGGACAAGTCTGGCCTGGAACCCAGACTTTCTGATTCTTAGCTCTGGGTACTGTGTTTGGCTACACTTTTCTAAAACAGAAGTAATCTCTCCCTTTGAAAAATGACTCCATGAAGACTAAATTCTGAGACAGAAAGCCATTGGCAAAGAACAATGCAAACATGCAACCCATGTGTTCAGAAGCTGAATGCTAGGGTTCAAACTGCTTTCAATTCACTCCAGTACCAAGTTCAATGGCAAACCACAACCGTCAGACTGCCTGAGACTCAGACCTGATTCTTTGGGTAAGAACAGAGTAACCCAGAGCTGCACTTGCGCACAATTGTGTGAGTGCACCCACACAGGCAGGGCGGTCAGAGCTGTCCTGTGGTCAGCTCCTTGGAGATTGGTGTACCTTGTGGTGGGCCAGTTGTTGGGTGATTGTCTCTAGGCTGCTTGTCTCCAGCAGGTCAGGTGCCACCAGCCGGCCGGACATCTGCAGGAGCCACTTTTCCACCTCTTGAAGCTCACTGTTATAGTCTTCATGGTCTTTGACTTTTGCCTCCAGACTGAACACGCGATCCTATGAGATCAGGTGCCCATTACAGGTGATTTTCAATCATGAAAACCTACTCAAAGCTGTTTTGTAAAGAACTCAGGGCAACTTGTAAGGTAAGTAGGATTACTTATATCAGAAAACTATTGGGAATGGGACTGTGGTTGTGGTCAGTGGTAGAGTGCATGTTTAGCATGCATAAGGCCATGGGTTCGATCCCAGCACCATATAAATAATAAGCAGTCACCATGTCACTTAAATGTCCATCTGCTAACAGGAATCATACTGACCCCTATCGTCCTAAAAACTATGTGACAGAGAAAGGAGTCGGGGCTCACACACACCTTGGCAAATCAACACTTTTATTCATCTCTGACCCTTCCTTACCTTCCCTATGCTGCAGAGGTCCTGATAGTCACTTTGAAGTTGATCTACTTTTTCCTTTAAAGTAACATCATGCACGAGTTCCAGAAGAGCTTCACCCTTCTCTCGCACGGAGTTTACTGAAGGTTCATAGGACAGCACCATTTGTTGTAGTGACTTGAATTACAAAGGAAAAAAAAATATCAGAGTCCACTCATCCATGTGAACAAGATCAACAGACACAGATGTCTGTGGAAGGCATGCCATGACTACCTTGGAGAAAGATCTGGTGCAGATTTCTTCAACCAAAAACTACAAGGCATTCAAAGGAGAATGATTTATTGTGGCTAATATAGCTTTGAAATCTGGTACAGAGGACAGTGGAATATCATATAACCCTTAGTATGTGGAAAAGAAAATCTGGAAAAGAATTGCATTTGGCTAAATATAACCCAGTTCATATTTCTGGCTTCTACTTCATTCCTTTCAGCAGAGAAAAATAAATCTCACCATAAACAGAGGGAGGCCACTATTTTTGATTTTGAGGTCATGGAGTCTGTTCCAACTTGAACTAGTCATGGCCTTAGGGAGACAAATTCCAGTTGCAAACTTGCTGAGAAAGGCTACAAGCGCTATTTAAATATCTCAGGAATCTGGGGTGGGGTGGGGGAGGAGAGGTTGTGATTCTTATGTGGCATCTACAGAGACAAGCTGCCAGGCTGGGCAGGGAGGCCGAGTGTAAACATAGACATATTGGTTGGAGATGTTTGGACAAGCTTCTGGAAGGAAGAGTGTTGGGGTGAGCCAGCAAATTGTCATTCTTAACAGCTATCATTCAATCATTGGGTTGAATCATTTCAAACTCAGAATATCTCTATATAAGCTTTTGTGATTGCTTTGCAAATCTGAACAAGTGAAGTATCTGTAGCTGTATCATTGGTAGCTATTATCTCCATCACTATTTATTCTTTTAAAAACTAATTTCTAATGTGTTTAGCTATAGTTGGTCAATGAGAACTTATTACCTTTCAGCTATTATATCTCATTTTCAATTCACCCTAGGCCAGATTCTAGGCCTTGGGTACCAAAAGATGAACGGAACCCCCTCCATGAGGATCTAGAAGGTCTAGATCACACTGTCAGAAAAGGTCTCCATTTATTGATCAATGCAATCAACAAATTTATTGATACTATTTTTGAATATCAGCTTCCTGAGTGAAAAACTAACACCATAACAGCATGTTTAACTAAATCAATCTACACAGATTACAGATCACACAGATCATCACCAGAATGGATGACACTCCAGGAGTTGCCTCCCTCCCATCTAGCCCCAAGTGATAGTGACACCCATCAGTCAATGAATAGCAAGGCACTCCCTACCTTGTATTTAGATAACTGGGCTTTTTTCTCATATAATTCCATTTTGGGCTCTTCAGGGCTGTGTAGGAGTTCCTGGTACTCTGCTATCCACCGAGCCAGGGCTTTGCATTTATCTGAAAATTCCTTTGCTAAATGAAGACCTTTCTCCAGAGTCATGTGCTCCTTCCTGACAGTGCTGGTCAGGTCCTTCAGCTGCTCCACACGATCCTGGATGTCTTTCCTTAGCATCTCTGCCTCTCCTTCCTCCAAGAACTTCATAGCCCTCTCTCCTTTCTCCCGGGCTGATTTCAGCAAGCTGTGGCCTTTCTCCATGTCTTTTAACAAAACCTGAGAAAGAGAGCGAGTAAGAAGCCAATACAGACAATGTTATTCCTCATAAACAAAGGCTTTTAAGGTCCCATTCTTGAGTTTACCTGTATCTCCTTAAAACAAGTTTCTGAAGTTTATTTCCAGGTCTTACCTGCCAGGACTCAGAAACCCTTTTCTTTTTTCTTTACTTCAATAGAGGTGTTAAGCCATGAGCAATATATCATTTCCAAATCGGAGACTTAAAAATGAACCTAATGTTTCTCTCATTTGGAGCAGTTTTGCAGTTGCCTTACAGATGAGAGCTACCACTTTATTTATTTATTTATTTATTGCAGTATTGGGGTTTGAACTCAGGGCCTTGAACCTGCTAGGCCAGTGCTCTACATATAAGCCATGCCTCCAGTCCTTTTGCTTTTAGTTTCTTTTTCAGACAGAGTCTCATGCTTTTGCCTGAGCTGGCCTCAGACTATGGGCCTCCTACATTTGCCACCCAAGTAACTGGGCTTATAGGCATGCACCACCATACTCACTTAATGAGTTACAACTCTTTGTGGAGGCACCAGGCCATGGATGTGGGATGGAGTTTTTTTTTCTCTTAATATTTAAGTGTCAAACTTTCTTTAGTTAGGATGTTGTGGACTGCTGTGTGTAGGTCATTTAGATGACCACACACCACAGACAAGTGGAAGCCAGCCTTGGCTTTCAAGAGCTTATGACAGTATTTGGAGTGAAATGATGAGGCAAGGGTCATGATCACATTGTTCATAGGGACTCTCAAGTTTCCAGTGTCTATACAGGCGAATGCGACAGTCAGAGAAGGAGGAGAGTTGAGAAAAGCCAAAGAGTGCATTCCTACCTCCAGTGCCTTCAATTTTTTCCCCATGATTGCTTTGTCTACTTTATCGATTTCGGTAGCCACGTTCTTGAAGTTCTTATGAGTGGAGCAATACCAATCAGAATAGGAATTCAGGGATAATTCTGACTCCTCCAAACTCTGGATCTCTTCCTCCAGGAATTTGATTTGTTCCTGTGAAAGAAAACAGACAATAGAACCATGAATGCAGGCTCTGAACCAAGGCCTTTGTTGGCCCCTGGGCATCTTCACTGGAGGTCAATGAAGGAAGACCACTGGCCTCACGAGGTGGGTGGGCCTCCCATGAGCAGCGGGACCTCCTCTCACCAGCACTTGGAGAAGCAGGGCCTGGTATCTGGAGGTGAGCTGGGTGGCCTGGCAACCCATTCTGCTGCTCACGTGGGTCTCGTCCAGGATCTCCTGTGCTCTGGCTCCCACCTCCTCAACCTCATCTCTGTGTGCTGACACCTCTTCATGCCTCTTCTGGAATGACATAAGCAGTGGAGGGAAAGACTCAATACCAGCCATCCTTGGATAAGGCAAATACTGTCTGTATTTTCTTAATAGAAAGGATTTCAGTGTGTGTCTACAATATCTTTATTTTGAGCTACAACTTTGAAAATGTGTTATATATTACCTTTGCAAAAAGTTGTCTTACAACAATGTGCTAAAATTGCATGCTTAGACTGGACACAGTGGCTCATGTCTATAATCCCAGCTACTTGGGAGGCAGCGATAAGGAGGACCACTGTTTGAGGCCAGTGCAGACAGTTAGTGAGACCCATCTCAACAAACAAGCTGGCTATGGTGGTACATGCCTGCAGTCCTAACTATGTCAAGGCACAGAAAGGAGGATTGAGGTTTGAAGCCTGTCTGGGGCAAAAAGGGCTGGGGACATGGCTCAAGTGGAAGAGTACTTGGCTAGCAAGCACCAGGTCCTGAGTGCAAACCTCAGTGCCACCAAGAAAACAGCAACGAACCAGCATGCTTATGAGTCTGGGAACTTTTCTGTATACTTGGTTCAAAAAAAAAAAAAATCCAAAGTGGATTTTTTGCATCTTTTATTTTGCATCTTTTATTGCACTTTAATTTTTAAGTAGGTGAAAAATGAAAAAAATTATTAGTGCCTATGCATTATTTTGGATATTTGTGTAGAAATTTATAAAAATCAGAAATGAAGCTAATTCTGAAATATTTTAATATACCATATAATTAACCATTTAATACTAGAACCAAAACTTCAACAGCTACAATGCTATCATGTATGCATTTTACAAAACCATAGATAATAGGAGATGGGAAGAAAACACAAAATACTTCCACTGAGCTATATTCTATCAAAGGCTAATCTACGAAATAATTATAGGAAGAGTTGTCCATTTCATTTCTTTTAAATTGCCAGTCAAGCTGAAAGCGCTTAGCCTTGGACAAACAGTTGCTAAATATTTTCATGAAACAAACGAAGCGTGGAGGGGAAGTCAGGGCTTTCCAGGGTCTTACCTTCATCTGGTGTAAGAGCATCTCCTTGGTGGCACGGTTAGATTGGCGCTCGGTCCTGAGACTAACTTTCTCCTCCATTTTTCTGAGCCAGTCATCCACCTGCTGAAGCATCTGCTCCATCAGCCTCAACTTGTTCACCATGGTGTTGACCTGTGCCCGGGTCTCGGCCAGCCTGTGTTGGTAAGCCTGCCAGTCCTGCCGTAGTGACTCCAGCACCCTGTCCTCAGCCTGCGGGACACCCGATGCGATCACGTCCTCTCTGCTGTGCAACACTGAATTCAGCAGCGCCTGGCCCTCTGCACAGTGCACTTGCAGCTCCTGAGAGAAGGGACATGGCAGTCAGTCCTCAGTCACATCTCACACTGGCATGGTCAGTGTGTCTCAGCCAAGCCAACTGGGGCAGCAAACACTTTCTATTATTCTACCTGACACTGTTCCCTCCACAGTTGCTTTCCAACACTGCTGAGAGAGGCTAATTTTCCAATTAAAATAATCAACGTACACAGTGCCCTTCCATGTTTTTCTCAATGAACAGTTCTGAAATTTGACATTTGAGCTTATAGGCGAAACCACTCATGATTAAAGGGCCATTGTTTAAAAATTAACATAGGCTTATTATGGCTTAAAATCTGCTGAACGCACCCAAGGCTTATGACTCTGACATGGGACAGATTCAGGGCCACACTGCTGCTGAGAAAGTCTGAGTGGAGCCTCCTTTGGCTATGGAGGGGTCCTTTGCTGGAGCTGTGCTCAAGGGGGTGTCATGGCCAAGGCAAGTTGGATGTGGAGGGAACAGGGCTATAAGCCTGGGAGGCTGGATCATCACACTTGCTCCCTTTCCCCAGGTACAAAAATAAGCCAAAGCAAAGTCCCAAAAATTTACCCTACAAAATTCAGCATGAACCACGTCTTACAGACATAAGCTATCTTTTAAAGAAAAAAAAAATTGTATCTTTAAAGATGTTGGCAAAACATCTTTAAACATCTTTATTTTGTTTCTAATTTAAAAATATCAAAAATCAATCCATGATGTCACTTGATGTCATCTAGGGAATCAAGTCAAATTTCACCCAGCATGTTAAAGGTACCAACATATTAAGTTAAAATGTAGGGTTAAGAAAAAGTGGCTGGAGATGTAGCGCAATGGTATAGTGCTTTCCTAGCATGGGCAAGGCCCTGCACAGAAATAAAAAAAAAAAAGCTAGGTATGGTGATGCACACCTGTAATCCAACATGCAAGAGTCAGAGACAAGAAAAAGGACTGAGAGTTGGAGACCAGACTGGGTTATGTATCAAGACCCTCAAAAGAGCTAGGCGTCAGTGGCTCATGCCTGTAGTCCCAGCTACTCAGGAGGCAGAGGAGGATCACAGTTCATAGTGGGCAAATGGTTTGCAAGACCTATCTCAAAAAAAAAAAAAACATCACAAATAAGAGTTGTTGGAATGGCTCAAAGTGTAGGCCCCGAGTTCAAACCCCAGTACTGCAAAAACAAACAAACAAAACCTTCAAAAAAGAAGAAAGTCCTCACTACCATATATACAACCATTTCAAATTACTGGTACTCTGACCTTTTCTATAGAAAAAATAGCAATTTCACATGCTCCAAACTAATAGAGCATTTTTGCTCAAAAGCAATATCACTCTAAGAATGGTAAAAGGTGAACATGTATGTGAATGAAAACAGAACATATGTGGTAAAACTGATAAAAATGGCCACAAACACAGAAACTTTATTCCATAGTTCTTATATTTTCTTCAAGTTATTTTTGTGTAAAATTTCCCCAATTTAAGGTTGCCTATAATATTTTAGGCTTTGTGAATTTTTTGGTCTGCACTACAATTACATAATTCTGCCAGTGCAATACTAATGCAACCACAGTCTGTATGTGAATGAATGAGTGCCTGTGTGCCAATAAAACTTTACTTAAAACACAGGCATTGTGGCCACAGGCTGTGCTTAACAAATTCCTAGCTTAATTTTTAATCCTCCCAATTAGTCACCCTTTCCATGTTTTATAAAAAAATTTATCTATTATACAGATCATCATTCTATCAGATAAATGTTCAAATATATTTCAATTATTTATGTTGAAGAGAAAACAGTGTAATATTTACATATAGGGAGGGGATAAGACATAGTGATAGAGGGGGTGAATTGATGAGAGTACATTATATGCATACATGGAAATAGCACAATGAAACCCTTTGTACAGTTAGCATATGCTAATAAAAATAAAAATACAGCAAATCTATTGTTACTTGTTTTCCTTGAAAAAAATATTTCAATAAAGATGTGGAATCCAGACCTAAAATAATGATGACACTGACAATGATAATAATAATGATAGGACAGGAGTATAAAAAGGATACTGTCTGGAGCGGGGAAGGGGCAGGAGGAGGAAGGAGGAAAGGAGGGAGTACTGGGGAGGCATTACATATATATATGCATATGTATATATACACACGTACACATAGATACATATATAAATATATGCATACATATATAAATCATAATGACACCCACCAAATACTGCTTGAAAAGGGGGGGGAGGGGGGGACGGCTCTTGAAACATAAAAGATGGGGTGAACTTTTTCAAAGTACACTGTAAGCATCTTTGGAAATATCACATGAAACCCTTTTGTACTATTAATAAATGCCAGTAACAAAGAGAAAATGAAATGTAGCTGTGTTGTGTGACCCAAATTAGCCTTCAGCTCACACAGAGTACTTAGTGACCATGTTCACAGCAGTGAGCAGAGGATGTCAGGATCCTGAAGACGTTTTGCCAGGAAGGTGGAGCACCACGATGCTTTACCACCGTTTCTAGACACCCACGCCTTCCTCCTCTTCAGCACTTGTGGTGACTCGGGTGAGACAATGCAGGAATTAAGGTGTGGGGAGGCTGGCAGTTGGAGTTAGGTTTGGGTCACATTAGTTGGACTTAAGTGAAATATATTCTGATGAGAACAGATAGGTGGTGAGTAACTTATGGCCCAGCAGCTTATCGACACAGCAGGCTAGCGAGTTTAGCATTTGCTTACCAGGCTGTCTGGATTGAAGTGTTTAGAAGGGTTATGAAGAGAAACACAGTCAACTGTTCTCAAATCAGTCACAACAGTTGATGGGCAAGATGGTTCATACCTGTAATTCCAGCACTTGGGAGGCTGGAGGCAGGAGGATCATGAGTTCAAGGCCAGCTTAAGGTCCATAGTGAGACACCATCTCAAAAAAACAAAAACAACAACAAAACAAAACAAAACCCTACAACAGACTGGATGTGGTGGCACGAGTCTCAATGTCAGCCAGTTGGGAGGTGGAGGTAAGAGATCATGGTCTGAGACCAGCCTCAGGCAAAACGTGTAATCCTATCAGAAAAAATAAACTAAACAAACAAAAGTCTGGTATAGTTTAAATGGCAGAAACTTGCCTAGCAGGTGTAAGATCCTGAGTTCAAACCCTAGAACTGCCATATACAAAAATGTAAGGTAAGGAAATTGGGACCCTTCTAACGTCTATTCTGTGTTTTGTGGAAAGACCCCATTATAAAGTTGTAATTGGGCAGACAGCATTTTATGAAGTGCCATAAAATCACTGCTTGACATGGACCTTTTCCAGTTCTCCCCCCCCCCCCACCCGTTAGCTCCTACTCGGAAGCCTCTCAGATCCCTACCTAATTCTTAAGGTGGGATTGAGGGCTTTGTGTCACCATTAGATTCCTGCATTAGCCTATTACTTCTTCACGTTGTTTATAACACTCTCCCTCCCAATCTGTTCCTCCCTAGATTGTAAATTCCAAAAGACAGAAATCCTATCTCAATTGTCTTTACCTGCAGTAGCTAGCTGAGTATCTGCACTGTGCCAGGTAGCCAGGAAATGCTGAATGAGTGAATAAGGAAATGAGTTATGACCACATTCCTCTCTCTTCCCCGTGAACTCCAGGCTGCTGGCTTGAGCATTGACTCTTTCCATTTTTCTTTTTGGTGGGACTGGCTTGAATTTAGGGCTCTTTGTGCATGCAAAGTAGGTGCTCTATCACTTGAGACACACCTCCAGTCCGCTTTAGTCTGGTTATTTTGGAGATGGCATCTCGTTAAGCATTTGCCCAGGCTGGCCTCAAACCATAATCACCGCCCCCATCTCAGACTCTCAAGTAGCTAGGGTTACAGGTGTGAGCCACCTGCACCCAGTTTGGCAACACTTTCTTTAACTCCTCTAATTCTTCTAGAACTCTGACCCTGGACTTGTATTCTCAGCAGTGTGGGAGGTTCTGGTTGAAAACAGATGGCCCAATTACTGTCATCAGTTTGACTTAATCTTACCACATTCTGTCAACATCTACTGTTGTGTCTATTCTTCAGTGAACACAAGCAGGTGTTTCAGCCAACCCTACAAGTTAGATCAATAGCCACTCCTGCCATTCAGCCTAGTTGCTGAGTGAATATCCCAACATCTGGTCCTACCGTTATAAAAAACCATCTCAACTGTCATACACTGCCAAGGTCACAAAATATGCTGGATCAAGTCTTAGTAGGGTTACATTAATATGTATCAGTTAGGTATACATAGGGTTCAAGGTCATCAACTCCTGTTGGTTAAAATAACAAGTCCATGCTCACAATGAAGAATCCTTTGTTTTTGGATAAAGTATACTTTACCTGAAGATCTCGCAAGGTTGTCTCGTGACTGTGGGCATCACCTTCAAGAACTGAGTATCGGTTGAGCTTTTCTTGTTCCTGCCCCAGCCAAACTTCAAATGCCTTCAGGTCTCTCTGATACTCTTGGTGCAGCCGGACAAGTTTTTCATACTTGGTTACTGTTTCCTGTAATTAGCATTTAAGATGATTAAGATAGGAATACATTACTATGTGAAGTATTAATGTACTATAAAAATGCACTTTGGGAATTTTAGAAAAGCAAAATTATCAAATCACTGGAATATGAGTGATTTCCTAGAAGAATGGACTTTTAAGGTATAGGTACAGGATACAGAAACAAATATTTCAGGACTAAAAGGGATATTAAAGAGCATTTTGTTTAATTAACTATATGATCTCTGAATTTTTGATGAAATGTTAAACACATGCCAAAAATGAATTAACTTTTTATAAAAATTCATTTTGTGAATGGTCAAAATTGAAATTCTTATGTTGTATCTTAAATAAGAATTTAGACCAGTGTTGGAGGTGTGGCTCAAGTGGTAGACTGTTTGCCTAGCAAGTGTGAGGTCCTAAGTTCAAGCCCAAGCACCACCAAAAAAAATTGGGGATACATGTAGCTCAGTGGTAGAGTGTTTGTCTAGCATCCACAAGGCCCTGGGTTCTATCCTTGCACCACAGTTTGGAATCATCAAGGCTTTAATTTTCTGAACTGTGCCTAATAAATTAGGATGTGCTATTAAAAAGTATTTTTATTTCTTTGTGAAGCTTAGATGGAGAATTATAAATATTATGGTTACATTCCTACTTGATAAAACTCTTATCAGCAGACATAGTAAAGCATTTATGAGTCTTCATTATGAAGTCCAAATTTTTTGTGATATTTTCAGTTGAGAGTTATTTTACTTCATTAACTAACAATATTTGAAGGTTTTTGTTTGGTTTTGCTAGTGATACCTTTAAAACATTAAAAATGTTTAGCATTTCTTGTTCTACCTGTTTTCATGAGGCTGTCATCTTTAAAAATCAGTGAGTCTTTAAAAAAGCGCAGCTCTAAACACTTGGACAGGGGTGAGTCCACAGGACCCGGCTCAGCCATACCTTGGCCCGCTCTTTGATTGCTAGGTATCGTTCCTGCAGGTCCTGGAGCTCTAACTGGGTGACATAATGCTTTGTCATGCCTGCTCCTTTGACTTCAATGGTCTCCAGCATGCTGCTATGACTCAGCACTTCTTCATTTAATAACTAGAGAGCATTTTAAAAAATAAAAGAGTTACCCATGCACAGACATATTAATGATCCTGCTAAAGCTAAGAGATTTTAACTGGACAGTTGGCAAGTGAACTCAGATTATCCATCCAACCATCCATCCATCCAATCATCCATCCATCCAACCATCCATCCAACCATCCATCCATCCATTCAACCATCCGTCCAACCATCCATCTAACCATCCGTCCAACCATCCGTCCAACCATCTGTCTAACCATCCATCCAACCATCCAACCATCCAACCATCCATCCAACCATCCATCTAACCATCCATCTAACCATCCGTCCAACCATCCGTCTAACCATCCATCCAACCATCCAACCATCCAACCATCCATCCAACCATCCATCCAGCCATCCAGCCATCCATCCAGCCATCCATCCAGCCATCCAACCATCCATCCATCCAACCATCCATCCATCCATCCATCCATCCATCCAACCATCCAACCATCCATCTATCCATCCATCCAACCATCCATCCATCCATTCATCTGAATGATACAGACACATGTGTGAATGCACAAATGCACATTTGTGTGTATGTAGTTCATATCTGGTCCAGAACTTTCTCTAATTCCTAATTAACTGCTTTATATTTCTACTTGAATATCTCAAACTTCATATATCCAGAAATGGGTTCCTGGTTTTAACCCCATACTTCCTTCTCTCCCTGTCTTTTTCCAAACAGTTAATATCACCACCTCCCTCCCAGACCTCAGATGGCCAATCCAGAACACTGGGGTGGTGCACTGCGCTCTCACCATTCTGTCACTCCATCTATAGTGAAATCCTGTTAATTCTACTTCCCATGATGTCATGACACTGTCCTCATGTCTCCTATGAACTCCCCAGGCTAGGCTGCCCTGTCTTTCACTTGGACTTTTTACAGCAGTCTCCTAGGCAGAGACTAAGTGAAAGGTGAGTGCAGCCTAAGTGAGGGAGTGCACAGGAGGCATGAGGACAGGGCAGGAAGAGGTCCCTGCTACCACTTCCAACTCACCACATGGCCCCTCTCCTTCTGTCCCAGCAGTTCTCTCCTTTCCCCGTTCTCTATTGCCCCTGGACCTTTCACTCCTGAGGGCCTATGAACATGCTGCTTATTCTATATAGAATAAACATTCGCCAACTCCTTCCAGACTAACTTCTCTGTGCCAAATCCTGTAGGGTACAGTCTACACAGTTCCTGTTTCAGAGAGGCCTTTCCCTTCCTTCTGTCCTGATCCTCAGTGGTCTGTTAGCCACTCCCAAATGATTCTGTCACACCTGCCATTTCCTCACAGCACTTACCATTGATAACTATTTATTTACACAAATATTTATTGCTGAGTTTATGTGCCCCAATAAAACATATCTTTGCCTGTTTTATTTAGTAAGAATGGGGCACAATGCCTGCATGTAGCAACTTCTCAGTAAATATTGGGTAAATAAATAATTTAGTTAATTATGCAACTAATTTCTATAACAGGTAATAAATTTAGAAAAATTATGAAGCAGGCCATTGTGATTATATCAATTTTAAAATGCATAAATGAGACCCAAAAATACGAAATTAGAAAGTAACTTGGCACAGGTCACATAAAACCATTAGTCATCCAAATACCTTACTCTGCATTTGTTTAGCATCAGACACAGAGCCAAATGCATAGAGCATAAGGAAAATTAAGCATCACTGTCCACTGAGAGAACTAATTAATCCCGAACAACTAATTAATCCTGGGCTGGGATTGGGGGAGTATCACAGCACAGTGACTTCTGAACTAATCCAGAGAGGTGAGTGGGGCACTGCCAGGTGCAGAGGAGGCGTGAGGACCCTTTGCAAAGGGAGGAGACTCTGCAAAGACATGGAATTTTGTAAGATTGTAGTGTGTTTAAGAAGAAGTAGTGTCAGATTGTGGAGTTAGTGGGCAGAGGATGAGAGAGGGAGGAGGTGAGGATGGCAGAAGAGAGTGTGAGAATTCTTAAAAACCACCTGAGGGAGACTGATGTCACATGGCCGCCAAAGGGACCCCAGCAGGGGCTCTAACCAGGCAGTGAGGGAATCTTCTTTATGTGAAGATAGCGGTCGGTGTAAATGAGAAACAAGGCCAGAAATTAGGAGTCTTATAATTTTATGAAGTGGACAATAGGCAGATGGTGATGTGAGGCAGGATGAGGAAAAGAAGCCTGGGATAGGGAGGTTTCCAATTTAGAATGTTCCCTGGGATGATCCAAATAAACAGAAACAGAATTGAAGGGCTGGAAGGATTTCTATGCCGATGGCTTACATGTGATATTCCACAAATGTGCTCTAGAGTGAGGTACAGCTCTAAATAAAAGGCCTTGAATGCTTTATGGTCGAATATTACTATCAATAAAAGGGTTTTAGAAATACATATTACCATTTCTTTATTTTAAAAGTCTTTACATGCAGTAGCACTAATATAAGTATAATGAAATGTGCACTAAAGTAATAATACAAGGCTAATAGAGTGCTTGCCTGATGTGCACAAGGCACTGGGTTTAATCCCTACCACTACAAAAAAAAAAAAGGAAAAGAATGGAAAGGAAAGGAAAAAAGTAGTAATACAAAAGAATGTGACAAAAAAGAAAGCAACCCTACTTATGAATATTAAGCAGTTCAAAAACATTAAAAGATGTTAAAACATGATGGTCTTGGAAGAGAAAATATTCACTCATCAATTAAATGACAAAATCTGGTTTTAAAAGGCATTAGAAATTGTACTACAAGCTGCAAATATAATTTCTCTGTGTGTACAGCCCTAGAACACAGGCAATCACATTCTGTCTGACTGGTATTCAAGCAAGCCCATAAGAAAATAAGTGGACTCTGACACCCATCTCAGACCTTGGCTTTTCCAAGAGCAGTTACTTTCTCCCGCAGCTCTGCATTCTGCCTCTCTGTTTCGTTTAGGCTGCCTTCCACACCATCCATCCAACTGGAAAACTGTCGAATGTCATCCTGATAACTCGTCCACTTAGAAAGAGCTCCTTCGAGTTGACTAGAAGAGATTTGAAAGGACAATTGTCTATAGTGATAACCCTTTTGAGTCTGGTGCCTGTCATTGGGTCTGCTCTTCCACCCCAGCCAATAGAGCCTTTACATGTTGGGAAAGAGGCAAACCTAGGATGAGCAGCTGGCCAGAGTTTATCAAATCCAGGTCTAGGTGTGTGGTGAAAATAGCCTCAGTAAGCAAGAGGCTCAGGCAGCCTAAGTGGAAAGGCAGAAAAGTGGGAATGGACACAAACCCAAGAGGCAGTGACTCAGGCACAGCAGGCACTGGGAGGGAGCTGACGGTGAACCTAGAGAGATCCCCGGAGTGGGCCTTTGCTGCAGCCAAAACTCAGGGCAGGGAGAGAACTGGTACTTAATCTAGTTGGTAGAAGATGTTCAGAAGAAGAAGAAAGAAGTTACTAAAAGAAGGAAGCATGAATTTAGGAAGAATAAGTATGGTCACCACCTTGCATGAGATGTGAAGAACAGAAAACCACAGTGGAAAAATAGAGGCGCATTTCCTGAATTGGTAGAAGTATTAATTATTTCCCTTACAGAGAAGCAATTCCCTGTTTCAATACTCATTATATACTTAATCCCATGAATCACGGAACCTAATTTTAATGTCATGATTTGGGTCCTTTTACCGCAGACACTGTCAATGGCCTTCCCCACTCCTACATCTACCACTGCAGCTTCCTGCCAACTGGGCTTCCAGTTGTTGAACCCCACCTCTCTTAGTCCAAGGACATTCTGGTTCCTGTCTCACCCTCAGTATGAAAGCAATGTGGACTAGGAGTGCCAGAAGATTGTCACTCCCTGGGTGTAGCCCTCAACTGCCCTCCTGCCCCCACTCTCCCGCCCACTCTCCTGCCCTTGAGTGGGGTAACTCAGAGGTACTTGCTGAATCACAGATCCCAGGTTGCCCAGCCAGGCAAGTTCCAGTGGCCCATTGTGATGACCTGTTTCGTAACACTCTTTCCCACTCTCTGACTGGCATCTCCTGGGGTTACCTCCCAAATAAACTATGTGGTTTTAATGAAAAGATCTTTATATTATGGAACATTTATTTATCTTTTGACTTTTAAACAGAGAATAATAACAGCAAAAGAAATGTTCATTTTTAGTTAGTCATATTAAAACACAGGCACAGTAGTGCAGGTCAACCTAAATGGAAGGGTATACCTGCAAGTTTCTTTTCCTCTAATAAGAAAAAGAGAGGGAGAGACAGGAAAAGAGAGAGAGAGAGAGAGAGAGAGAGAGAGAGAGAGAGAGAGAAGCAAGAGCAGCTGAAGGAAGGAAGGGAGGAGGGAAATAGGGAGGAAGGCAGGAAGTCTGTTACTGAATATCACAGTGCTCTTTCAGTAAAGGTTGGCCAGCATTTAGTAAAGTTTCACTCACCTTTTACAGCGAATCGCTGCAGACAGGAGGGATGCCCACATATCCTTCACAGCCTGTAGTTGCTGCTGAATAGCAGGAATGCCTTCTGGAGAGGTATTCTGCAGGACATACTCCCCCCTGGTCACAATCATTTTCATCTGGATCTCTTTTTCCTGTTTCACCGATAACAGAGCCTGAAAAAACAAATCGAGAAAACTTTGTATTTGCATGTTTACTATTTCTGGCTTCAAACATCTCAGAAATCTGAAGATATTAGAATTAGAAGTGTCTTGCTGTTGATTGTGAGCAGCCAGTCCCCAGTCACTTGCTGGTCTCTATGTAGCCTTAGCATTGCAGGCCTGAGTCTTCTCTGAAAAATCCTCTTCTCCCACGAACATATTATTTTTCTGGTTTCAATAAGGATAAAGCACATTTATAGTTGAATTCTTGATTTCTCAAAGCTCACAGCACTTCTATGGAAAGAGATTGTATATTTCGAGTTCTTCATAAACACTCTTTTTTGTATGGGAGCGAAGTTTCAATTCAAAGTTATAAAACGGGTAGTATTCCCCTAAAAAGCAAAGCTTCATTACTGTTCCTAGGGCTGGTGGAGTGACTCAAGTAGTAGAGTGCCTGCCTAGTAAGTGTAAGGCCCTGAGTTCAAACCTAAGTACCACCACCAAAAAAGAAGACCACCTAATCTGGATCTTGGTGTCCTGTCCAGCTTCAGTTCAGCCCCTCAAGGCCTCATGTCCACAATGCCAAAAAGGAGCTGGGGACAACATCTCTCAGCCTCTGCTCTTTTTCCTTTGGCTTTTGCTCTCACTTCACCTCCTTGGCACCATCTTCAAACGTCTGCCAGTGTACTTCTCTCTGTCATTCCTAAAAACTTTGGCTAAGTATCGACTTCCTAAGAAACTGTCCACCACAGTTCCATTCAGTATGCGCTATTAACACCCACAAGCACATCCCCACCTGTTTTCATTGTCTCCTGCATTTCAGCCTCAGCCACAGACAATGAAATCCTGGAGGACAGAGGTGACATTTTATTCACCTTTGATTCCTTGTGTCAAGACAGTGACAGTCTCCTGGAAGGCACTCAGGAGATGAAGGAGAAATGAATGAACGAAGATTGATTATTTTTACCACAAATGCAAAACAGAACTGACATCTTCGGATGGGAGCAGAGTTGACTAATACAGGTGGGCAAACAAGTTGAGTAAGATGGGCAATGTTTTCCCTATAAAATGTTTCATCAAAATATTTTCTCAAAATAAATGTGACTGTGATGTAATTTAAAAACTAAACAGTAACCAAGCAAGTAAATACACTTGGATTTTATTTTAGCTTATTTTCTGTAAAGCATTTGTGTGTGGTCAAATAACCCAGGAATGATCAGGAACAACCATCCTGTTGCACACAGTATCATAGCCATGAAGCGTTCGGAAATTTCTTGTAGATGGAGAGAGACACAATCATGCCAGGTAGATGGAGACTTGAGAAACTAACTATGAGGAAAACAAGACCTGTGGTTACGTTAGCGATCTCTAGAAATGCTCACCTCAAGTTTGAGCATCCTGCTGTCCAGCACACTCTTGTCAGATGTTGGGTGGCAGTAGGAGTCCAGCATGTGAACTGTGTCTGTCATCCAGTCCTGCAGTTCTTTCATTCCAAGGGAGAACTGATTGTGCTCGGCGACGATTCTGTCCAGTCTCGACACTTTCTCCTGGAAATGACAGAAACGGTTTTCTAGCTGTCCACTTCACAGAGACTTTATAGCCTAAAGCTACTCAGATTGTCAAGCTAATGGTGTGTTTGAAACTATTGCCACCAGTCACGGCTTCACTCACAGCAAGGTAAGATGTAAGTCTGGGTTCATTCTAGGAGATAGGTGAGGCATTTTCCAAAGAAGTTAAAACACTAGGCTAGCGGGCTTAAAAGGCAGAATGACTGCAAGTCACTGTCACCCAATCATGTCACCATGATTCTTTAGGAGAATCATAAGTTTTTTTAAGCCAGTAAAATTTCTCCCTGATGTCATGTCTGGGATCCTAATCACAGTAGTTTTTAGCTTTACACATCACGTTTGGCTCAAGTTGATAACACACATCACTAATGACCTACACTGTCATCAGACTTTTAAATAATCATAACCTGATATTTGCAAATCCCTAAATTATACAAGGCAATACATTGTATTTTAATTGATTCATAGTAATTATATGTATTTATGGGGTATAGTGTGATATTTTAATACATGTACACAAGGTGTAATGAGTACCCCTAAATTTTAAAAGATGAGACCATTCATGTGGTTTTACTTATTAATTACAGGTCATATACACCATAGTGAAGGCTTTATAAGAATACTCTATAGCTCAAAAAGCATCCAAATATCTATTACTTTTTAAATATCTAAGAAAGTACAAAGGAAGAGAAAGTTGTTCCTTATTTATTCTAATTTTAGATATGAGCAGATTCTTTAAAGAACAAAGAAAGTCACTTACTTATTCATCAGGTAAACATGGGTGCAAAGTTAGACTTTCCCAAGACCTATGCTAGTGTGATTATTTCAATAATGCTTTGTTGAAGATCCAAATTAACAGAGTAGAAGTTACTTCTCAGTAAAATTGGTGAGGCCAAATTAAGGAAAGGACTGAATTACAATAGATTTCCTACATGCTAACATCTAAACTTTAAAAACCTACAGGAAATCAATGATACATGAAAAAGTCTGCACCCCACCTGCATCGCTCTAGCTAAGTGCTCTCAATGAGCTCCCTAATAGAGCCCACCTACTTTATTCTAAGCTATTTGGAGAGATTTAATTAGTTATATGAATCATTGCCAATGTGAGCTTTGCTTTAGCATCTGAGCTGAAACTCAATCAACTCATTCTTGACTGTATGTCATGAATATATGGAATTTAGACAAATTGAAAACATTACTCTAAATTCCTTATATTCAGTCCAATAAAATTTAAACTGCTTTTAGTTCATGTTTTTGTAATTTACTCTGAGATTCTTTGCAGCAAAAACTCTGAATTTTGACTTATAATTATGCATTGAGTCTTCAAAATCAAAGCCACAGGGAACTCATCATTTTAGTACTGAAAAGAATATTTGAGCAATCAGTAGAGATCAAAAATCTTTTCACCTTTGAAACCTCCCTTGCTAGCTCTGGAGAGCCACAGTAAGAGGTATGACACAAGTGATGACCTTGAATTTTGAGGCTGGGGAAACGGCACCTACATGTCTTATTGCTGACTTAGAGACACCACTCTGTGGGCGGGTGAGGATGGACACCCTGCAAAACCCATCACAACTTATTTTGGGACATCAGTGTCACACTCACACAAAGCACATACATGCAGGCATTACCTTGGTTAAATTGCTTAGCACTAGATACTGAGAAGACAGTTGAGACACTCTGTGCACAAAGCTCTTGCTAGCAGCTTGTCCTTCCCACAGCTGCACAGCTTTCTCCTTCAGCCTGTTGAGCTGAGGCTCATAGCAGTGGATTTCCTCAAGGACAGACTGAAAAGCACAAGCGAGTTACATTCAGGGGCTGGGGAAGCACAGTGCACACGAAGCTCTGGCCCAGAGAACATGGAAATAAACACTGGCAAGCAATCGGCGTCTCCTGGCGCCCTGACGGCTTTTTACTTCCAAGCTGCACACAGTGGAGCACTAGAGGAAGAAAACCAATCATACCTAAAGGAAAGTCAGAAAACACAAAATCTGTCAGGAAGTGGGGGAAGGAGACACTACATCTCAAGACGATATAGTCTAAGTCCAGGGTACCCGGCATGCATGTGTTGGAGGAAGGGATGAAGATGTGGTTAGATGGCCTGGCCTTATCACCTGGAGTTTCTGTTGCTCTCTCCTCTTCGCTGGCAGATCATAAAGGCGGTTGCTGCTTTCCTGGACCAGTTTCTCGGTTTTACTCAGCCAGTTCTGTACAGGTTCAGTACTCACTTCGAAGTCCTTCATTTGGATCTTTAGACTCTGTATGGTTGGAGATAATATCAGGACAAACCAAGCACAACAGCAAACCCAAACACAAATCCACAGTCCTTCATTTGGCATTCAAAAGCTCCACTTTTCAAAATATAACTTTTTTCCCCTCCAACTCTCCAGACCATCTGAGGACCACACCACTTTTCAAGTTCTACGCATCTGCTGTTCACACCAGCGGCCACAGACTTCATCACAGAGTGGGCTGGACTGTGCATTTTTATCTGATGCAGCCAGGCCTGGACCTGAGACAAGACATGGTTCCTTGTAGGAATGTAATTTTTTTTTCGGTACTGGGGCTTGAACTCAGGGCCTACACCTTGAGCCACTCCACCAGCCCTTTTTTGTGATTCCTTTTTTCAAGATAGGGTCTCATGAATCATTTGCCTAGCTGGCTTTGAACTGCGCTCCTCCTGATCTCTACCTCCTGAGTAGTTAGGATTACAGGCATGAGCCACTGGTGCCTGGCGGAATGTACATTTTTATTGGGAAATATTTTGTTGATTTTAATTAATGATTGTGTAAGAAGTACCATATATATGCACATATATATAATACATTTATATATACATGTATATAATATACATATACATTTATATATACATGTATATAATATACAAGCTTATTATATTTCTTAAGAATTTTATTGTGAGTTTTAAAGAGATAAATACAAAACAATGCTATATGCTTATTACATGAGGACAGGACAGTGTGAATATTTACACAGGTACTTCTAGCTCAAGAGTGTGCTAAAAACCGAATTCAGCAACACATCAAAAAGATTATTCACCACAACCAAGTAGGCTTCATCCCAGGGATGCAGGGGTGGTTCAACATACGAAAATCAATAAACGTAATAAACCACATTAACAGAAGCAAAGACAAAAACCACTTGATCATCTCAATAGATGCAGAAAAAGCCTTTTGATAAGATCCAACATCATTTCATGATAAAAGCTCTAAGAAAAGCTAGAATAGAAGGAAAAGTTCCTCAACATTATAAAAAGCTATATATACAAACCTACAGCCAGCATTATACTTAATGGAGAAAAACTCTAAAACCATTCCCTCTAAAATCAGGAACCAGACAAGGATGCCCACTATCTCCACTCCTATTCAACATAGTACTGGAATCCTAGCCAGAGCAATTAGGCAAGAAGAAGGAATAAAAGGAATACAAATAGGTAAAGAAACTGTCAAAATATCCCTATTTGCAGACGACATGATCCTATATCTTAAAGACCCAAAAAACTCTACTCAGAAGCTTCTAGACATCATCAATAGCTACAGCAAGGTTGCAGGATAGAAAATCAACATAGAAAAATCATTAGCATTTCTATACACTAACAATGAGCAAACTGAAAAAGAATGTATGAAAACAATTCCATTTACAATAGCCTCAAAAAAAAATCAAATACCTAGGTATAAACCTAACAAAAGATGTGAACGACCTCTACAAGGAAAACTATACACTTCTGAAGAAAGAGATTGAGGAAGACTATAGAAAGTGGAGAGATCTCCCATGCTCATGGATTGGTAGAATCAACATAGTAAAAATGTCGATACTCCCAAAAGTAATCTACATGTTTAATGCAATTCCCATCAAAATTCCAATGACATTCATCAAAGAGATTGAAAAATCTACTGTGAAATTTATATGGAAACACAAGAGGCCACGAATAGCCAAGGCAATACTCAGTCAAAAGAACAATGCAGGAGGTATCACAATACCTGACTTCAAACTATATTACAAAGCAGATAACAATAAAAACAGCATGGTACTGGCACAAAAACAGACATGAAGACCAGTGGAACAGAATAGAGGATCCAGATATGAAGCCACACAACTATAAGCAACTTATCTTTGACAAAGGAGCTTAAAATATACGATGGAGAAATAGCAGCCTCTTCAACAAAAACTGCTGGGAAAATTGGTTAGCAGTCTGCAAAACACTGAAACTAGATCCATGTATATCACCCTATACCAATATTAACTCAAAATGGATCAAGGATCTTAATATCAGACCCCAAACTCTTAAGTTGATACAAGAAAGAGTAGGAAATACTCTGGAGTTAGTAGGTATAGGTAAGAACTTTCTCAATGAAACCCCAGCAGCCCAGCAACTAAGAGATAGCATAGATAAATGGGACCTCATAAAACTAAAAAGCTTCTGTTCATCAAAAGAAATGGTCTCTAAACTGAAGAGAACACCCACGGAGTGGGAGAAAATATTTGCCAACTATACATCAGACAAAGGACTGATAACCAGAATATATAGGGAACTTAAAAAACTAAATTCTCCCAAAACTAATGAACCAATAAAGAAATGGGCAAGTGAACTAAACAGAACTTTCTCAAAAGAAGAAATTCAAATGGCCAGAAAACACATGAAAAAATGCTCACCATCTCTAGCAATAAAGGAAATGCAAATTAAAACCACGCTAAGATTCCACCTCACCCCTGTTAGAATAGCCATCATCAGCAACACCACCAACAACAGGTGTTGGCGAGGATGCGGGAAAAAGGAACCCTCTTACACTGTTGGTGGGAATGTAGACTAGTACAACCACTCTGGAAAAAAATTTGGAGGCTACTTAAAAAGCTGGACATCGATCTACCATTTGATCCAGCAATACCACTCTTGGGGATATACCCAAAAGACTGTTACTCCAGAGGCACCTGCACATCCATGTTTATTGCGGCACTATTCACAATAGCCAAGTTATGGAAACAGCCAAGATGCCCCACCACTGACGAATGGATTAAGAAAATGTGGTATCTATACACAATGGAATTTTATGCAGCCATGAAGAAGAACGAAATGTTATCATTCGCTGGTAAATGGATGGAATTGGAGAACATCATTCTGAGTGAGGTTAGCCTGGCTCAAAAAACCAAAAATCATATGTTCTCCCTCATATGTGGACATTAGATCAAGGGCAAACACAACAAGGGATTGGACTTTGAGCACATGATAAAAGCGAGAGCACACAAGGGAGGGGTGAGGATAGGTAAGACACCAAAAAACTAGCTAGCATTTGTTGCCCTTAACATGCAGAGAAACTAAAGCAGATACCTTAAAGCAACTGAGGCCAATAGGAAAAGGGGACCAGGAACTAGAGAAAAGGTTAGATCAAAAAGAATTAACCTAGAAGGTAACACCCACGCACAGGAAATCAATGTGAGTCAATGCCCTGTATAGCTATCCTTATCTCAACCAGCAAAACCCCTTGTTCCTTCCTATTATTGCTTATACTCTCTCTACAACAAAATTAGAAATAAGGGCAAAATAGTTTCTGCTGGTATTGGGGGGGAGAGGAGGGGTGGAGTGGGTGGTAAGGGAGGGGGTGGGGGCAGGGGGGAGAAATGAACCAAGCCTTGTATGCACATATGAATAATAAAAAAAAAAAAAGAAAGAAGAGTGTGCTAATTACGTGTCATATGGGACCATTTCTTGTTAGCCAAGGTCTCTACATTCAGGGTCTATTCCTTATAAAATACTATACTGATGTGAATTTGTTGTTTATAATTGCTATGTGAACCAGTGAAGGACTTTAAGTTCATCAGCAATTTAGTTAGTTTTGTCAAAGCACAAGTCCATCCATAAAAGTTAGCTGAGAAATGAAGTCTAAGGACCGTAGAACCTTTGGAATGAAGACTCAAAGTTCAATTTCCATCTGACCCAGAGAATCTGCAGAGTGGGGACACTTGAACACATTGTCCATCCTCACCTCTGAGGGACATGGGTTAGCTATGGGGACACTCTGAAGAGTTAAAAGAGTCTTGGAAGCATAAGATACCGAGATAACGCTTACTAAAACCTAAGCTTCATGAGGGCAGGACTTTTGCTCTGTTTCATTTTCTGCTATATTCCCAGAACCTAGAATGTCCTCAACAAAAGGAAGCTGCTCAATAAGTACGAGTTGAATAATTAAATACACTGACACATTCAAGGTGTTTCCACCTTCCTTTTACACAAACTGGGGGATTGTTCTATAAAGAAAAGATACCAAGGAACAAAGCATTGGGGGCCCAGCCAGAGGTCCAATATGAAAGTAAGTTGGGTTCGTGATCTGCCAAGGGGCCTGGGTAATAAGGATAAGGACAGAGCTTTGTATTAAGTTCTAAAGTTCCTTCTAAACCGCTCATGGTCCTTGACAAGCCTCCTATAAAATGCTCGTTCTGCATGTTTGTCCAATTATTTTTCTGAGTACCTTCAATGACCACTTATAAACTTGAAATTTATATAAGTGTATTTATACAATCCTGGGATAGTGCCTGTGTTTGAATTTGTGCTCCTCACTGATTAGCTGAGACATTAAAGGTTTTAAGGCCACCTTGTGCCTTAATTTCCTTCCTTCCTTCCTTCCCTCCTGTCTCTCTCTCACATTCTTTCATTTTTAACCTATACATCCCAGGTTAACCTAGCAATTTCTATGAAGCCCCAGCTGGTCTCAAACTCACAATCAGCCTCTTGAGTGCTGGGATTACAGGTATGAACTACCAAACCTACCTCCTTAATTTCTTCATCCACGAAATGGAGATAAGAGTTTATACTATTCGGAAATGGTTGAAGATTGCACTGACATATGTTAAATGCCCAGAACTGACTAGTATATGCTGTCACTGTTTTGCAGCTCTACCCTCTGTCCTGACCCTTACACTTATGCTAACTATTGCCTTCCTGGTTGTCTGCCACTGAATGTCTTGCAGGCACACCAACTTCAATGTGAATTGAATGGAATGGGTTATTTCTATCCCTTCAGAACTACCTTTCCTACTGTATTTGTGTTTCAGTTAATGATACCACCATTCATGACATCTTCCAAGCTAGAGACTGTGCACTCAAGCTTAACTTTCTTTCTCTCCTCTACCCCTCACCTAATTAATTGCTCCACCCTGCTGCATTTTAGAGATGAATTTCCATCCTATTGTCATCTCTGTAACCTCATCTGCACCACTGTCAAAGCTTTCTCTCCTTTTCTAGCTGCTTTCTATTCCCCATCCGGTTTACTCTGTGGTCAGAGGGTTAACATGCTCATCTCTGAGTTAAAGACCTGCACATTCCTCATTCAGTCTTTCTCAACCAGGTTCCGGAAGAGAATTCTGTCCTAGTGCCCTAAGTATTCAAAATGAATACATAATGAGGTACTTCACTCCATTTCATCTATTATAGCATGTGTTAGGTCCCATCCTTGGGAAAAATGTGCCTGGAGTTCATAGGAGGACCCTGGTTGAGAGCTGAGGTCAAGGTCAAATTACATGGCACACAGACATCTCACTATTTGTTCCTAGTCTTTGCCTCCAGTTTACCTGTTGCTCTTTAAAAACTTCATGTTGATATCAAACTTCTCAAGATTCCCCATCCATAGGTGTCACTTATCCTTCTGTATGAAATGCATGTCAGCAGTGGCAATTCAAAGAACACTTGACGTTCAAGATTTAGTTTACATGTCACTTCTGTGGACACATTTCTGAACTTCAAACAGAGTCAGTGGCATCCTTCCATGAGTGATGACCCCTCTTCCCCAAGAACACACCTGTATTATGTTACAGTCTCTACAATATGAACTCTGTGAGTGAGTTCTCATACTATTCCTATTCCTAGTGGGAAGGAAGGAAAGGAGGAAGGAGGAAGTAAATCAAATAAGAGTTATACCTGCAATATGGACAAGGCATATTCAAAAAATGGGCAATTACTCACCTACTTCCCTACCTTTGGGCATCTCTTGAACAAGATAATCTTATGCTAGATAAACTACACAGTTTATGCTTGGGAGCTCAGGCTACCTTGCACTAACGGTTCTTAGAGGGTTGGGGGGACATTTCCAGGCACTGCACAATGGCTATCACTCTATTACATAAAGGATTTTGTAACAGCTGTCATGAAAAACATTTGTTACAAAAGCGAACTGTATGGTCTTGGGCTAGGAAAGAATTGAGGAAGTACATGTTTCTTTTCTTTTTGAATACTAATTATCATCATCTCTTTTATATCCTGCATTAATTATGATCATAATCAAATTCACCATCTATTTTGCCAGTAAGTGTCATTTTAAAAGGAAAAGATACTTTCATGCTTCTATGTTTACCTCTGAGAGAGCTAATACACAAAATCAATGAGCTCAGAAGAAAATAATAATTGCATTGTAGCTATGGTTATAATAAACTGTCTCTGGAGAAAATCAAATTACATAAACATTGCCTCTTTGCATACTTACCTCCTAAAAACCTACTACCTAATGTTTGCATAACTTATAATATGTCCTTATAAAAAGGTAGCATTTCATAGCTTTCCAGGGATATTTTTATTGATTCTCTTAGAACCTAATGCACTTCAAATGAAAGATTAAGTGCCATGCTTAAATGTGAAGCTAGCTCTTCCTGCTGGGAGAGAGCATGGGTAAGTCTGTGATGACACCCTGAGACTCCCTAGCATGTGGGAAGCCATCTACAGCCTTATGGCAGCTCTCACTTCTAGCACTGAGCAACATTTTGCAGTAATCCAATTTCCCATTCACATGCAAGCAGAGATGACCAAATCGCTGATATGCTGATACCATGGTTTAACCAGGACCACCACAACACAACACAGAATGCGACCATGTAGTTGGTTGACCATATTGTACCTCTAGGGCAGATTCCTTCTGGTGCAGATTTGAATGAAAAGTTTTCCAATCTTCTTTTGCAGTTGCAACTTTGGCCTGGACACCTTTCGCCTTTTCTTTGGTCAGCACAGAACTCAGAAGCTCTCCTTTTGCCAGCATTGTGTTTAGCTTATGCTGCCCATTGTCACTCTCAGACAAAAACTCCTGGAAGGAAAAAACATGAAATTAGGCACAATAAAATCCTCTATGATCTAAAGTCCTTTGATTTTTCTATGCATTTCTAAGTAGAATCAAAGAAAATAAATAAACTTTTTCTTGTACATATTAAATGATCAGGTCTTCCTTTGATAATCAAATTGTAAAGTATTTTATTTACTAATCTAAATTATGGCTTGTCCCCAAAAGGGTGTGAGCTATCTTATGAACTATTAACAATTTAATTAAATTAACAGGAGAGGAAATGAGGGCCAAAAGAAAATAAGAGTTGTAAAATAATCCTTGGCTAAGTTTAGTTTGCAAGATATATGCCATATGGTTCTGTATAATTAGTGGAGCTGGATTATTACTTGTGCTCTGAGCATCCTGGCTGACAAAGCAAGAGTAAACACAACCAGGTATCCAACTCACAGGACCCGTACAATAAAATCAAGCCATCTGCTCAGCAGAAGCACAACTTTCCTAAAAAGCAACAACAGATGATCTTCCCTGGGGAGTTTTAAAGTCAATGCTATTACATGGAATACATGGTATTATTCATAAAGTATAATGAAAACTAGCAACATAGTATTTTATAGGGCTGTCCTTATGAGAGACAAGTCAATGGCTAATGCCAAAGTGTAATTCAGTAAAGTAAGGCCACATTACGTATTTTTCCCATTTGGCTAGATCCACGGATATAGTCCCCCCGCTAGCTACATAAGTAGATTGTATGCTACAGTCAGTGTCCACAACCTGCTATGGTTTGGATGTGCCTTGTCCTCCAACCATCCATGTGCTGGAGGCTTGGTCCTTACTGTCGTGATGTTAAAAGATGGGGACTAATGGGAGGTCCTTAGGTCACTGGGGACAGAACCTTGAGGGAACTACCTGTTTTCATGAGAGGGTTCTTCTAGGGGAACAGGCCTAGCCTCTTTGGCTTCCTGTCTGATGATGTGTTCTCTTGCTATCTCCATTGTGGTGCCATCATCCATGAGGCTATCATTAGAACTGAGCTGATTCCAGAGCAGTGCCTTGACCCTTCAGAACTGTGAGCTAAATAAACCTATTTTCTTTATATAAGCACTATGTGCTATTGATATGCAATTGGAGCTCCAACCTACTTTCTTTTTAAAGAAACCTACCTTGGGTATTTTATTCTAGTCATAAAAAATGGTAGTCCCTCACCAGAACATCTGTTTTAATGGATGCTCACCTCATACATGGAAATGGGCTGAGGGTCAGAGGAAAGGCTGTCCTCAAAAACAATACTGGAAGGGAGGGGGTGGGGGGAAGGGGGGAGAAATGACCCAAACATTGTATGCACATATGAATAAAAGAAAAACAAAAAAAATTCAGTACTGGTTTTCTCCAGCACAAGCACATTGGTGGCTGAAGTTCCAAAATTTTACATCCTAGCCCAGAACAAAATATTTTTATTTTTTGGTGGGATTGAGGTTCAAACTCAGTTCTTGTGCTTGCAAGGCAGGTGCTCTACCACTTGAGCCACACCTCTAATCCATTTTACTCAGTTTATTTTGGAGATATAATCTCACTATTTCCCTAGGCTGGCCTCAAACCATGATTCTCCCCCAATCTCAGCCTCCCAAGTAGCTAGGATTACAGGCATGAGCCATGGTGCCTAGCATGGAAGAATTTTAAAAAGAGCAAATTTTCAAAACAAGAGTTATCCCATTACATTATAAACCAAGAATTCAAAAAAGCGAAATAGATACGGACAATACTCTTTCAGAGCCTGTTCTGGTAGAGGATCTTCATGCGTGAGCACTTCTATGTAGCTATATGCATATGACCTCTGGAAAAAATTCAAATTTCATAAGCACCCACTCAAGACTGCCAGTGCACAAAACACTCAGATGCATCCAAGTATGCAGGCAATGCCACTGGTGTGTCTAAAACATGCTGGGGTTGAAAGTGGGTAGATGAGACACCAGCTAGGTGCAGACAAGACTAGAGAAACAAACATGAAATCGGGCTGCAACTTGGGGTATTTCACACTGATCTCACTGAGATTCTATCCATACATGGGGAATAATAACCTTAATTATCTGGTATGGTTAGAGTGAAAATAAAATGAAAACCCACTTACAGTGCTCAGGCACTGTGATTATTACATAAAAAAAGGCTTTTATTATTTCCTCAGCCCTCATAATCCGTAAAAATAGCAGGCATTTGTGCATATAAATACTAGTTTTTCTTTAATTTTTTCAAGGGGTATTTATCTGAAATTTAAATTTGTTAGGTAAAATTTTAATACACAATACACTTATGAAAAGATCTAGAGGCATGGAGTAAGCCATTTGAGCACTGGTATCAGAATGAATTGACAAAAGTCTTACCTGTATTTTCTGAAGACTTGCTGAAACTTCATTCATGTTCTGAGGAACATCAAAACATTTAGCAGTTGTGATTTTTGCGTTCATCAACCACTGCTGGAACTCCCTGAAGGCTTTTTGAAATCTTTGCTGTAAAATCTGCTCTTTATTCTGGCAGCCCTTGGATGCTTGCAAACAAAGACTGAAAAAGTGATTCGAAAATTTAATGAAAGGCAAAACTGATAAAGTTGATTAATTTTGATAGCATCAGCAGTTCTTAGAACTGCATTTATCTTATTTAGTAATTATTTAATTCTTAGTTAATATTATTATTGCAATCAAACCCTAAAATATAAACCTCCTAGCTTCTTCATCTACCTTTCTTTTTTTCTTTTTCATTTTTGAAATAGGTCTTGTTATGTTGCCCAGGCCGGTTCCAAACTCTATGCCAGCCTCCTGAGTAGCTGGGATTACAGGCCTATGCCACCACTCTTGGTTCAGCTTCTACTTTGTATAAAAAATGTTTTGAAGCCAGGTGCAATGGGCACATCAGTAGTCCAAGCTACTCCTGAGGTTGAGGTAAGGGGACCACTTGATCCTAAGAGTTGCTTGGGCAACACAGTAAGACTCTGTCTCAAAATTAATAAGTAAAAATAAAATATTTAGAACATCACAAAGGTTCATGCTTACCAATTATATTCTTTAATCAAGTCAGAAACTTCCCCACTGTATGGACTCAGGTCCCTTGAAAATCGACAGAGCTCATTCAGTTGAGACTTGAGCAACTCTGTCGTGGGCTCTGCTTTTTGTAAGGCATCCAGGATCTCCTGATAGAAAATAATGAGACAGCTGAGAAAGCATTTAAACTCAGCAATTTCAATGTCCTCCTACTAGACACACACAAATGACATATAAATTATATAATCATATATAGATGATTAGTGAGGGCTAGACCAGCACAGCACACTCAGAGAAGAAATGAAGTCCATTTTCAGGAATTCCCTACACTCTAGTATTACATGGAAAGTAGCTAAATGACTAAGTGGTCCAATGACTTAAAGTGGGAAGAAAAGAAAATAGATGACTTTTTTTTTTTTTTTAGGAAAACCTGACTAGACCACTGGGAGATGTGTATACTGTTCAAAGGTGAAAAAGATCATTTCAAAGAAAGCAACACTTCTTTTGGATTAAATTTATATATAGCAATTGATTTTAGTAGTGGATACAGTTAACTCTCACATTAAGAATTTCTTATTGTTGACAGCTGTGATTTGCTTAGCAATTCATTCATCTCATAGTTTCATTCACACAGCCAACAAGTATTTGCTAAATTTCTGTGTGTCAAACATTTTGCTGGATTCTGCACTCCTCCCTCTCCATCCCTCTGCTAAAGGTATCATTCTCCTTGAAGAGATTATGACTTAATTGTTGAGACACCTTAATAATCACAGTACTGTGTATACTTAATCCAAAGTAAAGTCTTGGGCTTGACAAGTAACCTTTGAAATCCCAGCTGTGATCAACTGGGTTACACAAATGCTTTGTAATTAGAGCATTTCTCTTATAGGGTGGTCACAAGGAGCAAACGAGGTCAGGGTGTTAAATACTTAGCACCATTCCTAAAACACTGATAAATGCCTAATTAGTAGGCACAAGTCCAAAAATTTAAGTGAGACTATGTAGATAGTGGTATCAGCAAAGGAAAAAAGAAACAAAAACTAAGAAGGGGCAAGTAGGTGAGAAGGTACTCAAATGGCTGTTGCTGTTACTATTACTATTCTCAGTGATATTTTTTGAGAGAAGTTCCAGTCTGTAGAGAAACTGATGCAGGTCAGGGCATAGAAAAGATGCCTGGAACTCCTCAGACCTCGTGCAACTTATCCTCAGCACCTTTCATGCTAAACTCATCTTGGCCCAGTGCTGTCCTTTGCTGCTGTAAATTGTAAGACAAAGCCTTGGGTTGATTTCAGCCTCCATTACCCCTCAGATAGAAGCATGAATAATGATACACACCCTGGTCTGAGCCACCACCCTTGCCTGGGACCACCTAAACCTCTCCCCACTCACCAATTATTGGTGGTCAAAAAACTGCTCAGGTTTTTCCCCACACAGGTTAGCATGATCTTTTAAAAACACCTTGCAACAGAGAGAATGTTCTCTGTATCCACCTGATCCACCATGACCTATTGTAACTCCATTCTCTGACCTTTAATAAACTTTTATTATCGCCCTCACAAAGTCTACACATCCTGCCTGGATGCATCCATGTAAGATGTAACAGGAATTTCTGTTTACCAGTCACTACAACAAAACTGCATCCCTTATCAACAAACCAGGTCCATGCTGTATCCTCATCCTGTCTATGGCACCACTGTCCTCTGCCGATGTCAGCATCACCCTGCCTGACCTTCTGCTTCCCCTTCCATATCACGGCAGGGACGCCCAGGGTTAGCCTATGCTTCAGCTCCTTTGATCATTCAGCTCTTTGTCTTTGCATGTTGACTGTCACCACATCTGCTTATCCCTTCATCATTTCTCCCTGGAATGGCACAAAAGTCTCCCCGATGTGACTCCTGTTCTCTAGTTTCCTCTCCTACATTTTCTCCTTCCTTAGTAAGTTTGCATCTTGGTGATATTCTCCACTGTAGCTCTCTGGTCAAGTTGTAATGACGCCTCAGGATTCAGCTCAAGTACAGTCTCCTCTGGGGATCGTCTGTCCTTCTTCCTTCCTCCTAGGGCCTCTTGTCACGAGATGGATATTTGTCACAATGAGGTTCCTCACTAATTGCACACTTGTCTTTCCACTAAGACTATGATCATTAGAGCAGGGATATCCACACTAAACTCTGCCTGGGGCAGAGGGTCTAAAACATTTTTATTTACAAAATTCATAGAATAACTAGACAGTTTCTTTCTAAAACTCCAAATGTTAGCCAAGAACAACTATTTTACACAATATTGATCCTTTTGTCTAAGCAGGGAACAATGTAATACCTAACGAAAAGTAAGAACAGTGAGGTTCAAGTAGGTCACTTATGAGTTCAATGACATTAAAAGTGAAATGCTTTTGACCAAAACTTGACATTTAAAAAATATTAATGACTTAACCCTAGATTAAGACATTTGGGTAGAACCCTTCCTCATGCAAATTCTGCATTGGGTTATATGCTTTTGATTCACACAAGTCCTGGAATATGGGCATTTTTTTTGCTTTATACAGCTAAAGAAAATTGCTATCTTTTCAACACTAAGAACCCAACAGATTTTAAAGTACATTTTGCAAACACAGCGGAGAGGATCTTTTACCATATCATATTATACAGTTTATAGATCATTCATTTTTATGGTTTAGAGGATTTCTTGAGCACGACCACTCAATAATATAAAATAAACACCTGTGGAGGGTTGTGGTCCTTATTATTAACAGCAATGACAAGGCCTCCTTAATAGTCAAATGATGCCACCAGAACCCAAGAAAATGTACTGTTTTATAAACGTGTTGCTAGATAGTCATTGTAACTGAAGTATTAGCTTACTTTTTAGATACAATATCATTAGAAGTAAAATATGAATATTAGAGGAAATGTACTACTGTCCACAAAAACATTAGCTGAAGAGCCAAATGTCAATGTGAACCTAAGCAGAGAGCTGAATTACTACAACTGAAAACCCACATTTACTATTGCACTATTTCTACAGCCTTCACTCATGTTTTCTAGTCATAGTACCAATGTAAGAAATAACAGTAACTGAGAACAGTAATATAATCGAGGTACAACCAAATCTTCCTTTAAAAAGAAATTCCACTCACATTAATGGAATGAAAGGGAAAGAAAAGGGAACCAAAACACTTTTTTTCATAACCAGATCACATGGAACAATTTCTAACTTCTTTGTCACTGTTCTCAAGAACTAATTGCTACATTGGATTCTGATATATAAGCTTAAGGGTACAGAAAACATCAAAACCAAAACCAAAACCCCCTCGAAACATTACAAACGAAACAGCATATAGAAATGACTATAACGATTTCTTTTAGGATCTGCTATAGCTGCTACAAATATTTGAAAATATTTTAAAGCAAGACAATGCTGGAAATAATACGTGACTTCCTCAGTGGCTGGAGCTATTTTGAAATGATTGTAACATAAATAGAAGCAGAGAAGTTTACTTCACTGAACTTCCTTTTAAGGACAGCTGTGATTCAGAGCATCAAAAAACTGCAAATATTGACGAGCCTTTCAAAGCTCCTATTGACAGTAAAAGAAAGGATGAGGACTCTGCCTATTTTTCACGAGCCCTTTTCTGCTTCCCTTTCCTGAATTCTGAAAGAGCTTGCCATTAGTTAAAAAAAAAGCCAGGAAGGCAACCAGTGAGAATGATGGAGGACTTGTGTTACCGCGTGTTAACGGGCTAATTCCAGTTCAGCTGTCAAAACCACATACAGAAATGCTATTCAGGGTGAAACTGTTAGTTATGTATTACCTAATGTGTGTCTTTCAAAGCTATAAATTCAATCGTTTAATTGTTGGAAATAGTTAACTGGCAAGAACTCAGCTATGACTCGCTGTCTATTTATGTCTCTGTCCACAGGCCATTTGCAGGCTGAATGGCTGAATACAGTATTGCTAACTCTTACACCATCAGAGAGAGAGCAAAATGTCTCCACTAGGAATAAAGCTTCCTACAGGAAATAATAGTTCCTGCCCTTCAACAAATGTTAATCTTTAGCCAAAGCTTGATTTATGAGAAAAGGAAAAAGATCAGACTTTGCTAATTCAATTAGATAAATACTTCTTCCAACTCTGAATGCTGCATGTTTTTAGTTAGCAAGGACTTTTATTTTTTAAGTAACCATGACAGTCAAAAATTTTTTAGCATGATCACTGATAGAAAACAGAAAGCCAACTTACTTGTGCTTTGTGCCAGCCTTCCACTACCTCCTTATCTGTGTTCTTGCCTTCCAGGAAGGTTAGCTGCTGGGCCCAGGTTTTCAGAAGGGCACTGAACTCTTTCAGGGCCTGCTCAAGTTGGGCCACCTGGCTTGAGAACTCCTGCTCTGAGAGGGCCATTTCACTGACCAGGTTCTCCAGGTTGCTCTGCGTCTGGAACACGCTGTCTTCCCACTGCTTCCAGTCGGCTCGCAGGGCCTGCATCTCTGTGAGCATGAGCTCATACCCACTGGCAGCTGTGTTCTGTCTCACTGCAGGGGCCAGCCACTCCACTCGGCTCAGGCGGCCAGCACCGATCTCTCTGGAATCTATCAGCTCCTGTAATGGAATATTGCCATGGAAACCAAGGAGGTTGTGAGTCACTTGGGCTGCAAGTTTTCAAATGCATGTAGAGAGGGACTGTCCTGCTAGGAAGTTTGAGCAAGTGTGCAGAAGGCACCAGAGTCCATGCATCCACCCACTCTCGTTATAATAGCAGGGAATTAGTACTGTGAGAACCCAGGCTGGGGCAAAACAACCCAGGATGCTGAAACAGACTCAAAGGACACTGAACCCAGACATTGTTTGAGTTTGTGAAAACGTTTTGCTGGTGACTTGGATCTTTGCCTCTGGTGTCTTGGGCCTGTCAATAAGTGAACCCACATTTCCCCTCAATGGATGGATTAGTAAACAAGGATGTCATGGTCTCTGTCCCATTCTCATCTTCTTCCACAAGACGGTGGCTTAAATCCTACTTCCCTTCTGCCGGGAATCCCACTGACACAGCACAGCAAAAGAACGCACCCTACCAATTTCAAATACTTCAGCACCTTCAGTAAACACTTTCACAGCTACTAAAGTGGATCATTCATGGACTGGCTTAATTAAAAGTTTAAAGTAGCCTCTAGACTTTGTTTATATGCTGCTATTATTTTTACTTTTAAAAAACTCATTAGAAATATGACATTTTTAGTCTTGAGACACACATCGGTAAAGAATAACAAGATAAAATGCATTGCTAAATAGGTAAGTAGTGGAATTTCTTTCTGAAAATATATTCCTTTCTTTGTTGTTTTTGTTCTTGAGACAGGATGGCCTTGCACTCCAGAGATTCCTGCCTCCGCTTCAGGAGTGAAGGGCTCACAGGTGTGTGCTGTTATGCTGGCCTCCTGAGAATAGATTCTTCTAGTGAAATTTTTCTTCCTGAAATAGTCACCTGGGGTTTATATATTTATGTATCTATTGTTAAAGCCAGGATTTTTTTTTAGCATCAATACAAAATTATGACTTCAGCCCTGGATTAAATAGGAGAAAAAAGGTGATTATTTGGAACAAAAAACTACAAGAAGGAAATCAATTACAAATTAACAAGAAAAAATTGAGATATGATGCATACTTTATAAATTATGTTACGTATAAAGTGTATCTTAGCCTATCTAACAGTTTGCATTTCATTTAATTGGCCTGTAACAAATCTATTTTCTCATAATTCTGTACAATAGAGACACATTTTAATGAAGACCACTTGAAAGTAATTATGCAGTGGTCCAAAGAACAATCACGAGAACTGTGATTTCGCCCAGGTATAAATGTGTCCTAATACACATGTAGCATTTAATATACCCAGTCAGCCTTCTTGGCATCAGGATTCTAAAAGCTGTGTTTATGAGTGCATGTAGTGTGATTTGAAAAAGAAAATTAGGCTGGGGCATGGCTCTAGTGGTAGAGCATTTGTCTAACAAGCCTAAACCCCAATACTGAGTTTAAACCCCACTACTGCCAAAATAAAGCAAGAAAAGAATACTTATAACTTTTTCTAAAGCATTAAGTCTAACAAACAGATTTTAAAACTTACAATGATTTGACCTTAGGAGCAATTTCAAATTTGGAGTTCACAGAATTATCATGTCAAAACATCAGTGTTCCCGTTTTCTTTGGCATGAATACGGGTCGATATTTGCAATCACTAATTCTACTTATCCAGATTTTGAATAAGGACGTCATGATTATAGTGTTCTAAAATAGCTGTTGCATATATTTTCTTGTCTTGTACTTGAACTTTTTGAAACTATCATCTTCACATGCATTTACACCCTCATCCTCATCCCCAGTTACTCCTGGGGGATGGAAGGGCCTTGGTGTTGAAGGACAGGTGGGGGCTTTCTTTATCACCTCCAAGGTTTCTATTCACCCACACTCCAGCCTACATTCAGGCTGGACCTGAAATCCTGAGGGGTACCTGTGACAGCCTTCATTTTCTCTTTCCCAAATTGTTAATTCCTTCTCCTGTAATTCCTATTGTTCAGGAGGCATTTCATAAAGGCTTTGAGAGAGAGAAAGAGAGAGGAGAGAAAGAAAGAGCATCTGACAACCCCAAAAGTACGCTTTGTGAATGAATTGTCTTCCTTTGTCAAATTAACTTTCAAAGCACTGATCTGTCTTTGCGACCTACTTTTCCCCACTGCCATTCCCTCCTAAGTCCCGTGATCTCCTACTTTTCCCCACTGCCATTCCCTCCTAAGTCCCGTGATCTGATTTCTCACCTCACCATACTGTGGAAATGGCTCTTGGGGTGATTACAAAGAGCCTCACTGTCAGATCCAGTGGGCACTCTTCAGTCTTCCTGCATCTGTGATGGCGACCCTTCCCTACCTGAGCCTTGGAGACACCATGCCCTCCTAGTCTTCCTCTTGTTACCTCTCTCCTTTTTCTTTCTCTCTTTGCCTCATCTTCTTCTGTGGCCCCTTAAGTCTTGGAAATGCCCAGGTTGTGGTTCTGTGCCCACTGTTCTGTTTTCTATGCACACTGGTCTTGGTTTCATCACTTTGGGAGCTTCAACTGCTAACTATAAGCGAATAATTTCCAAAGCTGTGTCTTCAATTCAGCTTCCTAAACTGAAATAATGATGTCATTATTCAAGTGCTGCCTGGACATTATTCCCACCTGGTGGTTCAACTTCCATCTTGATACCTCCCCTCTGCAACCAGGCTCCTCTGCTCAAGCCTATTTTCCTCAGGTGGTGATCACTCTGTTGATTTCAAGACTTGACTTTCATCCTTGACTCTTCCCACCTTGTCACCCATAGCCAGTTAATCACTCATTTACCAAATCCTATGGGTTTCCTTATTGAGTGATCTCTATGTTCCATATCTGATGTTAAATATCTTCTATGAATGACCTAATTTAGTCCTCAAAGAAATTCTATGGGGTGGGTTCTGGTTTCTGGTTTTTTTGTTGTTGTTGTTGTTAACCAATTACGAGATGGAGACTTGAGCCTCTGCCCAAAATGACTTGCCCAAAGAGACAGCTAGAAAAATCAGAAGAGACAGGATGCAGCCCAGGATTTCACTGGTTCCAGAGCCTGAACTCTAGCCAGAATAGAGAGCTGTTCTGCAGTAAGTTGCTTGCTGTGATCAGCCCAGCAGGCTGGTGGATGTTTTAGTCTCTCACTCTACAGAAGCACATTTGCATGCAGAAACATACATGGACCATCTCCCAATTTTTCTCACAAATATAAACAAATCCTATTGAGTTATTTTCTTAAATCTTGTTTATGTTTACAATTACCGAGGGGTGAATCAATAAAGACCAACCCAAATCAAGAAGGAAACGTTACAAATAACAGAAACTTAGCCACTAAATTCTTATCATATTCTGTCTGTTGTCTCATGAAACAATGTACTATAACACTGGTCCATTTTCTGACCTTAATTTTGGACAACTTTTTCTGGGCGGCTGATGAATCCTCAGACATGTCTGACCATCGGTGAAGTTCTTCCTTGGCTGAATGGAGCCAGTCGGTGAATTCCTGGACTGCATCTAAGTACATGAGGTGGTCTTTCACAATCTCTTCCACTTTTCTCATTTTCTCCTAGTAAACAAAGAAAAGACTACATCAGCAGCAGCTGTTACTGCTAACATGAAGTCAGCAAAGATGATAGGCCTGAGGGAAGCCTTTCCATGACTCCCAGAAGACTTCATCCTTATTCTTGAACTTTCTCTAAGTTTAATATCTTAAAAAGAAACCATCAAATCTTAAACTGAAAGACTTTGAGACATCAACCATTTTCCCTGTAAGTTAGCATAAAAATTCACGATTAACAAATATTGACTAATATCTCTATCAACCCACTTAATCAAGTTACCACAATAACTAATCTCAAGCCAATACTTGTATGTATTGGCTTGGTATAAAGCATTCTGCTCAACACTTAAACACATTTGCTCATTTAACACTCATAACAGCCCTGTTGTGTGGATATGGTCACAATCACCATTTTACAGGAAAGGTCACCAAGTCGCAGCTTTCAGTCATTAGCAAGATACAAATGAAGATAAACAAATATATGTTAATAATTGTAGTTTCAATAAGTCAGAATTCCCAAAAAGCAAACCAGTTAGGAAAAACAAACAAACAAAAATAAACAAAATCCTCCCTTAATTTCTGTAACATTCACAAATATACAAAAGAAAAATCATGGAGGGAAATCAAGGTTCATATAAGAGCTGAAAAAAATCTTGGTGTTACATGAAGTAGCATGTTTACATATTTGTTTTGTTTTCCTTTTTTTTTTCAATATTTGTTAGCATATATTAATTGTACAAAGGGTTTTCATTGTGTTTTGCTTTCCCAAGACAGGGTCTTATAATGTAGCCCAGCCTGGCCTCAAACTCATGATCTCCTGCTTCAGCCTCGAGTGCTGGGATTATAGGTGTGACCAGCACACAATACTTTATACATGATTGAAATTTCATCAGTAAGTAAACTTGCATCTAATACAAAGACACAAGCCCAGCAAAAGAAAGACAACTTTAAACACTGACATTTGATGCTCAATCTTACAAAGAAAGTTGAATAAGGTTAAAAAAAAATAAAGAATAAAGAATAATCCTATGAATGCAGAAAGAGAACAGTGCATGGTTATTCTTAGGTATATGTGAAAAACATTCTTCATGCAGTATTTAGTCACCAAGCATGCAAATAGTTTTAGGGTAGCCAATTCCCCAATAATTTAATCCACCTGAGCCTTAAAGCGTTTCCTTGGATTTAAAGCACTAACCTTGGCCACAGTGGTTATATCATGAAGCTGTGTCCTCAGTTCCTCCTGAGCACTTTCCTGGAAAGATTCATCCCGAGTCCTCTCGTAGAGCTCCCTGGACTTGGCTGTGAGGCTGTGCAGAGCCCCAGTGTGCTCCTCCGCCTCAGTGATGACAGACTGAAAGTGGTCCAGCAGGGAGAACTTCTCTTTTAGGCCTGGTTGCAGGTGCAAGGGATGCTCGACTTTTTGATCCACCGATTCCATCCACTGTTCCAACTGGTTTTTCCTCTCTAGATAGTCGTCCCACTGGCGGATCACAGCCTCTAGAGTGCTAGGATTAATGCCACATGTTACAAGGACGAGTTGACCTTGGCATTTCTACCAAGACCCAATCATAAGGTCTCTACACCCATGTAACTTGTCTTAATGAAAGCTATTGTAAGGGATGAAAATGCTGCTTTTGAGCCTAGGGAGAAACAAAATTTTTTGATCCATTGAACACAGAGCCCAGTTCCTTCAAATGAAGTAAATTAATGCTAAAATTTGAAAAACGTGCACAGTCATGTGTACTATACATGGAGGTCTGTTTTCCAAATGCTAAATTGAACTAAATGTGGCGGTAAATTTATAGATTATGTTATGAAACCTCTGCACTAGAGCATGAAGTAAATTCTCTTTAGTACATATAAATGCTTCATTTCCTTGGGCTTAGTTTATCTTACTAAAATCAGATGTAATTGACTAGATTTCACAATTCAAGGTATTCTTCCTGTTCCCTGGAAAATAAAATCATTATATTGATTTTAATTTAGGGATACACACATACACACACACACACACACACACACACACACACACTAGCCAGTGCTTCTGTGTCAAATGTGTGAATGAATGAAGTCTCGATGTATTTTTGAACAGTACTGGGGTTTAAATTCAGAGCCTCACAATTGCTAGGTAGGTACTCTATCTCTTAACAAATGCCCCCAGTCTTCCATGTATTTATAAGAAATATAACACCAGTCATCGTGGTTCATACCTGTAATCCCAGTTACTTGGGAAGCAGAGATCTGGAGAATCATGGCTGAGGCTAGCCCAGGCAAAAAGTTAGTGAGACCCCCATCTCAACAATAAGCCAGCATGGTGGTGGCACAAGGCTGTAATTCCAGCTATGCCGGAGGCATAGGTAGGAGGATGGTGATCCAAGGCCAACCCCAGACCAAAAACAAAGCTCAAGACTCTGTCTGAAAAATAACTAAAACAAAAAAGGGCTGGGGCATGGCTCAAGTGTAGAGCTCTTCTTGTCCAGCAAGGGACAGACTCTGTGTTCAAACCCCAGTACAGACAAAAAAAATGGCAATATGAGAAATATAATTACATATATAATAGTTTAAGTGATCAGGTTTCCAAATAGTCAAATAAAATGTTCTCTACCCAGGCAGGCATTTAGAAAAGGCTCTCATTATTGAGCTGTACAAGCTAGTCCCCCATCATTTTTTTTTTTTTTTTGGTAGTAGGTAGTACCTAGGATTGAACCTAGGGCCTCTCACATGCTAGGCAAGAGCTCTACCACTGAGCTAACCCCAGCCCTATAAACTCCTACAAGCTCACCTTCAGTGACAGCTCCCAGCCTCCCTCACACAAAGCCTGCTATCCTGGAGTTAGCATCACACAGTAAATGAATTCCAACATTTATTCAAACTGTTGCTTTTGCATCACTAGGAACCTATCATACACATCTTAGAGTGTTAGCCTTCCCTTGAAGAACTTTCTAAAAACCTCCCAATCAATGTCACTTCTTTGGAAACCACTAGACCTGTATTACAAAGTATCTGTTGAAAACTCTTAGTACCGTGTTCTGAGTGAGAGTTTTCTGTATGTATCCTCCTATTCTAGCCTCTGAGCTCTCAGAGGGAAAAACTGTTAATTCAATTATTTTAACATAATAATTTGAACATTATGATTGTCCAATAGGTAATTGTCAAATTTAATTTCTGGATGAAATGGGAGAGATCTGAATCTGCATCTTGTATTTAACATTTTATTCTGACATCTGAAAAATAGTCACACATATTCCCATGAAATTTTACAAACTGGCCTATGGCCAAGTGTCAGGCCATTTGGATCACGCACAGCAATCCACTAACAGGTAGGAGAGCCCCATGGGACCTGACTGTTCTCTTTGCTGAGCACTAGGAGTTATTCCTAAGATGCAAACTCCTGCTTTCTTTGAGTCACTATCTGTGGCTTATAATACAGAAAAACCAAGAAATAAAACTAAACAGAGCCACTCAAATTTCAGTGTGACCACTCTTGCTTATTATTTATGTTGTAGTGCAGAGCTGCTGTGGCCTCTGCTTTGTGTGGGGATGGACTTCCAGTCACCTCTTTGTCTTGGTCATCTTGGGCACTCATGGATGGACAGTATATACAACCTTTAGGATATGGGTCCTGGGATGTATTTTAGTGTAATTATGACTGATAGTTATTTGTTCAACAAACCAGACAAGTTATTTGTAGATAATCTGAGAAGAGAGAAGGTAAAAAATCTTCCACTCACAAATACTACAATTAGTAGAGGGCCCTTCCTTCCTTCTCTCTCTTTCTGTTTTTGTCTCTCTCTCTCCCTTCCCTCCTTTCTATTTTAAATTAATTTTAATGGATACATAAAAATTGTATGTATTCATGGGAATGATATGTTTTGATACATGCATATATGGTATAATGTTTAAATAGGTTAAACCTATCCATCTGTTCAACTACTGATCATTTCTTTATGGTAAAAACTTTCAATATATTTTCCTTTAGCTTTTTTCTCTCTTTTAGCTTTTTGAAATGTACAGAACAAAATGTTATCTATAGTTACCCCACTGTGCAGTAGCTCTCCAGAACTTCTTGAACCTATTTAACTGTACCTTGTACACAGAGACCAATCTTCCCTTCCTCTCTTCCTTCCTCTCTTCCTCCTACTCTTGGCAGCCTCTGCTCATCTGTTCTACTCTGTACATCTCTGAGATCACCTTTTGTAGATTACACATCTGAGCAAGCTCGTGTGCTCCTGCAGAAGCAAAGTGTGATTGTCCCACACTTTGCAGGATGGTAACTCTCTGAACCTTAGTCACTAGTATTTACCTAGGATATCTCCATCACTGTGACAATCAGAAACAACCCACACATTTCCTACAAGACCAATGTGGGTGGAATTACTTCTGGTTGAAGAATAGTTTTATACTGAAGCTTAGCAATTGCCAACAATGTAATTTTTCATGTATTCTTAAAAAGCTCAAAGTTATCAAAAACAAAACAAAACAAAATACATAACCCTGCAATGATGATGTTAAAGGAGGTATTTTCCTCAGCCCATGTTATGTGCAAGATTCCAAGAGAGATACCATGGGAGATAGAAATATTTTAAAAATAAAACAAAAACACAGAAGCAAAGCAAGCTGACAAATGAAAGCCAGTCTTTGCTCCATGGGCACATAATGTAGGCAAAGATAGGCATGCAACCAGCTAAATAACGTGCTTGGTAACTCTACCACAGGCACCTTCAGCCCTGCTCCAGCATTTTACCAAGCCACTGGGATCTAGCTGGGCAAATAAACACTAGAAATAGATGGTGTACCTCTGAGCCTGGACACAGGAACTCATGATGTTCGCCCACATGGTCTTAAGGGTCTCTAGCTGAGCCTGAATTGCCTTCTGGCCTTCTCTGTTGCTGCTTCTCACAGCCTGTTCTCCTTTACCAATGGCCATGTTCAACTTCACTTCTCCTTCACCTCTCATCAGGAGAATATCCTAGGAGGGAAGAAGGAATAAGTTAGTAGGAATATGGAAACCTGCTGTTGTAAAAAAAAAAAAATGGTTGCTTCCCATGAGAATTACTGTAAGGAATAGCCCACCTTAAAGAGAAAACCATAACTTCTATTGCAATATAATATTTGAATGTTAGGTATCAGAAATCAGGGAGCCAAAGAGTAAGGTCAACTGAAATTCTTAGAAAACTGGGCCAGGAGCCCAGAAATTATAATTTTGTTGATTGGTTTCAAAAAGTGAAAATAAATTATGTTGAAAATGAAGACATACCTGTCAAGAACCTAACATTTGCTTCCATCAGGACCCTCCCTACACACTGCATTGCAAGGAACAGAACATGTTTCTCTAGCTGCACCATGAACTCCTAAAAAATAAATACTAACTTTTACTTCTATAATCTAAGCAACTTGTATAGTGCTTGGAGCAGAGTAAGTATTCAGTATTGCCTGAATACCTAATTAACTTAAAAACACTTTGAAAGATATCAAAACAAAAATATTTCCTTTCTTTCTCTCTCTCCTTCTTTCCCTCCCCCTCTCTCTATCTTTCTTTCTTCTCCTTCCTCCCTCCCTCCCTCCCTCCCTTCCTTCCTTCCTTCCTTCAAAAGGTCTCACTATGTATCCCAGGCTGGCCATGAACTGATAGATCTTCCTGCCTCCACCTCCTGAGTGCTGGGATCATAGCCATGTACCTTCATACACAGCTTCAAAAACGTTCATCCTCTCTATGCTTTTTTGCCCAATCTGTCCATTTTCCCCACACAATCCTCTTTTGATGCTTCCAGAACAATTAGGACAAATTCAAACCCTTGTGCAGCTGACCCAATCAGTTACCAGTAGTCTCAGTTGTCTGTCAGGTCCCCACACACCTGTATCTGTGACAGCCGTTTCTTCAAGGTCTCCTTGCACCCTACAGTGCTCTCTGCATGAGCCAGTCTGTCCTGAATGTCTTTCACCCGGGACCACACGCTCTGCAGTGCTTCTTCCAGGGCTTCGTGCTCCTGGAGGGCCAGCTGGCAGCCCCGCAGTTTCTCCTTGGTCGCCCTGAGTAAGTTCTGGTAACTGGTGAGGAGCTGGGAGCACAGACGGCCTCCTTGCCCTGCACCATGGCCTTCTTCACCAAGCAGCTGCCCTCTCTGGGAAAGCTTGTCCAGAGACTCTCTAAAAATACAAAGCAAATTTTCTTTTTAAAATTCCAACATGCTGGAGTACAGGAGAGTGACAACTGGTTGTTGGTATTGGAGCAGAACCCAGACAAGAGCTCACAGCTGACTTGCCTTTAAAATTAAGCTGCTGAGAACTGGGCTGGCTCTTGCCTTCTTGTATGGCCAGTAGAGTCAGTGCCTGTCAGGGATATGGTTCAATATCTGCTGTGTTCACATCCACATTACAGCGATGGAGCCTACTATCTTACTAGGAGTTTACACCAGAACCTTGGCTCTGGCTTCCTCTCATGCTCACCTAGCATCTGTCCATTCCTATTTAGGTCTCCAACCAGGAAACACTCTCCGAAGTACCCCAAACACTGCTGTTCTATCTGTACCTGGAGATTGGTCTTTTGTAGCCACTCTATGCTCACCTGTTTCTTCCTGAGCTGCCCCTTCAAAACTCTGCAGGCCTCAGACCCCAGACAGCATCCACTACAACACAGGAGAGCAGGGAGAATGTAGGACTCCTCTTGTGTGCTCTCTGTTCTTTGTCTTACCCTGTCACCTAATATACCTGTCTCTATCCACAAGACTGTCACCCTCTAGAAATCTGGGTTTCCACATTCATCTTCTAACCCAGGACCCACCACAATGTTGGGCAGATACAAAACAGGGGGAAAAGTTTCTTTTAAAGGTGATCATAGGAGGGCTTATGGGTTTCCTTGTGTCTTAACTATTCATTATGTTCATCTCTCCTTGGAACCATGGTGATTAGTTCAAGGGAAAGTCATCATCACTATGTGGCTTTTCACCTTATCTTACAGAACTCTGAGTTGAGGGGTTTTTTAAAGTGTAATTTGGTCAATGATTTATTTCATTTGCTTTTATTATAAATGGACAGTTTATGTAATTTTAAGGAGCACAAAATGATGCTATAATTTATGAATACTATGTGGAATAATTAAGTCAAGCTGTCACCTATATCCATCACCTCAAACACTTAACATTTTTCAGGCAAGAATATTTGAAATTTATTTTCTTAGCAACTGTGAAATATATAATATTCTATTTTAACTACATTCACCATGTTTTTCCATAGCACTAATTCCAAAACAAGACAAAATAGCCCCTTTTATTCCTCCCAGCTGAGATTCTGTCCTTTTGACCATTGTCTCCTCACCAGTCATCTACCCCAAGCTCTCTGTAACCACCAGTAGAAAATTCAAAATTCTTATCAGCACATCACTCAGAAAAAACCTGTGTACCAGCCTGGAGTGTGGAGATATCTAACAAACTGATGTGATTCCTAGGAAAAGAACACAAAGTCTGTGGTCTACAATGTTTCTGGGTTTTTTGGAGTGACTACTAGGTAAGCAGAATTCTGTGAGCCACTCTGACAACACTCTGCTTCCTCCAATAAGTATTTGTAATTCTTGTGACCTGTTTGGTGAGCTAAGAAGGAGCTTTCAGCAATAATCTGAGATAAATAATTCAAGACAAGAGATCTTATTTGATGCAACAAGATGAATTGCATAAAAGATGATCAACATTTAATGAGTCTCAGGTCTGTCATTTTATACAAAAATATATGAAGTTTTGGAAATATAATGGTGAAAAAAAATCCAAAGACTGGGAGGAACAAACAGCATATGAGTGAGACCCAGTGTGACAGCCTCATAGGAATGTCCAGCCTGGTTCTTTAGGGTGGTCTGGAGGAGTGGCCAGTTTGGACAGAAAGAACCCAAGAGCAAGCACATCCCAGGCCACTTAGCATCTAATCCTATAATACCAGAGAGCAAAATATCAAGAAGGACTACACGTTGTTCAATGTAGGAAAGCTGTACTTATTAGAAAAAATGAGGAGTAAAGAAAGACCTTGACTTGGGTGATGAAGGGGGTTTGGATCACTTTCTCCAGTGCAGTATTAGTCTGATGAGAAGTAAATACAAAGGAAGGTAATGAGCAACTTGTAAAGGAATGAAAGGCAAGAACAGGTAAAGTCATTTAGAAAATCTGGAAGGAAGAAAGATGTTGATTGGGTTTGGTTGAACTGCATCTATGTAAAAGTCAAGATTTAAAAAGCAAAATAAAGCACATTGTGATTTTCAGAAAGTTACGTAGGTAGAAGGATGTTATTATTTGGTTAATTCTGTGGACACTAGCTTTTTTTTGGCACTATACTAGACAATGGCAATATAAATAATGAAGACCTGAAATCCCTGAAGGGCACTGGGAGATAGAACTGAAGGCTTCCGGAGAAGCTTTACAACAGGTACTGCACCAGCACACCAACAATGATGGTCGGACTTCCTTACCCTCGAGGGTCACATCTGTAGATTTGCCCAAAACGGACTGAGTTTATATTTAAAAAAACTGTGTCTGTACCAAATACGTACAGACTTTTCTCCTTGTTATTATTCCCTAAACAACACAGAATAGTAATGATTTTCATAGCATTTATCTTGTAGTAGGTATTATATGTAATCTGGAGATGATTTGAAACATCCAGGAGGATGTGAATAGGTGATGTGTGAAGAATTCACCATTTCATACAAGGGATATGAGCATCCATGGATTTTGGTATCCATGGGTCCTGGAATGGATCCGCTGCACTACTCAGGGATAATTTTAGTCATTAGTACAGGTTCTGGTGTTCATTTGTTGACATGCTTGTTTTTCAAGATTAGGAATACTAGACCTATTTGACCAAAAAGTGGACTTGGTGGAAATGGAGAATGACTATGATCTGAATTAGGTGAATTTTATTCAATTCATGATTGTCCCTGATTTATCTGATTGAGGAGCATGCCTCCATCTTTTCTGCTTCACACACAAGTGTGTCTGCTCTTTAAGAGGATGATTAAGGAGCCCACATTTTGGGTCAAGCTGCACTTCCCTGATGGGGAGGCTTCCATCCTTCACTGGAGAGGAAGAAACGGAAAATGGCAGGGGTGGAAGCATGAACTTAAGGAACAAAGCACTGAAGGTGGGAGGGTCAAAAGCACAGATCAGGGGACAATGCCTGGAAAAATGCAGTGGGGAAGAGGAACCACAAGGAGTCAGACTTAACCATTACACCTTTGCCTCATTAATATGGAGGAGCTGGCTGGCTGGGAAATGGATTTGGAAGTTGCAATACATTATGAACATGTGGCAACTGGGGTTCCCCACATTATTTTTGTATCTTTACAGAAACTGGGTATTTGTGATTTTCCTTTCTTCACATTAGCTCCACATTGTGTTAATCAATCCTCAAAATAACCCCAGAGAAGAAGGCATAGCACTCTCAACACAATCTTTAAAGACTAAAATCAAGAGTTATAGGATCTGCCCAATTTCTTGAGCAGAGAAAGATGGAACTGGGAGGTAAGGAGCTTCTTGTTTTATTCCTCCAGTGTCTTGAGAATACCACACTGCTGTAAGGAATGCAGCACAATCATTTATCTCTTAGACATCCAGGGGCGGAAGAAACCAACCAACCAATCAACCAACAGCCAAGCCAATCACCAACCAGCCAGCCTAAGGCATGTTATCAAGTAAATAATTATCCCATTTCTGTACCACACCTTGCGGTCAGCAGTTCTCCCAGAAACATTTCAACTTTATGAACTTCGTTCTTCTTCTCAGGAAGGTGCTGTTTACTCTCTCCCAAGTTTTCTGTCTTTAACCTTTCTTCCATCTCATGGATCCATAATGTCAGTTTTCTGTGCTGATCCTCAAAGCTAAAGAAAAAAACTCATTAGAGAGATTCTGATGTTCTCGTTAGGAGTTCTAATAGCTGAGATCACAATGTCTTTTTTAAGCCAATTAAGATCACAGAAATTTTTTATGTTATAAAGAAAACTAACAATAAACTTGTCCAGATTATCACTTAGTTCAGTAACAAATTAACAAATCATGCTAGTTTTTTGTTTGTTTGTTTGTTTGAGATACAAGCAGAAAAAAGAGTTACCTCACCTAGTTGAATTGATTTCACAGCTGATAATGGACAGGGAGATTCCATTCCTAGGTCAACATGGACTTACCTTCGTGGTTTGCTATAAAGACCCTGAGTTGCACAGTGCATAAAGTGCGGCAGTGGAACCTCTGGGGATAGAAGGAAATGACCTTTGTGTTTGTTTATTTATTCATTTATCAAGAGAGTCTCAGTATGGAGGTCAGGCTAGCCTCAAACTCACAATCCTTGTGCCTTGGCCTCCTGAGTGCTGGGATTACAGGCTCAAATCCCTGTAGGTTATTATTATTAATTTTTGGATGATACTAGGGTTTGAACTCAGGACTTCAGGCTTGCTAGAACGTAACTCTACCACTTCAGCCCAATGTATCTTAGTATCTTTCTTTTCTTTTTTGTGATACTGGGGTTTGAACTCAGAGCCTCACATTTGCTAGGAAGATGCTCTACTACTTGAGCCACCACTCTGCCATCCCTTTTTTTGTGTTGGGTATATCTAATATAGGGTCTCACAGACTATTTGCCCCAGCTGGCGTTGAACCATGATACTCCTGATCTCTGCCTCCCGAGTAGCTAGGATTACAGGCATGAGTCACCAGTGCCCAGAATGTCTTAGTGTCTTAAGGGAATTTGAATTTGACACAAAAATACCTAAGTTTTGCTAGCAATGTAAGCTCTCAGACAAACCTGGACAAGAGTCAGGCACATTCACTCAGCCCCTAGAAAGAGTTTGATCATACTGACATCTTTCCTCCTTATAGGGATGGAGATTATTTTCCTTCTAGTTTATGTTCACCCCCCTGCACTGACATATATGACTGATGGTAATCTTTTTTTTTCATTGTACTGGGGGTACATTGTGACATTTACCAATGTGCTTACAATATATCATAGTTGAATCCACCCCCTCCATCATTCTCCTTTATTCCTGCTCCTTCAAGTGATGGTAATATTGATCCACAGAATTTAAGAGTTATTCTCTGCCAGAGTTTATCCCAGAAGTGGACACAGGAAAAAAGTTGGATAATCTAAAAGCAGGTATATGAAAACTCTAATGACTTGAGCTAGGCAATTGACAAAAATGATATGCACTTATGTTGTTTACAATTTTTCTATATAGAAAATAAAGCCAAATAATGGCTTCAGAGAATGAGCCTGTACTTAAGGTACATCAAAAGCTCATTATGATTTAAACTCACCATGTTGAGTACTATTTGTTTCTTCACAAGGCTCTTTTCTCTAGGTCTTTGAAAACACATTCTGTATGTGATGAAATCTACATTGATCAGAACAACATACCTCCCCAGCTCTGAAGCAGCGTCTTGGAGAGCCTGCTTGTCTTTAAGACATTGTTTCAGAAATGCTTGAAACTCTTCATTTGCCTTTGTGATCTGTTCCTGGATACTGCTGACCATTTGTTTAGACAAATGTGTGTATAGAGTTTGTCCTTCTTGAGTCACCGTATCAAGCTTGTTTTGCCCATCACTGATGGAGTCCAAGACATTCTGTTTCAGGAAGAAAAAGTAATACAGAATATTGTTATTATTCAGACCCTGGTGTTAAGGGATTGGTCATGACAACACTGAGTTGAGATAGGGTAAGAGTAGAAAAGCAGAGCCAGAGGAAAGAGGTCTAGAAAGGCTGGAGTGAGAAAGAAGCACACAACTGGATAAAATCCAGGCTCTTAATTGAGGCTAGCCACTGGACCCACTGAGGAGAGACTGGAGGAGAGACTGACAACAACATCCAGCAGGAAAAGATGATGTTCCCATGAAGGTCTTCTCAGTCTTTCCATTCTCAAAAGTCCCAATCCAATCCCAGGGTAGTGTGACATTCTTGCAACTGGAGGGCCATCCCCGGCCCTTCCTCCTCCTCCTCAAATCCATCCTGCACACAGAGAGCCCCAGAAATGGGACCTTCCTTTCTCTGTGCTTCTTCCATGGAATAGCTGTGCATGGGCATGGCTTCAACAAAGAAAATAATCCTGAATTTAGTGCTGGCTATGCCTTTCCCCTGAGCTCCAGAGTGGCATTTCAGTTGTCACTCAGACATTTCTTTGTGAAAGTTCACTGTGTCTCAAGTGTTAAAGGAGACATCTCCACATCTGAACCCACTATGCTTCTTATAAACCAGCTTCCTTTACTGTAACAATCTTCCCAAGGTGAGGAGGCACTGTTGACTCACACCTGTAATCCTAGCTACTCAGAAGGCAGAGATCAGGAGAATCATGGTTCAAAGCCAGACTCTACAAATAGTTTGCAAGACCCTATCTTGAAAAAACCATCACAAAAAGGGCTGGTGGAGTGGCTCAAGGTGTAGGCCCCAAGTTCAAGCCCCAGTACCACCACCAAAAAAAAGAAAAAGAAAGAGTAATAAGAGGGGGTGAACCTGATCAAAGTACATTATGTACATGTGCAATCAATATATAGAAAACAACAACAACAATCTTCTCACCCCAACTTCTAACATACAGTCATTGACAACACTTTTTGGTCACCCATTTGGTCACAAAGTCCACATTAATTTTTTAAATGATTTTCTAACAATACACAGCACAGTGCTTTGCTTAGGTCAGCTGCACGAAAAACATGGCCAAACCTTTCGAGCCTATTCTTCTGCAAGTCATTTTTTAACTCTGCTTCATGATGGCCTCTCCTTCCTGACTCCATATGTTTTCGAAGTTCATAAAATCCAGATAACCTATAATATCCATTGCTTTAATTTGGATACATCTTTATTTCCAGCCTTAGAGCCTATGTTATGAAAAAAATAGATATAAGCCATGCCTTCTCCTTTAAAAAAGGAAAAAAACCCACAACTTTTTCACATTAATGATAGAAAATGGATGCAATTATGTGTTGTTTACTGTCATACAAATTAAAATCAAGTTTTATTTTTTAATGAGTCCAAGGAATGGTCAACAGACTAATAAAGTGAAGGAAGCTAGACCTTCTCCAGCTCTGACTTGATTTCTCAGTGACTTTTTTATTGTCTGCCTCTGTCTGCCACTTTGTCCAACTTTGCTAGGGGAGAAGAAAAGATGGACTGAAATAAGAAGGTAGGGAAAGGGATGGCTCGGGCCTGATCAGAAGTCACTTGAGTGCAGCCGGAGGGAAGGAGGACTCTGGTTCCAGTTCAGTACCTGCAGATCCTGGAGTTTCGCCTCGAGAGCTTTGCTGTCCCCAGTTCTGTCAGAAGATTCTTTGGCTGCTGCTTTTGCTCCCATAAACCATTCTTGGAATTCCTGCATAGACTCTTTTGAAAGCAACAAAAATCAGGAATTAATCCAAAACATGAAATGAGCTCTCAGGATTACAGTAATGATTTACTTCTGGCCTTGAGCCCATCACATCTTGCCTTGGGAAATACTGAGACAGAAAATGGTGATGAAGAAAAAAAGACAGCATGACCTACAACTCATGGTAGAAAGCTTGTGGTATAATGGAGAAATTCTCTCTCAGAGAGGAGACTGAGAAGAATTTGTACTCCTGGAATGCCTGGCTTCCCTTCATGTTTCTTTTTCTTGGTAAAGAATACACGAGAGTGCAAGAGGAGGAAAGGCTCCCGAACACTGAAGCCATTTTTATGTCTGGGGGAGAACCAGTTCCTATTTCTACCATGCTGACCCTGAGAGCTGCCATGCATCCATGGCAGATCAGAGGCGCATTGTACGGAATCAATGAGTTCCTGGACTATTCTTTACCACCTTGTCTAATATCCAATTTTATTCTGACACTTCATCTTAGCATAAAAAAACACTCCACGGTGATCCGGGGAGTGGCTGCTGGCCACTTGGCAACAGCAGAAATAGTTTTCCTCATACATAAGCTGCATGCAAAAAATCCAGATGTAATTTAGAGACATTAAAATGACAGACTCCTTCTTTTTCATGAGCAAGGGGAAGAATTCTGCATAGGACAAGTACCCCCAGCCAGCATTTTTAGTGCTCAAATCTCAAAGCACAAGCAAATTTAATATCATTCTGAGACTTTCCCTCAAACTTTTGCTTGTACTTTTTAAGCAGCATTCAGTTTGGATTCTCTCATAAACAACTATTCAGACTAAGGCTTGTCCGAGCTCACCATTGAAGTGTCTTTCCAGAGAATCCTGCAGACTGGCCTGCATCTTAGAGCATAGCTGGCTCACGGCTTCGTGCTTCTTTATCAGCCCCGTCATGGCCTGGCCCAGGCTCTCCAGTGCCACCGAGTGGTACTTGCGACACAAGCTATTGAGATTTTCTTGGGTGGAGCTGATGTTGTTTTGCTGACTCTGAAGTTCTTTTAGTATTTCCTACAAAATAAAAGCATTCTGCAAAGGATATTCATCACATTCAAGAGAAATACTCCTATTTATTTTACCAGGCTCTTTTAAAATATCTGAATTTGATGCTACTAAAATCCATTTAGTAGTATATATATATCTATATATACACATAAATATATGTACATATACATATACGTATATATGTGGGTATATGTGTATATAGATGTATGTATGTATGTTGGTGGAATTCTTTTTGAATATTTGTGATGGATCTATATTGATTCTTTAATAAATTTTCACTGTCCTCTTTGGTGACAAATAGCTGTTGGGAAGTGGCTAGAATTTGGGTTGTTTGTAGGGTTTCAAGAGATTGAATAGGTTCTTGTTTATTTCAGCCCATGATTTTGGGTTTAGTCACCTGATTAGAAACAATCACTGTCCACATTCTCCACTCAGGTTTCGTTTTAGGGCAACAGGCCACCCCAAAAGCACTAGTAGTTAATTAAATATATACGCCCTTAGTCTCGAGAAAATGTGCTAAAAGAGAACATACTTCCAATGTTGAAAAGTCAACTCCACACATATTCTTCATAAACAGTTCACCACTTCACATGGAAGTTCACAACAGTTCACATGGAAGTGGAATGTTTATCAGCTTAAAAACATTATAACATTCTCTAAATGAAAGCAGTCATACTGAGCATAAAAAAATAATGAAGTGACGAAAAACTATCTGGAGCTGGGTGTGGTGGTACACGCTTGTAATCCCAGTCCCTGGGAGGCATAGTAAGCCCGAGGCCAGCCTGAACTATGAACTATATAGTGAGACACTGTCTCAAATCAAAACCAAAACAAATGAACAACCAAAAACATCCCAAAAACCCAAACCAGAAAAATCTATCTGGCATTCGAGCTTGAAAATTGTTATAAAGTCAGATACTTTTCTTTCCACAGGCTTCATCCTTTTACCAAAAGAAAAAATATATACACGCATGCAGGTAACTACACGCATGTATACAAACAAGCTAGCCTACAAGCAGGCCCTACAGCAGGTCAGGCTTCCTGGTTTTAGATTATTCCCCTTTCACTTCTTATCACCTGGGCTCACTTTTCCCACATGCTGCTTACTTCGCTGGGTCCAATATTACAAGTTAGTTGTCTGGGCGTTAACACTTCCAATAAGGGTAACTGAAAACAGAGCTAATACTTTTATTATTGTCACCCCAACGCAGGTGAACTCAGAGCACGGCTCTCATGGAAGCGCTTCATGCTAGTTCATTACCTACCTTGACCTTTCTCACTCCTTCACAAGTCTCGGTTTGGGCACAGTTCAGCAACGATTCTTTCTCCTCGGCCAGCCATGGTGTTACATCTCTAATAAACTTCTCCACTTGTGTGCGCTGAGTGGTGAAATCCTTCAAGGTGCCTTTTGCTTCTTCAGTTATTTCTTTGGCATGCTCCAGTTTCTGCCGTAAGTCTGCTTCTATAAACTAAGTAGAAAGCAAGATTTCGTGAAAGTCTGGGAAGATGGAGCACACACTCATTCAGCAGGAATTCTGTTTCTGGGCAGCTTTATCAAGAACACATAGCCTCACCGTGGCTGCCGCTCCGATGCTAACACGCCTTTTCCCGGGGAAAATCAGGGAGTGCAAATTGCCAAGCATATGAAGTGATGGGACACAGAGGGGAGGGACAGACGGCTGCTAGGCCTGGATGTTAAAGGGACCGTTTCCGCCGAGCTTGCAGGGAACACCCAAGATCATGCTCTGAAGACACAGAGCTACTGAGGGGGCATTTGAGGACCTGAGAAGCACCCAGCCATCCTCTACCAGGTAACCTCCGTTTGGGATGGACACCATGAAAGGATTTCAGGATAAAGAAATTCTAACCCTGCCTTTGAAACTTCCACTGGGACATTGTCTTCCCCTCTTGGGATGATGTGTTTTAGCAGAGTTGACATCTTCAGTTCCTTAGTTAAGAAAAAGGATCTTCCAGTCACTGTAAACGCCAAAGCAGTCTCAATTTAGAACCAGAAGACCCAGGGCTATTGGGTCAGTCAGTAGAGAAGGGATCAAGTGCTTCTTCCTTACTTTCTTCACTTTATTCCTATCCCTACCTGTACAGCTTCTGACTCCTGCAGGCTTCAAGTGGCAGGAGGTGGGTGCAGAGCTCTGAACGTGGCATAGCTGGTGTGAGCTGGCGCCACTATCTCACATTTTCTCCTTCTCTCTTGGCTGAGACTTTCACTGAAGTTCCCAGATGTGCTGGTGCCCTTTCCTGCCCCTTTACCTTCTTGTCCCCCAGCCTGTAGGCACCTCTGATTTCTCCATGCCGAGGACCCCTCATCCTCCAGACAGCCTCTATAGACACCAAGGCATCCTCACATGGTGGTCTCAATCACCCCTAACTAACTGTGAGATGCAGGCCACCTCAAACAATCAATTTCCCTTTGGCAAATACATCCAAAGTCAGTCAGTCTGTCTGTCAGGTGGTGAAAAACTAGACTCCAGGTATCAGCCAACTGCAGGGGAAAAATAATCTTCTGCCTGCACTTGGGGTAAATTAAGGCCTGCTCTACCTCTTCTCTAATATGTGTGTGTGTGTGTGTGAGAGAGAGAGAGGGAGAGAGAGAGAGAGAGAGAGAAAACACAGTATCTTGTTTGCCAAATTCTGGCTCAGCCTTCACTCTGCAATACCGTTGTCCATAGATATCCCCAATACAGGCGACAAGCATGAGCGTGTCTCGTTTGCCTCTTGCCTCGGGTGAAATTGCTAACATTCCTGCACACCTCTGGGAGCAGAGGCACAGTTGATTAGTCAGTTTGGTTAGTTTGAAGCAGAAAATCAAGGACAAAGGCACAAGAAGAGACAGTGTAGAGAAAATTCACGACCACAGCAAAAAATACTGAGGTCAAGGGGTGCAGCAGAGCCCTTCGCCAGGAGCCGGCGGGGCTGGCAGCCAAAACAGAGCTACACTGGATGCTTCTGGGGCTTGGGTATTGACATTGCCCAGGTTTTCTAGCAGGCCCTGCTCCACCCTGTCCTGTTCAGGGTTCCTGGGAATCTGTACCATCTGAAGGGCATGAAGGGAGACCTGCTGTGATGATTCCTCTAAACCCAACCATTGCATAAATGAATTAAGAAAATATCAGTAAGAACATCAATATTCATAAAAGGGGGTTTTTGTTCCTGTCCAGCCATAACATGACCCACAAGACAAATTGGTTGATAATGCTCCCAAAATTAAGTAAGAAAAAGAACTACTCTCATTATAATATTTGAATTGGGAATATGCTGTGAATACTGGCACAAAGAATCCTATAGATATTAATATTTAGACCCATGTATGTCAAGCCCCACTCATTTTCCTGCAGTTATGATGATAACAACGGAGACAGACAGATGTATATATATATATATTTTCTTTTTGAGTGAGAGAGAGTGTAAGTGACAGCCTAGGAAGTGGTGGTTATTATAAAACTGATTGAGTGCTTACCTGAAGTTCTGGTGGCGTTTCTGGATTTTTAGTTAATTCTTTGAGACCATTAACTTTGGAATGTACTTCTTCTAATTTCAAGGCTTTATTTTTAACTTCAGACTATCAGAAATTAAAAGAGAAAGGGGCAAAGCATAACTAATTAGAAACATTGACAACCTATATCTGGCATATCATAGTTTTGAGAGGTAACTGTCAAAATACAAACTTTAAGCCAGTGTAAAATAAATCCGTTTTACTTTCTGCCGGCTCTTATTATTCACAAGTGTGGAAGATGTTACAAGGAAGGTCACTTGGATTATGAGGGAGTGTGTGGAACTTTCTTTCCACTCTTTTATTAGGAAAAATCTGGAAAAAGTTAAACACTGACCAAACTCTTGAGCCCATGGGTACTTCCAATAGGCTGTCATTTATTCATTAGCTGCATGGTGCCAGTTACCATGGCAGCATAAACTCCTGCAGAGGCAGTTGAAAGCAAATACAGATGGGCAGTGCCTCGTGACTGTGGATGATGTGTAAAAACATAAGAAACTTCAAATACAAATTTACAGGATATTGAAGTTGGATTGAAATTAACTGGAACACTGAACTCTGAGATTTTACCTTGTGTGTGTGTGTGTGTGTGTGTGTGTGTGAACAGTAACACACAAAAGAAGAAAGAGCAACCAAAGAACCATTAAATTAAACTTCATTGCTCGTTTGGAGCCACAAAGAAAGATTTAATATGTGGTTCCTCTCAACTTTGGAGACACTAATGAGCTTCCGGATGTCCTGAATTTGGAAAGCAACTCACTTATGCGGTAAGATGTGGAAATGTCTGCCAGGCCACTAGCAGTAAGGGAATGACACATAGTGACAGTGACCTGCACTCACTGCCTGCACTGCATCACCATTCCAGTGTACCGATGTGATTAGCTAGCAGCTGGCACATTCCACAGTCGTAACAAAAAAGGCCTCTCTGCAGGACTGACCTGGTTGCATTGAATGTGGTCTGAGGCTCACAGGCTGCCTGGGTTTCTGAGGTCAGCAGTAAAAGGTAGGTGTGACAACTGCTTCTCCTAACTAAAAAACGTGCTGTGGCATTTGACACCACTTCAAGCTCCAACATGGTGCCACTGCACAGGGAGATAGAAGACACACAGTAGCACGCCACTCTGTGGTGTCTCCATTGTCCATGATACAGATATAATAGCAACAGGTGTCGATAACAGGGGCCTAGAATTATAGTAATATATAGAATCATAACTAAGAAGTGATAAATTTTGAGTGTTCATTAACTTTGTTTTTAATAGAACTTATTTAATTGTGTATTTATTTATCATTTAAGGGTATTTTTGGCAGTACTGGGGACTTAAATCAAGGCCTCACACTTGCCAGGCAGGCACACACCACTTGAGTCATACCCCCAGCTGGTTTACTACTTGAGCATGTTTTCAGGTAGGGTCTGAAGTTTTGGCCTGGGCCAGCCTTGGACCGTGATCCTTCTAGCAGTCTCCTGAGTAGCTGAATACAGGTATGTAGCCCCATCACCAGCTACAATTAATTTTTTTATAATGACTGTGTCTAACACAGTTTTACAACATTTGTGAGCTTAAACCAGACCCAGCACAGACCACTATATGAGCTATAATGTTAATTTAGTATTAGGAATAATAATTTTTAAAAAACTAAGCTGGGCACAGTGGCTCATGTTGGTAATCCCAGTTACTTGGGAAGGAGAGATCTATCAGGAGGATTGTGGTTTGGGGTCAGCCTGGGCAAAGCAGTAGAGAGACCTCATTTCAACAAATAAGATGACCATGTTTGGTTCATTCCTGTGCTCTTAGCTATGGAGAGGCAGAAGTAGGAGGACAGAGGTCTGAAGCCATCCCTGGGCAAAAACATGGGAACCTATATGAAAAATAACTAAGGCAAAAAAGTGATGGGGGTGTAGCTCAAGTGGTAGAGCTTCTGCCTAGCAAGAATGAGACCCTGAACTCCAGTACCATGAAAAAAAGAAAAAGACATCAGTATCCTTCATTCCATTCCTATTGTTGCTCTTAGAAATTAGAATATTAAGGCTGGTGGAGTGGCTCAAGTGTGAGGTCCTGAGTTCAAACTCCAGTACCACCACCACAAAAAAAAAAAAAAGAGAGAGAGAAATTGGAATTCCATTATAAAATATCTAAAATGTTACTTAAGTCAAAAACTGCTGGATAATTTAAGTAAAACAGCTCATTCACCTGTAGTTTTTCACATCACAACCAATCATTTACTTGTCTGTCAAGATCTGTGTGTGTGTATGTATGTCAGCCCAGTGCTGGCGCCAGTGTCAACAGTCTCTCTGCCCTGCCCAAGAGTGCAACCAATCATACGCTTTGTGAAACAGGTACTTCTCTCACTCTTTCCCCTCCCCCTACTTAGTTTTTCATCAGAGTCCAATTACTACCTGACATTTTACATGTGATATACATCGTAGTGTAAATAATGTACATTCCATAGGGAAGGGACTTAGTTTTACCATTATATTTTCAGTGTCTAAAACAGTGCTGACATTGTGGGCATTCATTAAGAATTTATTGAAGGACCTGTCAATCTAGCTATAGCAAGAAGCATAAAATAGAGCATCACAGTCCAGGCTGGCCTGGACAGAGTGGGACCCTATCTCCAAAAGAAGAAGAGCAAAAAGGTCCGTGCAGTGGCTCAAGTGGTAAGCACATGCCTTGCAGACACAAAACCCTGGGTTCAAATCCCAACCCTTCAGTTTAAACCCCAGCACTATGAAAGAGAGAGAGAGAGAAGAATTTGATCAATGAATTCAATGAATGCAATAAATAGGATCAAAAAGTTTAAAATAAATTGATTCCTAAAACTTTAAAGGATGAGAGAATTTCTGTGTGAAGCCTTTGGCACTCCAATCTCCAATTTTTCTCCATTTCCAAAAGGAAAGCGGAAGAACCCAGATCCAACATTACATAGCACACTGCAAGTCTCATAGGCAGGGCTTTTGGAATGAAGAAAACGCACCATAAATATTGCTCAGTGCAAATACTTCCAATTCAGTGGGAAGAGCCATATTCTAAGAATGGGGAAAATTCTACATTTTGTGGACTTTTATTTTTCTCCTAATATTTCCAGTGAAGAACCCCAACAAGGAAATGTTAAAAATCTATAAACTTCTTAACTAGGGTCTATGTAAATTTTAAATAGCAGAGGAAATTAAGAGTTTCGTAATACTCCTATGTATCTTTGAAAAGCAGGATGAACACAGAAATGACACAATTTCACATTTATTCATGTTCTAGATGACATACTCCCAGCTCCATACTTAGGCAGAGTCGGTTTGCCTCAAATTCTTTTTGTTTCAAGTTCAGCGCTCAGGTTTTTCTTATTTCCCTCACTTATCCTCCCAACCCTGAATCCTTTCCTTTTCCCAAATAAGTCCTACTTCTACTTGTTTTCCTAGATTCCACATGAGAGAGAACATGAGATATTTGCCTTTCTGAATCTGATTTATTTCACTCAACATGTTGATCTCTGGTTCTATCCATTGTCCTGAAATGACATGATTTCCCTCCTCTTCCTCCTTTTTTTTTTTGTTTTGCTAGGAAAGCCCTCTACCCCTTGTGCCATGCTCCTAGACCTTTTTGCTACAGTTTGTTTTTCAGATAGGGTCTCGAGCTTATATTTGGGCAAGAGTTGGACTATATTCTCCTACCTCCTCCTCCTGAATAGCTGGGATTAAAGGCATGAGCCACTCACCCAGTGTTTCATTCTTCTCTATGGATGAATATAATTCCATTACCTCAAATTCTTTAAGGAATTCTTCAACTTTGAGGCTGTTGTCCAGGTTGCTGATGTTTTCAGTCAGCTGTGGAAGAGAGTTGTTTGACCATCCGTCAATTTCATCTTTACTTGAAAGGATGTCATCCCAAATGGACAGGCTTACTCTCAGCCTGTCCATATTTTCTTCAATCTTCTCTGAGACCTAGGATAGAAAATAAAAGTCATGTCATTAGGTTTTTAAATCCTTATTCCACTACCAAACCTTTCTTATTTAGAAAATTATACTCTGACTGAAAAGTTTTCACAAAAATTATTGTAAGCTAATTAGCACACCTGATTTGTGTAAATATTAACCAACACAGGAACTGTTTCTGTCATCGGGAGAGTCATTTGCTTTTCTGATATATTAGATTTTCATTTGTAAATTGCGATACTAAAGACAAGAAGTCTACTGGAGCCTATACCAATAATCACTCACAATCAAGTTGAATTCTACAGGACTGAGGTCCATGCAGGGCAATCCCATACTTATTTTTCAAAGTAGCACAGTAAGCACTTGTATTTGTAATGCTCAGGCATAAGGATGAGCATTAATTACATCTGAGTATATTTATAATATAAGAAAACACATAAGACAGCAACCAACTTTGTATACCTAAAGTCATTACTTAACACTCTTCCTATAATAATGGTCTTTAAAAAGAGGAAACATGCAGGGATTTCTGAAGTCCTCAAATTATATGATTATATTATATAAGAATTAAAGCCTAACTTTAGCTTACTAAGTAAGGGAATCCACTGGAGGTTAAACCTGAACCTAGGCATTGATAATGAGGGGAAATAGAATCTCTGGATTTTTGAATGGCTAGATAGATAAACCAGTTATGGATTGAGGTTCAAGAAGAGGAAGGGACTTGTTCTGTGGCCACAGAGCAGGTAAATGAAAAAGCAAGAACTAAAACACAAGGATATAAACTCCAAGAACTAGAACCCAAGGATGTAAGCTACAAGTCCAATGCTTTTCAATGGAAAACTGTAGCCTTATTACTTTTATTGTTAGAGTTTATGGTTCAATAGTCTGTAGAATGTTTATAAATTGTCCAATTTTTATCCATAATTCCAGAGCTTTGCAAAGAAAAACATTTATAGTTGTAATTTGCATTTATAGTTCAATTTGTAATTGAAGCTGTCAAGTGACATTCCAAAAATGTGCCAATAAGCTTCAGCAGAATGAAAATAATTCTTTTACTATTTTTAAACTTATATGAACACTATTTTTCTTCAGAATATCATTTTGCACTCAGCATTGACAGTTCAAAGTGGAATTCACATCCCTCAATAATCGTTTGACGGAGAAATGTCGCCATTTAAGGTGGGCTTACATCTAGCCACTTGTCCACGGTACTTTCCATGTCTGTTTTCACCAACTTGAAGTCACCACTGTGGAGTTTTTTCAGCTCAGATAACAGGTGCTTGCCTTTGCTGGTAAAACTGTCCAGCTCCTTCTGTTTACAATCCATTTCGTTCTTGACAGTGTCATGCTGCAGACATAAATGTTTTCTTAATTAGAAAAATAATCAGTGCTAAGAGTTTAAAGTCATTTGCCTCTGAGAAATTTATATTACGGTTGACCTTATGCAAAAATTAATGATGCTAATTAGCTGTGTGTGAAATTCTAGGAAATCAGTATAGAAAATAAATTGAGTTGTTAGCAGGTATCACCCACATCTAAATGTACTGGCAGGAAGAATTGTGCAAGGGAACAAAAACAAATATGCTAGTCTTTTAAAATAAGTGCATTTTGAACTTTACCTTGGAAAAAGCCCATTTAAGGTCTTCCTGATCTTTTATAGTAGTTCTAGTTCCAATGACACTTCTTGCATCTTCTAGGACTTTAGACACCACTGACTTCAAGTTCTGATATTCCCTCATTAAGTCAATAAGTCCACAGCACTGCCCCTGGCTGCAATGATTAAAGGAAACATATAATTTAGTGTCACGTGTTAGGAAAGGGACGACTTCCCTGTCATTGGACCTGCTGAATCACGTCATGAATGTGGTCACAGATGGATGTTGGAACCCAGAGAAAATCATACTTTTCCCTGCTGAAGTCAAAATAATTCTGCTTAATTCTAATGTTAAAAATGTTCTCCACATCAAGCCTACATAGATGAGTCACCCAAATATTTTGCTTTTTAAAATATCTTTTTTATGCTGTTTTTTAATTACTTCATAATTGTATATGTTGGGGGCAAGAAAAAGCAACCACAAAACAAAGCAAGCAGAAACTCAGCTCAGTAATTAAAATGCACATGAGCTTCTTCTCTTACTAGTCAATGTAACAACTTTTCATATCTAGGAGCTTTCCCATAGGAACAGTTGTGTGTACACTAGGATTAGTAAAATGATACTATTCATCCTATTATTTACAAGCAAAAGAAAGAGGTAATCCAAATGTTAAAAATCAATAATGGAGTAAATTCTGACACATTCTTATAACTAAATACTGTGCAATCTCAAGACATCACAATCTAGGAGAATGCTTAATAAAAATGCCACAAAATTAGCAGGAAGTCTTAAAAACAAGACAGGATGTTTCTGACTTACTTTTCATGAATTAGTTTCTTGGTGTCATCCCAGGTGACTTCTAAGCGATTGATCTCCCTGTCCACTTCTGGTGCAAAAGCCACATCTTTCTGGGCAATTTGTTTGGCTTTGTCTTTCAACCAACATAGTTCATGCTCGTGAGAATTCAACTCATCTTCTAGCTGATTGAACACTCTCAGCCTGTGAATTAAAATGTTGTGGTAGGAGAAATTTACTATATTTCCTCATATGCATGTGAGTCCAGAAGACACATCAAGATAGCTAGGAAAATGTTTAACACAGCAATTAAATTAATGTATATCAATGGATGAAGATAGTTGTCAAATTAATTTTGTAGAATGACTCAAACTGTACCTCTAATATGTTGAAAGTCATTTCTTCTACTCACTTGTTCAGTCTCAACCTTCTATTAAGCATGTATTCTCTTTCTCCTTTGCTTTGATGGTATGAAGACTTTTAAGACAAAGATAAACTTTATAGGCCAAGTAGGTGACTTTTTTTTGTTGTTAGCACTGGGATTTGAACTAAGAACCTCATGTTTGTTAGGCAAGCACTTTACCACTCAAGCTACACCGCCAGCCCTCTTTGCTTTAATTTTCAAGTACGGACTCATGTTTTTGCCCTAAGACAGCCTCAGAATGCTGACCTAAGATTGCAATCCTACTACCTGTGATCTCTTATGTAGCTGGGACGGCAGGCCCATGTCAACACTCCCAGCTTATTGGTTAAATGGGGCCTCACCAATTTTTTTGCCCAGGTTGGGCTTGAACAATGATCCTCCTGATCTCTGCCTCACAAGTAGTTGGGATTCCAGGCATGAGAACTGTGGTAATTCAAGGAGGTAAATTCTTATGGCTTGGTCATTTATAAGAAATCCTTCTGAACTATGAATTCCAGTATTTTTATGAAATATAAATAATTATATGTTTCATTCAAAATGAAAATAGCTTTACTAAGCTCTGTGGAAAACATCTACTTTTGTCTCATATATAAATATTTGAGCATCTCTAAAAAATGGCCACACATGCAAGCACTGACTCATCCTTGCATTTTGGTTCTGTGCTGTAGTGTGTAAAGTAAGTGCACATACACTACCCCATTTTATTCCTAAACGAAGTGGCCACAGTCAAGTGTCATCATTATTCTTGCCCTAAAGAATAGAGGATTTGCCCATGGCAGCACAGGGAATTCCAGTATGGCTGGGATTTAATAAACCCATTGGTCATTGCAACATTTTCTCAGCCTATATTTCTATGCTTTTCATGAGCTCAGTGTTTGCAGTACTGAGCGGGCCTCTGGTCCCAGCCTGGGCCTTCTCCAGCAGTTTCAAGATGTTCTATCTGCTCTCCCCTAGCTGGCCAGAGGGGCCACATAGCCCTGTGGCACCAGGGCTGCTGCTGATTCCTGGGTAAGCCACATCAGGCATTATTTTTACTTCCATATTTCATTCCCTTTTGTAAATTTGCTAGACTAGTTCAGTGGCTTATTGTCCATGAGGGCATGAGGGGTGTGACCTCAGCAGCCCAGTCTGTCACTCCAATATAAACTTCATTGTCACCAAATGACTTCATGTCTGATTCTGATTAAAAGGGGACAGATGACAACCATGCTGGCAGGGACAACACAATCCTTATCAAGTATGGACACTTTGGTATGAATGCATGTCAACTGTTTCTCTGACCCTAAAGCCCAAAAGTGGGCCTGAGGACATGAATGAGGACAACGTTCAGTTAAGAAGGTAAAAGAAGCTGGGCACAGGGGCTCATGCCTGTAATCCTAGTTACTAGGGAGGCTGAGATCAGGAGGATCGCAGTTTGATGCCAACCCAAACAAACAGTTTGCAAGAGCCCATCTTCAAAATAACCAGAGCAAAATGGACTGAAGGTGTGGCTCAAATGGTAGAGAGCCTGCTTTGCAAGCACGAAGCTCTGAGTTCAAACCCCAGCCCCACCCCCACCCCCACAAAAGAAAAAAGAAAAAGAAGCAGGAAAAAGCAGATTGAAATTAAGGCTACAGTATTGGGGAAAATCAGTTATCAAATTTATTAAGGGAACTTGACCCCTCTGCTGCTCTGTTGAACTCATCAGATAAAAATCCCAACTCCATTTAAACCCTCTTCTCTGCCTTCTGCACACATCTAGACAACAGTTAAAAGTAAGTGTGGAGAGCCATTCTGCCAAACTGACTGGTTTTGGTTTAAATAAGTGAACCTAGCTTTCAGATGGCCACTTGTCACCTTGCTAAGCATCTCTCTACAAGAGAAAACGATTTCACCCCATTTTCCCTTGTCTGACATCTGTTGTCTACTCCCTGACAACAACCTTGCTTCCCTCGAGGGAGGAATTCTCTAATACTTTTACCACCAGAACCACACATCTACTTGGATCTCTGCCTGCACTCTTGTGACACAAGATGTATCCCCTTTCCCCATCGGTAAGAAATAGTTTACAAATATGTGATGTGATCCATTAGCACAGAGGGAAGATGTCAGAGGGGTTCATACATTATCCTTTCTAAGAACAATAATTCTAAGGAAGTCAAAGGAATTTTCATACTTCTCAAGTGTTAAATTAGTCATTTATTCTATTTTCAAAATGGTAAAAAAAGAAAGAAAGAAAGAAAGAAGAACGAAAGAGGTTGTTACATATGGTGCTATTAAAGCTTTCCACAAAGGTTGATTCCAAAAGGAATAAATAGAAGAGACGGCTGGGCTTCCCCGTTCCCTGTTTCCTGTACCTCTGCTGTAGTGCTTGGCGGGTGGGTTCTTTCAGTCTCTCTCTGTCCGTCCTTTCTTCAATGTCCTCGATGCTTTTCAGCAACTCCTCTTTCTGGTCTTGGAATGCTTTTTTCAATACTGCCAGAGCATCTGCCTCACTCTGCTTGGTTCCCAAAAGGTTCTGGATCCGCTCTACTTCTGAACAGAGCTGATCAGCCACAGCTCTGCAGGAAGTCCTCTGCTCTGTGCTCCCATCTTTCAGATGGTACTGGGCTTTGGTAAGGATGCCATCGAGACTGATGGCAGTAGATTCTAGTGTCTTCACATCTTGCATGGCGTCACTGAGGTCCTTTTCTAGCAAGTCTGACTGCTTCTTATTCATGCTGCTGGTTGATTCTACCGTTTGCCTCAGCTGATGGAGAACCCCAGACAGTGAGGCGTGGCTCTGGAGGAACTGTGCCAACTGGGATAGGGCGAGCTGCCGCCTCTCCACCACCTGGTGGGCCTCCTGAAAGAGCTGGAAGCAGTCCTCTGCCTTGCCCTGGAGGAGGCAGAGGTGCTCAGCTCGGCCCAGAGAACCCAGCTTTGCTAAGTGGGCCTGCAGACTCTGCAATTCTTCTTTTTTGTTCTCTATTTGTGCCACATGGTCCTAGAGAGAAGAGAGTTTTTGATTCCTCAGGTTTACTACAGTCAAGGACGCTGATAGACAGCAGGGTTTGTGATGGCGAGATACATTTTAAGTGCACAGATAGCTTAGGATTTAAAACTCATCTGCAGTGACTCTTCCAGAAACATTTATACAATGTCTCATTTTGCTCATCTGTATATGTCATATAATACACACTGATTTAATTAGTTTCAAACCAGAAGTTGCATTTTATCTGAATTACTGTATAAGAAATTTGACCAGCTCACAATAAACCATGTTTAAGATCCAGCACAAAAATCTCAGCATGGCTCCTATGAAACAGAAATTATCACCTATTTTAATCTTGACCAAAAATAGCCTGAGAGATGCCCTGAGCTCAGCTTCTCAACTTTATACAGCTTCTTCCTGTTTATTAGAACATTTACTTTAAATAACTTGGCCCTGCCTCTTTAAGATGTCAATTTTTAAAGTCGCTGGACAATTGTACAACTCAGGATTGTCTTTCTCTAGGACCTGGGAGTCATCACTTTGAAACACAGTCATGCTAAAGACAGCACCTGTCTCTCAAGGCTCTTTTGGGTGGGGGGTTTGGGGGGATGGGTAGGAGACAACTTTGGTAGTGTCTTTCTCCAAAATGCAAAACTGCCTTCTGTCCTGAAGAAAGGACAGCTTGCTTCTCCTTTTGTAAAGCCAGCTAGCAAATCCAACAGAGAATGAACACTGGCTATAAATATAAATATTTTTATAGTCTTATTAGATACCTTTTCTCCACCATCTTGATGCTTGAGGACCAATATCTGATTTTTAAATGTTTTTGGTGCCAGGATATATAATATGCATAATTTACAAATAAGGGAAGTAAGTCATAAGTTTTCACTCACTTTCAAGCCAGATAGTAACTCATAAAAACTGTATTGCTAAAGCACTGGAATTCACATTAGTTTTCAGAATTGGAACAGAAAAACTAGAAAGCTTAAAAATTTCCATTCTTTACTTTATGCTTGAACTCATTTGCTCCACTGTGAGGAAAGAGTTTCTTATTGTGCTTACCTATTTTATCTGAAGTTTTTTGTTGGCTTGTTTGCTTTTTTGTTTTGAGACAGGGCTTTCCTTATAGCCCAGGGTGGCCTCCAATACTCATTCCTCCTGCCTTAGCCTCCTGAGTTCTGGGATTACAGGCGTGCACCTGACTCTCCAAAGTGGTTTTATCTGCTTAATTTATCTGTGTAACACATTGGCTGGACCCATATGTTCAATGATTAAACCATTTTCATGTGACTAAAAGTTAAATTGCCATCAAGTGTGTTTTAAAATATTGCATCCCTCTGTAATTCAAGAACTCTCTTTTCCAAATAAGTCTTTCTTCCATCTTAAAAGAACCCACTTTACCTTGTGCCGGGTAAGGGCCACTTGGTGATCCATTAAGCTTATCTCAGAGGTAGTTTGTAACTCACTGAGAAACAGCTTAATCCAGACAGAAAAAGAAAGCAGCAGCTCATCAAATCGCTGGTGCTCAGCCACCACAGACTGAAGAAAACTCATCCTGCAGGGAGGGGAGATGGTGTTACAGTGAACACGTCCCACTGGTGAACAGAAAGGGTCAATGATGCACCTTGAGAGTGGAGCTTACCCCAGCTGTCCATACGACAGCAGATATTTCCAAACCCCTAATCCCTGTTTTCTCACAATTTCCCATCTCAGTTAACATCACCATCATCCACCCCTACGGTCCTAGGAACGCCTCTTCCTCTGTCCATCTCTTCTCCACTACCTCACCCTATCTGATCTACGCCCATCCTGTGAGCAGCCCTTCCACCATATGCACCATCCTGTGCTCTTCTCCTCAATTCTCCCTGCCCCCACACCACAGTCCAAATCTCTTCATCTCTTGCCTGGCCTCCTTCCTGCTACCTCTGCCTCCCTACCATCCCTCTTAGATTACAGCCAGGCATGATTTCATGGGATCAGGGCAGCCCCTGTCATGCTTCAACACTGTGCAGTTTCCTGCTGCACTGAGGAAGGCAAACCCCTGCATGATCTACTTCTCTGGCCTCATCTGATACAGCTCTGCCCCACACTCCCACTTCTGTCTTACAGCCCTTGCCTGTTTTGCTTGCTCTGCCTGTGTGTCCTGTCCCCAGAGCAGCCTGGTCCTAATTCTGTCACAGCACTCTAATCTTAATCAGGTCCTACTCCCCAGAGAAACCTCACGTGACCATCCAGTGTAAAGATGCCCTACCCTTTCTTTGGTCCCTACCTTATTTTGTTATCTTTATAATACTTAATACCACTTGAAACAGTCATTAATTTTTAAATTATGTATTTACCTCTCTAGCCCCTTCTTGCCCTACTCCCCATAATCAAAGATTTTATTTGTCTTGCTAACTACTGTAACCCAAGCACTTGGAAAGGGGCCAGAATATAACAAGGAATCAATTGATGCTTGTGCAGTAAAGAAATTAGATGATTAATAATGGGGATTGGAGATCAGCATCCACAACTGATATTAAAGTAATAACCTTGGTCAAATACTAATATTCATTATAATGATTTGTACTAGAGTTAAACTGTTTAAATTGACTTTCACATTTTAATCCTTGTAAAATCACCCACGCATTATTCTCACAAGCATAAGTTGTCTTTTGAATGCTTTGTGTCACTTTAAAAGTCCTTCACTTTTCCTTTGAGAGCTAGGCAGAAGGCGGATCCTGCTGTTTTAAGGAAAATTGTTCATCTTTCAAGAGTTGGCATCAAATCTTTCTGTTGGCTCTTCTTGAACTCATTCAAATACCCTCTTTATTTTGCTTTTGTTCCTACAATTCCCTGTGCCCTTTTGTTTTTGTTCCTACACTCATTGCTTTCTGTGTTATTCCCACACTGATCTGTAAAATTCCTGAAGTCAGGTTTTTGGTATTTTTATGGCTCTGGTATTGATGTGGTGCTTGACACTCAGCAAAACACAATCATTGATTGATTGAATAACTGAAATAACAAACAATGGAATAATCATCCAGCTCCAGGAAAGTGGGGAGTGATCCCCAGCACACAGAAGAGTGCTCTACTCATTTCAGAAGCCCAATAAATATTTACTGAATGAATGAACTTTAAAATGATCAGAGAGGTTAAAGGCTCATCCAGCACTATATTGGTAATCAATATCACTTTAAAGGGAAAAGATCTCTTTTTAATTAGAAAGATAAACATGCCAATTATAAAGCTAATTATTATTGAATCTATGTTTGCCTCCATTTAATATATTAAAAATTTCCCTTGCTCTTTCCAAAGATCTCTGTTGGAGTGAAGTAGGGCAGCAGATCTATAATGCCTCTGGTTGAGAAATACCATGTAAGGCAGAGTTTTAGTGACCGCTTTTCTCCTGCACACAATAAACAATACAAACATTAGCAACCCTACTCTCTTCAACAAATTTCACCTGGTTTAATCATTTGCTCCGATTGTAATACTGAAGTTTTGAGTTAAGGTTCTGCAGCGATGCTCATTTTTGAAGACCTTGATTTAAAAAAAATGACCACTTTTTCCTCTTCATAATTATTCCCTGAACAGCTGAGTTAAATAAAAGTAAACAAAACTATGCTTCCTGAAATCAGTTTACCTTTAAAAACACAGCTCACCCTTTACAAATAAATCACCAACCTCAGAAGGCTTTCTAGAACCAACCTTTTGCTAACCATCTGTGGTAAGTCTCTCCACCTCTCGTCCAACTGCTCCAAATGTAGCTTCACCATTTTCACATCCTCCTTGGAGGCTACTGAGAACAGGGATTCCTTCAACTGCAGAAGGTTGCTGTAGATGGATGCCTGTGACACAACTTCAGTTTGCAGTGCCTGAGGAAAGCAGAACACATAACAGACCTCACCCAGTGGAAGGGCCATGCAGGGCAAGTAGCTGTGTCCGAAGGCTTTGCATTCCTGCACAATGAAGGCCATTGGGCAGAAGAGTTTTTGTTACTTGATTTAGCAATGGATCTAGCTTACCTTTAATGAAAATTTCAATGCTCCTGAAACCTGGATGACTTTATTGGAATCTCGGCTATAAATTAGGCAAATTTGGAAGCTATGAATTTCTTTAAGATGCAGAAACTGAGTAGGTGAAGAGACTCAAAGACAGACTATTGTAGAAAATAATTAATGTGGTCTAACAATAGCAGAGGCACAATTCTAGGTACTGGAAATACGGTCATTCTCTCTCTCTCTCTCTCTCTCTCTCTCTCTCTCTTTCTCTCTCTTTCCCTCAGTCTCTGTTTAGAGATTATATTATGCCAAACTGGGGGAGGGGGCAGGGGGGATTTAAGGGTGCTTCATTTTACTTGCATGCAACAGAACTACTTTTTCTTTTTAACTGTATCAAGCAATGAATCTCTTAGGCGCTGTGACTGTGCCTAAACGTTTTGGTTCTTATCTAGTAAGAGATAGGTGCTAAGTGAGATGCTAGGAGAAGCATCAAAATGTGTAAATGCTTATCAAAATGTATTCTTTCCTTTTCTAATGAGCACCTATCTGGGATACTGGCAAAATTGCTGACACATCAGAGGAAGGGGTTCCCAGCCTATGGATGACAAGAAAGACTCTGAAGCAGAACTGGGACTTATGCTGAGGAGGACACAGAGAAGAAGCAGCACAGGACGTTAGACCAGGAGGCAGGAATGTGCACATTGCAGTAACCCCACAGTGGAGGCACAGCTCAGGGAAGGACACGCTGTGTGGACACGGGAGTGACAGAAGCCTGCAGCCCCTCCAGTCCTCTCACTCATATGGCACTTAGCTTCCACATAGAGGCACACAGGAGTCAGTGCCTATTTGTTGTTTTTATGGAAAGGAGGTGTGTCTTCCCCTACTGGCCCACCTCACATGTGTTTCTAAGAGGACAGGAAGCAGATGGTGCTGTTTGTCCTCAGGATAGTCACTGTAGATTTCTGGAAAGGGACTTCGTGGAAGATTCATGGGTCTGGCAAAGTGGCAAGGCTGGAGAAGCAGGGGAATGGAGCCCCTTGTCAAGGAGGAAGAAAATCTGAAATGGGCAGTAGTTTAGATGCTAAGCGACCTCTGGTGGAGATTAAGAGAAGCAATTATGAAATGAAAACTCTTACACCTATTCTAGACAGCTGAGGTATAAACCTGTAATACAATAAATCTCTTTTCGGAAGCAATTTGCCTATTGAATTTTATAGCACAAATAACATCACTTCAAGCAAGTCATTGATCAATAATATTGTCTATGGCTACAATAATACTTAAAGTTTTCTTTTAGATTAAAAGGTTTTTGTTTTAATCTTGTCTTTCTGTAACCTGTATTTGTGCTCATTCATTTTTTCTATCTTGCTTGAAAATAATAATCACTATTGATTTCTTTCTATGTTATATTACTTCTTTCTTAAAAAGTACTTTATAACCAAAAATTCATATTATTACAAAAGTGGAGCGATTATACCTACTGCCAGTTCAGGGACAAAATGATGGCCAACCTTGTTTCATCTTTATTTCTGCCTTTCCTCTCAACTCCCCTGCCAGATCAGTTTTATTCAAATGCCAACATCATGTCACAGGAATTGTTTGGGTTTTTGTTGTTGTTGTTTTTGAGACAGTCTCATAGCCCAGTCTAGCTTGAGGCCATGGTGGCCTCAAGTTTTGGATCCTCTTGCCTCTACCTCCTGAGGACTGAGATTACAGGCCTGTGCTACAACACTTGGCTGGTTGCTTCAGGACTTTCTAACACGCCATAGACATAAGTTATCACAAAGTTCTTCTTCTTCATTCCTTTATCTCTCAGATCAGGCTTGTTCTCTTTCTAGGACACCTTGATATCAAAGGATGGTTTCAGGAATCACAAAACCAAAGCAAAGAGTTAAGTGGGTCAGAGGATTAATTATTTAATTAATTTTTACAAAACAATGCAACCATAGCAAAAGCATTCCATTTTCCTTTCTCACACTTCCTTGAACTTGCCTGTATCAACTGAAGTTCGCCTTCCACTTTGACTCTGTCTGCAGAAATGTCCATTTCTGGGGAACTGGCTATGGCCTCACACCGTTCTAACCAGGTCAAAAAGGATGACAGTTCTTTTTCTAGCCTGAAGAAAGCAGAGAAAAGAAACAAATTCATCCAAAATGATCATGTGAGAACATAACCTTTCTCAGGGTAGAGGGTCTAGTGTGAACCATTATACATGATAAGAGTGTTCATCGTGTCGTTCTAGATGTGAAGGTGCAACACTCCATTCATTTTTATGTGTGTACCTGTACATGTGATTACATCAATGTGTACAGATTCACATACATGCTCTCCACTTTCTTCATCTTACCAAGCAGATCACGATCTCCCCATAACAGATTCGCAGGTCGTGTAGTTTACAACTGCGATGATTACAGGAATAGTCCAGAGTTTCCCATTTAATAGAGGCAGTAATTTAAGAGAGAACACTGCTCACCTCTGCCAGTGGGCCAGCAGGTCCTCCAGCACAGTCTGTCTCTCTTTGGCCCTCCTTAGTGTGCCCTCATACTGCTGCTGTATGGCTGCAGCCTCCTGGATGCAGGAGTCTCTGTTCACCACCTTCCGGGCACTGGCTGAGAAGGTGGCGATCGTGCTGCTCAGAGACTCCAGCGCCTGACACAGGTCCTAAGGAGAGTGCAAAGGCAATACTGAAGGGCCTCTTGGTTACAGGGGGAGTTAGGTTCCAAGAGGATTTGTGGATGCCTGAAGCCACAGACTGTATCAGTCCCTGTGTACCTATGCAAAGTTGAATTTATAACTAGGCACAGTAAAAGACAACAACTAATAACAAAATAGAACAATTAACAATACACTATAATAAAAGTTATCTAAACTGTCTGAATTACTTATTTCTGGATTTTTTCATTTGGTGTTTTTAATCTGGGATTGACCACAGGTAATTGAAATTTAAGGAAGCAAAACTGGATGAGGGAAGACTGGTATACGACCAAAGCATGGATAAACAATGAGACCTATGTTTTTCTTAAAGACCCATCATCATGAAATATCTTCCCTTCAGCCATAATACACAGTGATGGTACTAAAAGGTGTTTCTGCCATGATTTGCAGCAGGACACAGTGAGAACGAGGAGAAACTTACTCCATGGATGCAGAAATCAAAAATGAGACAGAGACTGTCCCCAGTTGAGAATGTACTGATGTACATCTGAATACCTTCAAATTTCTCTCAATAAATTCAGACAACTGTGAAAATTATTGTTCATTTTATGCTAAATATATGAGGATTAAAAATCTGATTCTCAACTTACAAACATCACATGTCATGTACTATCGTATCCAGAACAAATATCTAGAAAGATTTGTGACCAAAGTAGCTGTTGTTAGGAGTCAAAGATGACAAAGACGATGACAACGACAACAATGATGATAATACAATAATGATGATGACCCCCAGAAGATGGCAAGTATTATGCTATGCACATTACGAGTGTTAATTTGTTTACTCTTCATACGGGCACTAGGAGGTATTTTTTTCATTATCTCCCATTTTGTAGATTAGAGAATCAAGACAGAGAAAAAGCAACTTGCTTTTAAGTATTTTCTTCTGGAATCTAAATATTAGAAAAAAATAGAATGTTATCTTCTTTGCCACTCTACTACAAAATTAGTTGAATATTAAAATAATTTTATCATATTGGATTTTCCTACTTTTCCTCATTTTTTGTGTTGTAAAAAATTACATAAATGATAAAAATGCATTCTCACTGTAAATATTTAAAAGATATAAATTTTACTATTCTTTCTAAGTGTGCCTTCATCAATGTGTCTTCTTGGCTTTCTGTCATTGCAGCCCTCTCCCCCATATTAAGGGACATATATGTACACAGGCACATGAAATAGGGACAATATCTCTGGTTTTGTTTATTAGTTAACATGTTTCTTAGTATTTCTTTGTGTATGACCCTTCTTGTTCCTCTCTATAAATTCTGCCAGAGCCATCTGGTTGTTGTCTTGCCAAAGACTGGTAATGATTCAGGGACCAAATTAAAAAGCCAGTCCTTGAAACAGGTCAGAGAAGAGAAAGTCTGCACATCTGAATGCAATGGTTTAAAATGTGAAGTCTGCTATGTATGTATTTTTTCTTGGACATTTAATTTTTATAATGCTGGCAAGAGATAAAAGGATCTATAACACCTGCAATTAGAACACATCACATGTTCTAATGAAAAGAGAGAAATACATATTTAAATGAATGCTCCTTTAAAATATAGTGATAGTGAAAACTTATTTGCATATTTACATGTCCTGTGTTATGTGGAGTATATTTGATCTATGTAGTTTCTTAATTAGCATCAAAATATTTCCAATTTTCACTTTCATAAAAATATTTACTCTGTTTTCTTTTCAAATAGGAGTTACCAATTTTTTGAGTGGATGTATAAGCAGAAATATGGAAGCACATTCTTACCATCTGTTCTTGGAGAACTTTGTATGTTTCTGTAGCTGAAGAACATATTTTAATTGGAGAATCAAGTCTGTCTTTAAATTCAGACAGAGACTGTTGAATCTAAAATAGTGACATAAAAATAATGATGGGAAAAATATACATCAAGGCAGAAAAGCTTCTGACAAAGTAGCATCCCTACCTTTTATTGGATAGCTTTCAATGATTTTTTTAAAAAAATCTAAAGCGAGTGTGTCCCATTGTTTGAAAGAAAAATTATTAAGAATTATCACAATATATAATGGCATTCTTATATCCCCCCTCAAAAAAATACCATATAAATAATTATGAAGTTAGTTATCACTGACAATTTGGTAGATGGTTGGCAATGTTTCTTTTCCTTATACCACTATTTGTGGGCAATTTATTACATTTCTCTGTAAACACATGTGAAATTTATAACTTGGGCATGCACAGACCAATTCTTACCTTTCTAAGATTCTCTTCAAACATTTGCTGCTGAGATAAATGCCCCAAGATTGTTCCTTCCAGGCATTGTGCATGCTCTCGGAGTTCTTCCCAGTATCTTCTTACTTGTGTCAACTTGGCTTTGATTCGAGCAGCTTCTCCAGTGGTAATAAATTGAGCAAAAGACTGAGCCTCATCTTCTAATCCTGTAATGCTGCTGATCTTACTTTCTATTTCCCGAATTGTGACCTAATATTTAAAACAAGAAAAATGACAATGTGGACTGAGTAATCTCGCCTTCCTGAAATGATGTAATTATCTGCAGAGAGAAAATGAGGAGAATTTCCTTAACTGACATCTAAACATACTTGAATGGTTGGAAAGCAGCTATAAACAAACACCATGTTGTTTTCTGGCCTTACTGGGGAAGAACAGACACACAGACAACATCTATAAAATGCAAACAATGGAGGTTGTGCTCACTGGATGGAAAATAAAGAGAAATAGCTACTCCTTTTTGTAACAAAAGAAGCAAAAAGATGTCCCTATATCTCTTATATCTCAAAGATACAGAAACTTGTCTACTTTCCTTACCAATCAAGCATTTTAACCAGTTGATCTGGGGAAGCCATGTTTTCTCAGGAACACACAAGAATACAAATACTGATGTTTCTAAAATGTAATTGAGTCATATTTTACCAAGCTCAAAGTGTTTCTGATTACACAAAGTGTTTCTGATTTGACATTTATTTTTTATGCCAGTCATTTCCAAATACAGAACGTATTGGAACACTTGTACCCCATTCCTGGGGGTCAGACCCACTCTTTCTAAGGTGAGGCCCAAGACTTTTAATTTCTAACAATTTTCCATGGGGTGCTGGTGCTGGTGATCTCCAGTGCTTTCTTCATTAGCTACGGACTTTACAGGAAAAAACAATCCACATACTTTCAATTTAATTTGGAGCAGAAAGGATATTTTATATATTTGGCAATGCATGAAAATCACTGATAGCTACTGAGGATGTGTGTGTATATGTGTGTGTCTCAAAAACACAGAGGATTATTTATGTATAAGAAAATGAAAATTATTTCCCTAAAAAAGGGCCAAATCATTCAATCAAAATAATGCCAAAAATTCATTCAAGTTTCAGTTTCAAATAATTTAGATAAAAAATACTATTACCCTGGAGAAACCAAATTTGTTACTTTTGTCTAGTTGAGAGAATCAGAAATAACTTACATCAGATTAAGTTTGAGGTCTGTATCTCTTACTGATTTTTATTTTTCATGTGCATGACTACAGTGGTGTGTCTGATAGATATTTGTTGTTTGGGTATGAATACAGTCTTGCTTCCTTTTGTATTGATTATATTATTAATTATTGTAGGTGTTTGTGCACATCAGTTAAACAATCATAATTAAAAACAAAGCTCTTAGTTCTTAGGCTAATAAGTGTCATCAACAAATTCTTAAATACGAGCCACACAATCAAACTATTGGATTGTGGTAAAAATGAATCCCATCCAAGAGAAAAAGATGCTTGAAGAGGAATCCAGCATATGTTCTTCTCAGTTATCCATGTCAATTTGGAATACATGCAATGACAAGCAAAGATGGGCTTAGAGTATCTATCTTTATAAGAATGCAAATAATTCATTAATTCTAATCCTAAAATTGATTTAAGGTAAGAAAATTCTTATAAATGTTACCATATATTTCCTGTAATGAGTATTCTGTTTACAAATAGAACATGACCTATTAGAACAAATTCCACTGAATTCTACATTATCATTGCTTATTTCCAACAAGTATCTTTTTCTTGGCATTCATATTTATTTAATATGTTTTAGATCATTTTTCAAAATGCTGTTCTAGTCTGATAGTAAAGAAACTCATAGTAAATATTTATATATTTAACAATAAAATATGCAATCATAGTTTTCCTGAAGAATAACAATGAGATGACATTTGATGATTGTTATATTCCAGAAGCTCTGGAATAAATCTTAAAATAGTAGTAAATGAACTAGTGAGTGGATGAGATAAGTTAAAAGGTGAATATTAATCCTTGGAAGATATTTTTGAGACAAAACTATCTATAGATGCTATTCTCTTTTTCGTAGAACTTAGTGAAAATGATTAAATGATATTTAAAAGAGTTTTAAAGATTAAAATATTTCACAACTATTCTTTAAGGACTTAGCATCTATTTTCCCTTGTACTCCACAGAGGCCAGAGCAGACAGTGCACACCCCACTCCATGTGTCCCTGATCACAAAAGATGTGTGATGAGCAACAAGGCTCAGCACAGCATGGAATTTTAGCTGTGCAACACTGCACCCTCCCACTCTGCACATGGTCATAACTGGTTCTGAGTCATACTGGGAAATGTTTCCTCACCTTGGTGTTTATTTTACTATATTTAATAGAATGAAATGGCAAAGGGTTTTCCCATTCCAAAAAAAAAAAAATGAACAGAGCTAGGAAAAGAAGTGGCTGAAGTTTGAAAATGTGTAGTGTGAAATTGTATAAAAGAGATAGATGAACACTGTGAGCTCAATTCTTAAACTATGTGAGTGAAACAGACAATGGAATCTATGAATGAATCTATCCACATGGTTATTTTGGAGGCTGGAGAGCTAACCCATCAGAACATCCTTTTACATGCCCCAAGGTCATAAACCAAAACTATAGACCAATCAATTCTCCTGGCTTCACCTATGGAAAGCAACTTTTCGAGCTCCATCTTGTGGTTGGTGAGGGTAAACACCACTAATACTTGTAGGTATTTGTCATGGTTCTTATACAGGACAGTCGTAGATGATGAAAACATATCATGTTGTATAAATGAATCAAGAGAGCACTCCATAGGGGTTAATTCAAAATCAAGGAAAAGAATGATGCAACCATAAAATATTTTAATGATATTGCACACAATATTGACTTTGAATGCATAAATAAGACAATATTAATACACAATTCCATCTATAGAGTGTTACCCAGTATCAATCAAGACCTTTTAGATTGGTATTTTGTGTGAATTTAATTTTAATAGGGTCACATAGCAATAAAATATCTTTTCCAGGACCAAATATCTTTTGATGATATAAATGTAAGAAAGGAGTTCTTAAAAGCTAGACACAGATCATAAAGGTAACGTGTGAGCAGGTCACCTTAATTTGGCTGATTTGCATGTCCATGGCAGATGGCGAAGTTTCCAAGGCATTGAGTTCATTTTCTTTCTCAGTTATCCAGATGGACAGGGTCTCAAAATTACTGCCAAAATGATCCCACTTGGTTTTCACCATTTCCATCGTTTTAATACTAAAATTAACCAAATTAGGTTAAAAATGCAGTATTTTAATAGAGAACAGCAGCACATTTTTCCTTAACTCACAGGTGAAAGGTAGTGAGGACATTTATGGTCATTTCAAAGTTGGAACTACTGGACAGGAAACAAGCACACTTGATCTCAGGAGCTCGTCAGGCTCAAGTCTTCCTAGCTTTTCTGAGCATGTGCATCCTATGAGGAAGCAGTGGTGCTACCTTCTGAACAGAACTACATTTCAAACAAAATAATGCTTGGTCCAAAGGGGTTTAAATCAGATATAATCTAATCAAACTCTCATCTCATCCATAGTTTCCAAGACTTATTTTAATAAACAATGCCTGATAGATTCCTGTTTGTTTGTTTGTTTTTTCCTGTTTCCTGTTTCCTTACACACGTTCCTCTCTTGCTGGTGAAGGAGAGAGAGATTGTAATGCATTTTGAAAAGATCTGAAAGCTTTTGATCAAATGCATCTTTATGAATGAGGAGAGAGCCTGTGGTCTGAGTCCCATGCTGCTGGGTAGGAAATGCTCCCATCATTACAGCACTCTTGATTTATAATATATATTGGTTTCACCTATTCATAGATGCCCTAGATTCCTAATTCCAAAAAGACCTTTTTAAACACTTGTTCCCGAGCACCCTGTGTTTAGACAGCTTAGGCTTTATGTGTAACAAATCTAGTGAGCAAAATTTTAGCTATGGATTCTCAGTTTGTATTAGCTATGCATGTGTAAGCAGGTGAATATGGCTTTCAGTTGAGAAAAAGACTAAGAAACTAACAGTGTATCATTGAACTGATAAGTCCTTGGGTTAAAAAAAGTGGAAGAATGTTTCTGTTTACCAAAAGGCACTTGAAAACATCAAGAAAACATAATGGCATCATTTGATTGTCAAGTTGAATAGTATTGCAAGTCTCCAATTTATACCCTGGGTGCCTATTGCTCTTAACAGCACAGGAAATGCAAGCAATGCTGTATTGCAAAGTTTTAAATAGAATAAAGATTCCAGTGGATATTCTAAATAGAAGTTGCTTCCTTTCTAATAAACTCCAAGTTTCACTATTCCCATAACTTGATGGAGAATATTTAACACAAAGTCCTTAAAATTTCAGGTCACAATTTGTTTTAAATAACGTATTTATCAAATTTTAAAGTTTAGGCAAATGTAAAATGTTAAGTTCAAGGTGATAATAGGATTAAAAAGAGATTTTACATTCTAAAATCCAGTAGATTGTGTTTTTGGTTTATCACTAAATAGAAATGTTTAGCCACATTGTTTTGAAGAATATTGGCCATGACCTTGTAGGTTGATCTCCAAACTGCATGTACAAAATAGGCCAAAAGGTTATTTCTTCTTTTCAGGTAAACAAACATTAAATGTTTTTAAAAATAGATTTTTGAAGTTAATCTCTGAAACAGAATATCAATCGGTGACAATTTGAATATTGAGGCACTGTGGACAAGCTTGGGAGCTTTGGGTTGGAGACGATTGATGTGGTATGTGCTTAGAATCTATACTATCAAAATAGCTCTCTTTCCTTCCAACTGGTGACAGCAAAATAATAGAATAAAAAACTAAACATTGGTTATTTTTTTGAAATTCCTTCTACAAAGGCCACAGAATTGAATAGATATGGCTTTCCCATGAACATAGTCAGTTAAAGATGCAAATGCCCCATCCCTTATATACTTTTGCTCTGTTGTGGAAACTGATTCCTCAGTTGAGGATAGTTTCTTTGGAATTGTGAGTTGCTTCCTCAAGACATGTTGGAATATGCAGACACTTTGAGATTTTAAGACTATTTTGAATACAAGACACAGGAAAGAATGTATTGAATTTCATGTTAGAGAGGAAAGTTTAGGACGTGTGTAGCACATACTCTTCTTCAAGTGTGTCTTCTAGCTTTTTGACTTGCTCTTTGATTGACTTGGCCTGCTGCTGAAGCAGCTGCTTATTCCTGGGCCCAAGCGGTATCTCAGAAGCTTCCTTTACAAGGTTCTCAGCCTGGACTGAAATACTTTCTGTCCTCTTAGAAAAGTCCTAGAAAAAAAGATATCACAACTGTTAGGCAGGCACTTTATGCTCCTTAACTCTGGCCTCAGGTAAACTGCGCATACTGCACAGTTTGCAGAGAGATGGATAGAAAGACAGACTTGTTCTGTTCTCAACGGTAAAACTGACTCACTGTCAAATGGCTGATCTCGGTGCTTTGCCGAGGTGTTTTTGTTTTAGACACAGAACTGGTCCTCTATCACTATTGCTAGTTACTCAGCAATTCTGACTGAAAGGTTTTCTCTACTGATTTCCTGGTTTTGCCTCATTGGTTAGGATTCTGAGCCATCTTATAATAATTAACTTATTTACAGTGTGTTAATTTATTACAGGTCAATTCATACCTTGATCAATACTGATTGATTCTTCAGCCATAAAGATAACAGATTTCTAGACCAATGAATAGAAATATTTGTTTAGCCAATCCAGGAAGATCTTAGCCAATAAACAGTGATCTTTCAGCGATCTTTACTATACAGAAAGACTTTGCTTACTAGTTCTCTGGAAAGATGTAAAGTCTGTTCTTAATGCTGTTAAATCTTATTTTCATATGCATGCACAGTGTGATGGAAGGAAGGAAGGTTTTGAACCAGTCAAACCCGGGCTAGAATCCTGGACCTGCTAGTCACTAGTTGTTCCACTTTGATGAATTACTTTTTGGGCTCTTTCTTGCAAAATTCAGATGGTAATTCTTTTCTTGGAAGGGTTCTCTTAGCATTCCATTAGTAAATTCACTTTAAAGTGCCTCACATTCTGTCAGGCACCAATTATCATTTTTATGTCCTTTATATAAAATTGAAGGAAATGGCTTACTAATTCTAGTCACTGATTTTCAACAATGCTGAACTATTTTAATTCAAAAGTTAACTTAATTTATATGAGGCACTGGTATATTTTAGATGTTATTTGAGTTTTGTCAGGTAAAAATATTGATTACTAAATTAGAAAAGATAAGCCCAGTGATAATCTTGAATGAAGAAAATTAGTGTCTCTACTCACAGGAGGTTTAAATTTCAACTTCCCTTCTCCTAAATAGGTAATGTAGAACACCAATATAAATATTTGTAAAAAGCCAGCTTTTCACTTAGTTCACTTCCCAGGATTATTATATAACACCATACAAGATAAAGTAATGACATAAACTTCCTGTTTGAAAGACCTAATGTCATCACAGGTATATCAATGTCACTTCAAAATGTTATCATAGATGAAGCAATTTGCTTCAGAGAAGTAATTTGAAAGAAATAGCCAAAAATTAAGTATATATTCCTTATGGTGCAGAGACTTACAGCATCCTGAAATAAGAGAGTTGCTAGTGTTAGAACATTAGTTCTGTACTTAAAAGCACTCACTATTACAATCTGTAAACTTAGTCATTGTAGATTTAATTTTGTAGACAGTGAATCATACCACAATCTCGCACAATCCCAAGAATATAATCAGAAGTATAAAATGTTTCCCCACACCCTGGAATCGCTCATGAAATAGCAATGTTTCAAACTGCTTATACAGTGTTTTGTGTGAGCAAAACCCAAAGAGCAAAATGGTGTTAAAATAAAATTAAGCCAAAATAGAATAACAACACAAAGCTTTATTGCTCAATCACTAAATCATAAGGAAGAAACTTATGAGTGGTGGAAGAAACTTATGAGTGGTGGAAGAATGCATCAGGTAGATCTAAAGTTGAACCTGGATTCTGACCTTCATTGTCTGAATGACCCGAGTCCTGTCACTCTGAACCTTTACTTCCTCACCAGTAAAGCCTTGCCTAGTTGTGAAGATCAAACACAACCTTGCCACGTGCACCCTACTGCAAACTGACCGGGACGCTCGAGTCCTTTATCCCAGCCACTTTAAGGACTGTCAACTGGAATGAAGGCTGTAATAACTATGTGAAGACTAAAGACATTACACCTATTTCATCTACTGGCAGTTAAACTAATCCAAGGGATTGGTACAGATTGGAGTCACAGGGTGTCAGAAACCCTGGATGGAAGCACATGAAAATTAACCAAATAATGTCTGTATTAATAAAAGAAATCTGCTATATTTTAGTTTGAAAAGCAATTAAAATTAAAATAAAAAATTCAGCAAAGCTCTCTTTAAACGGCTGATAAAAATGTACAGAACTGAAAGAGTCTGTGGCTTTATAGAACATCAAACTCCTCAGTAAACTAATAACAGAAGAAATAAAAAATAAGTAGTACAAGAGACAGAGATACTTTGTAATGGTAAGAAACACAGGGGCTTTCTTGTCAAAAGCTGGAAAAATGTGGACACAAGGCTGTTCTTTCTTATACATTGGCATACCCAATTCTATACTAATTCAGTCTTTCCATGAACCCCAAGCAGGTACAATGGCAACCAAAAGGCCTGAACAAATGCTCCCACACATTTATAGCCAGCTCTGAGTGCCCAAGGTGTGTGAGCTCCCAGGGTTGAGTACCCCAAGCACATGACCACCCACTAGCTCTCTAGTGCCCAACAAGAGCCTCAAACTCACTATGTCATCCTCCCCCACTAACTGCCACCCCAAGTTTCCCATCACAGTCTCATTACACCAAGGCTCCAAACCTTGGGTTCCTATTCTCTTTCTTTTCAGTGAGTGCCCTATTCCAGTATCAAATGCACCTCACCTTTTTCACCTCTCCCTATGCACTGACTTTGACCCCTGCCACCCTTATTTATGCCCATATGTAAGAACTTTCTGATTGAATCCCATGATCCTAGCCTTTCACTCTGCCAATCTCCTCCATCCGCTTAGACATTCACTTCCCTAAAGCCCAGCCCTGGCTGTATGACTCCCTTTCTTAAAACTCTTCAATGGCTCCAGCTCCATGTTCCCTAGAGACTAACATTTGAGGTCTTCAGCGACATTACCAAGTTGTCCAACTTTCCCTGGAAAATTCAAGTCCCTATATTCTGTTTCACAAGATGGAACACTCCTATCACTTTTATACTTCATGCTGTTCACCTTTCCAGGGATGTCTGTCTGTCTTTGCTTCTCAGTGTGCTTTTACCTGTCCTCCAGGTTCTTAAACATCTATGCCTCTGGTAGGGAACCAACCATTTCCTACTCCTGTGAAAAACTTTGTCTTAGTTCCTATGTGCTTATCTCCCAGTGAAATGAAAAGAGTGGGTTATCGATAAATATTAAGAAATGATTAAATGAGTAACAGCAATTAATATTAATAACGGAGGAGCAATAGCTTTCTTTCCCTCAATAATGAGCACTAAGGAACTGTGTGGTCTTGTTAATATACCTTTGTCTGCTCCAATTCTGAAGATAAGCTTTCCAAACTGCTGAAACTCAGGAAGCGCTCATGGCTGGAACCTGTTTGAAAAAGGTATCTGACCACTGTCTCCTTGCTTGTCTCAAATCGTTCCCATTTCCTTAAGGTGACCTAATTGAAAAAAATAACCAACACATCATGTTACAGATTACCAATGTGTATCATGAAATATTGCTTCGGCTTCATTCCTTTCCTAAATTGTCCCTGTCTAGCAAAACCTGAGCTCAAATTTCCCAATCTGAATAAAATGATGCTGGTGTCTTGTACAAGGAATTCCATTAGGAGTTTCTTTTCTCAGTGTCTTCATCTATGCAGAGAGGACACACAGGTGGTTTCTGAGTTCTCCCCTACCTATGCATCTAAGATGTTGCCTAAAATATAGATAAGTGACAGAGGGAAAAAAGAAAAGAGGTGAGAGAGAGAGTGAGAGAGAGAAGGACAGAGAGGGAGAAGAAAGAGAGAGAGAGAAGGACAGAGAGGGGGAGAGAGAGAGATGAGAGAGGAGAGAGAGAGATGAGAGAGGAGAGAGAGATGAGAGGAGAGAGAGAGGACAGAGAGAGAGAGAGAAAGAGAAGAAGGAGGAGGAGGAGGAGGAGGAGGAGAGGGGGGTGGGGGAGGGGGAGGGAAAAAGGAGGAGGAAGGGAGAGAGGGGGAGAGGGGTAGACAGAACTGGACTTCTTCCAAAAGTGAAATGTGATCAAATTTCTGGGTTCAGACAATGTGTGGATTAACTCCTGGCGTCGTCATGATTATGATCACGATCACCACAGTGTGACATACCTGGATGCGGCGCTCCTGCCTCTCCCGGCTCTGCTCCAGGCCGGCCAGGGTGCTGTCCAGCTCCTGCAGCTCCTTGTGGCCCGGCCCTGCTGGCCCGCCCGGCCCCTGCTGCGCACGCTGCATCTGCTGCTGCAGGTCCCTCCGCTTGGCCGAGATCAGCTTGGTCTTTTGCTGGAGGCAGAAGTCCAACAGATGGATGTGAACTTGACTCTATCAGCTAGGCAGGCCGCGGCCCCCACGCTAAGAGGTGCAAAGGGGATCCTCTCCTGCAGCCCTGGCCGGACTGTGTTAAAGCTGAGGCTGACAGTCCAGCCAGGAATATTGTGGAATCTGAATTGGTCAAAGGTGGACATTGTTTCAAAATGCTTTATGTTTTAATGACTAAACAATGTCAATTATTTGACTTCAGTTTAGATTATGTGCAGATTTGGAGAGCATTTAATTCTTCAGAAAGAATTTGGCAAAACAACCTATTTGACACAACACATCTTAATAATCACTTTCTGTCTTAAAAAACCCTAAGGCCCAAGTTTTATCATCTACAGTGCAAAAATGTAAGTATTAAGAAATTTGCTTCCTGAGTATATTAGGAATAGTTAATATGCAGAGGTACATGTGGGAAATCTGTGATTTATGGAAGTATGATCTTTTAACAGAGTAGTGTACAAATCTCAAGTGTAAACTTACTATTCATCACGAAGTATACCCGCCCATAGAATAAGCATGAGAACAATACAATACCAAACACTAATTTCCTGAGCTCACAGACTTTTCAAAATTATTAATTAAATCTATAAAACCTAAAGGTTAATATTTCATACATAACTTTTAAAGCAACTTAATTGTTGCATTTGATATTTAGCTAGTTAGCATTTTACTGTACATCAAATTATCTGGAATTTTGTCATTAAATATTTTATTTGAGCCAAATCTATTGACAAGCAACATATTCCATGTATGCATACATTTTAATGTACACTACCAGACTATCGAGGTAAATTGATTGATATTACTTATTATTAAGGATTGTGCATACAACTCAGTGCATACTTAGCATGCTAAGGCCCTGGGTTCAATTTCAGCACCAAATAAAGCAATGATCCATATATACTAAAATTCCTTTACTTCTAGTTCTAATCCTTCGTAAACATATATTTGCCCGAAGTCTGAAACTTCAAGTAAGTTATAACTTTTCTCTCTCTTTTTTTTTTTTTTTGCGGTACTGGGATTTGAACTCAGAACCTACACCTTGAACCACTCCACCAGCCCTTTTTGTGATTTTTTTTTTCCAGACAGGATCTCATGAACTTTTCTCCTAGGATAGCTTTGAACAGTGATCCTTCCTGATCTTTATCTCCGAGTAGCTAGGATTACAGGTGTGAGCCACCAATGCCTGGCAAGTTATAACTTTTCAAACTTAAATGTGTTCAAAGTTGTAAACTGAAGAAAGATTTTTAACACAGTGACAAGACAATAGTGATCTCAAATATGAAACAACTTGTCTATGATTTCCATGCTTTGAAAAGCACAGTTTAAACCAATTTTGTGGAGTTTCTTCACAGCTAAATTAATTTTCTCTTCACACTATTCCTTGAACTTTTTGTCATCAAATCACCGTCTAGAAATTTGTCTTGAAGGATGTTCTGAAATATGCAACATTTCACAGAGCAGAAAACAGCACCAGGTTCTTTTAGCCACTCACCAGGTTCCTTCCCCTTACCCCCTCCCCTCCCTCAGGGAGGACTGTGACTCTCAGAGTCTGTGGGTAGCTAACCAGTTCCACAGGGAAGCCAGCAGACAGTGGCTCTACCTGGTGATGAAGAAGGAACTGCTGTGCTTCGAGCAGATTTTCAGAGTCCAGGATCTTTTTTGCCTCTTCCTGGACCTCCTGAGAGCCAGAAATTAACTCCTCCATGGAACTTTGCACTATTTCTTTGTACTGAATGCAGTCCCCAAAGTTGCTGACCATGTTCTCCACCTGGATTTCCATGAAAAATGAGAACTCTGTGTTACATCCAGACAATCTTTTTCAGTTGAGGTATAATTGACAAATTAACATTGTATATATTTAGGGTGGACAATGCGATGCTTTGATATACATATAGGTTATGAAATGGCTTCTCCATTCAAGGACATTAGCCTGTCCATCCCCTCACACATTTTGTGTGTTTGTGAGAATATGTAAATCTACTTTTTAAAAAAGCTAATTTCAAGCACACAAAACAGTATTAGCAACTGGAGTTACCATGCTGTGCCTAAGATCTCTAGGACTTACTCATCTTAGAATTTAAAGTTTGTACCCTAGTTCTTTAGTTCTTTAGTTCTTTAGTGGCTTCTCTTCCTTGTCATTTTTCTGAATTTTGAGCTTTTTCTTCTGTTTAGTTTCTGCTTTCTCTGTTTTAGTTTCAAAAATAACTTCCATTTTCTCCATCTTCACTATGAGGATCATTTTTACATTTTATCATCATTTGTTTACCACAGAAGCCTGCTTTTTAACCTGTTTTTTTCCTTTGACCCATTCCAACTTGTCCAAAGTAACTTGGAGTATGCTGTTCTCCAAAGCAGCAGCAGTGAGAACCACAAACTTCAGATCTCAGTATATATCACCAGTTTTCTTGAAAGAAGTGACTCTTCCCTGCAGACTGTGGACCTATCTACAGCCTTTTGTGTTGTTGTTCTACTGGACAACTGCAAATGCTTCATGTTCAGCCCTGATTTAAATATCAAATGGATTATTATCAAAGGAAGGAATTGATTATGCTGAGTCTATGCTACATAAATTTACATGTAATCAGAATGAGTGTTTTTATCCACTTTCTCTTTTTGATTCCACTAAGTGATTAAGTAGCAAAACGGGCACTAATTCAGATTATGCAGAAGTTTCAGATGGATGAGTGTGTGAAGAACTAACGCCTGCATAATCATGTTTTAGGGGTAGATTGTTGCTGCAGATCCCACGACAGTGTCAGAACACTTGGTAAAACATTCAGACTAAAAACTAACAATTTTAGAGATTGGCAAATGTGTTCTTCATGGAGGCAGGATGTCAGAACATACTACAAATGTCTCCTGTGTGATTGATCCTGAGAGTTAGACCTTGGCTCAAACATCACCTAACTTTTAAGATGTTTACTTACTTCTACCATCTTTGGTAAGAAAAAAGTAGAAGGATGAATGTCAGATTTTTATCTAAAGTCTGGTGGTGGCAACTAATTAAACTTGACCTTTGCTACGGAATACAGCGAAGGTTGAAATCACCTGTGCTCCATTGTTTGATTAATCGTATCGCCATTTTTAATTTGTCCAAAATGCTTAAGAAAACTGTAATTTGCATATCAAAATTCTCACATCTAACAAAAATCACAAGCAGTTCAGAACATTTTTAGCTCATGTAAATTCACCACCATAAACTCAAACAGATCTATTTATATGGATTAAAATTATAAAAGTTTAACAGACAGGCTATGAGATTAGGGACATCTCTAGAGAATTCAAGATCTCTAGAATTCAACAGCTTTGTCGACATCTTGTAGTCATCCATCAGGTCATTTTCCTTACAGCTTATATTTCAACCATGCCAAGAAATATTGATAAATATCTATTCTTCTTCACCTTCTCACGTTAAGCAACAATTGAGGGTGGACGAGACCATGCTAGAAATGAAGAAGGTTTGTATATCTTAATTTATATAGGAATATAGGCAGCCATCAATATGCATATTAAAAAGTTTAAAACAAATAGACCTTGGCTAAAAGAGAATTTTTCTGGCCTGCTGACTAACCTGGAGTATTTTGTTGTTACTGGCTACCAGGTATTAATCATCCACTGTCCTGATTAATCAAGCACTGTCCTGACACTGTGCTTTGCACACATTACTGCATTTAACCTGTGTAACTTCCTTTTAAGGTAGACACTTCAATCCCATTTTACCAGTAAGGAAGTCAGGGCCTGGGGACATTAAATATCAAACTCAAGGTTGAATAGGAAATTGGGTATCAGGTTTAAGCTCTGGCCCTGACTCTTCAGCTTTATTTTTAACCCTTATATATCTTAAAGTGACCATGATTTATATAGCAATGTTTTAGTAATAGCAAAAGAAAAAAATATATAGACTGATCAGCTTTAGACTTTAGATACAGACCACTAACCTATAGCACTGAGTGCAATTCAAGTGTTCTTCTTATCTTTCCTAACAACCTTCATCTAAATAAGTATGGTAACTATTCTGTTTCAACTTCAGTTTCTTCATAAGATGACTTGCTAAACTACAGCCAAAAGAGAGTCCCCCAGACTCCCATGCCAGAACTGTCTTTTGAGAGTGCGAGTGAATGAATACCTCTGACAGCAGAGTCACCACTGCCTTGAAACAGCTGGATAAGTCTGCTAGCTCATCTCCTTGCTTTTGGGCTTCACTCTCAGAAGAAACTTCAATCAAAATTTTAAGCCTGGATTTCAGCCAGCTAAGAGTCTCGCCTTTTTTGGTAACATCATTTCTAATCTCCTGGAATGAGAGAACATTTTTGGTTAACACAATGCAATTGTGAATGATAACTTTCCAGCAGGAAAGAACTCAATGCAAGAAGGTTTGTGAAGGGGACACAAGAGCCATGACTTCATACCAGTAGAGTGTCTGCTTGTTTTGCTTTTTGCACTCAGTCCTTAGCAAAAGTCTACAAGTCCCAAAAGAAATGTCCTAATTTCAATACCTGATAAGAACAATTGATACTGTTTATACTGAAAGACAAAATCACCTTCATAATTAGATTGCTTAGATTTTTACAGATATTTCCTTTATCACAGATAGGATGCTTCTAACAGTACTATAGAAGAATGAGATTCCAAATTAATAAATAAAACACACACATACACTTTGATATCTCATTTTCTATGAACTGGAAAAAACATGATATTTTTGGGAAAAAGAATGAGTTTTTTTTCAGTTAGCTATTTTTTCTTTTATTGAATAATCTATTTGTTGAAAATTGCTGTGGATGCTCTAAAGGTTTATTTTAACTTAACTTACATTTTATGCCTCATTTTTGTTAGCTTTCAGAAGTCAATAACCCAAATATTAAGATGCATAAATAGGATTATAGCTCTAGTCCAGGCAGGGATGGTTTACAAGCAAAGACTCCAGAGCTCCAGGTTGGCAGGGCCAGTGACTGAAAGTTTGGTGACTGGGGAAGCTGGACCCTCCTGGACCAGCCATTGCCTCCAGTATCTCAAGTGAAGATGACTCCAACCCCAGAGCACTGCCCCACAGTTTTCCAAGGATAAATTCATACCAGCAAGAAAGGTTGCTGGTTGGTTCCAGAAGCAGGGGATCACTGAGATGTAAGATGTAAATTTTTTTTTGTACTACAATAGCAACCAGCAGGTAAAATATCCTTCTGTATGTGCACTGTGACATTAATGAGCACCTCTAGCATTTGAGGTGATTACATACTTGAATTTAAAAAAATGGAATTAGAAGGAAAGGAACAGAAAGGAATTGTCTTCTTCTTAGCAGTAGCTATATGACTTGCAATGGTTAAAAATGCTGAAAGAATTTTCAGGGCCAAAGGTGTGGTTCAAGTGGTAGAGAACCTGCCTAGTAAGTGCAAAGCCCTGAGTTTTAAAAAAAAAAAAAAAAGGAAGAAAGAAGGAAGGAAGGAAGGAGGGAGGGAGGGAGGGAGGGAGGAATGCAGGAAGAATTTTCAGAATTGCCTGTATCTATAAAATGAAGGCCACATTAAGAGGGCTGGGTCCCACTCACAGAACGCAAACTATGTTCAGACCTGAGGCTCTGTCACCTTGGCTGGGTTTATTAGGCTGTGCCCTTGCTCACAGAGTCTGAAAGGAACCAGTCTACCCTAAATATGACAGAAAAGGGATGCTCAGAGACCTTGCCACTCCCTAATTTTTCTGTGACCTGGCTTTCATGTCACTAAAAATGTATTGTACAGAAGCACACGAGTTCTTGTTTTCTGTGAGTTTTTAAATCTGTGTTACACACCCATGCACAAAATTTTTCACTCATCATTCCCCATTAGCTAAAGGTGCATGACAGGTACCACTGACATGAGTGACCCCGTCCCCAAACTATCAGTGAGTCAGTAGAAAACGACTCCACTGGTCTCCACACAACAGAAAACTTACATCGTGTTTAAGGAGAACATTTAAGAAAATGTTCAGAAACATGAGGCTTTTTTGCAATAGAAAAATAAAAGCCAACACTGTTTTTATCATTGGAAAATTTCTCTAGCAAGCATTGGCCAGAACTTACATCGACAGCACGCTTAACCTCTTCGTGGTTGGCAGTATCAATAGCTTCATCCTTGATTCTCTTCAACTGTTTCTCCTTGGCAGACATCCAAGATGAGAACTCAGAAAATCTGAAATAACACAAGCATTTTCTTATTAAAGGGAGGGAATATCAGAATGGTATAAAAATAGACACATTTTCTATTTTGAATTGAGTCATGGAAATGTACTAATCAAGTTTTTGCTAAACTGGTTAACAGATTTTCTGGAAACTACTGTGAAGCTCACAGGGGTAGCTGCCTCTGGGTTCAAAACTTGGAGGAGCTCAAGTTGAGGACAAAGATGTCCTGGGGCCTGAGCACCTGGAAGAAGGGACCACCTGAGGTCTGGCCTCATAAGTCGCCACAGGGTGAGACACTAACCCAAAGAGGCAGATGTCTCTCTTTTTTAAGGGGTTACAACAAAAGCAGAGAAAAGGAATTACCATTTCTGCCTCAAAGAGAGAACATTTGGTCATTTAGAATAAAAAGCCTCACCCATCTCTCACCGAAACCCATCTGTTTGAACAAATGAAGCATTTTGGACAAGAGCTGGGCAAGATACACAAACTGATTTTTTTATCGTGTATAATGAAATATCTGTCACCTCTTTTTTAGACTGATCTCTGCGCTAACAGAGATTCTGAAGAGAGACTAGATTCTTCCCTGGCAACAACCCAAGCCTACCTGCTAATATAGTCCTTCCATTTGTCTGGGTCTTCCATGAGCTTCACATAGGTGCTGTCAATGGCAGCTCTGAGTTCTTTGAGAGCCATGTGACAGGTTTTAGGTGTGTCCCTTACTGGGTCCCGTGTTGGGAGTTTCTCACACAGTTCCTCAATGAATTGTAGCCTTTTCTCACAGAGATGATGAGGACCTTTGTCACTGAAGAAAATCTAATAAGCAATAAATACTTTTATAATTCCAGTGGGAAGCCATACACAATGGGAATCCACATTTTAATAGAAAAACTAAAGGAGACTCCTGTTAACTACCATGCAGAGTAATTAAGCTTATTTTTTTGTTCAAACCCAAACCAAAGTGTTGGTTACATCCACTAAATAACCATGCACATATATGTGCAAACTTGGTGTATGGTAAGAGACGCACCCTATGCTCTTTAATGGTCTTTTCGCTGCCTTCCTGGGACACCAGCTTGGTCTCTCGGTCCAGCTCAGCTCTGCATTCTTCTACAGAGGCAGAGAATCTGTTCTTTTCCACTGCGATTTTCAGATGGAGCAAATGATAAGGGGCTTCTCCTTGAAGATCCTGCATTCCACAGGAAGATCCAGAAAAACAAAATCATGTTTCTGACTATGTGCGTTTCTAGTGTGAGTGACATAACAATCTAAAATACTCTTTTATACTTTCAAACACTGGGACTACAGTGAATCCTTGTCTGTTGTGGGTCAGGTATTTTTACAGTGATTATTCTATTTAATTTTCACAATAGCCTTGTCCAGGATTAATGTTCCTGTTTCATAGATTAGAACATTAATTTAGATTTAAATCAAGCACTGACATTACATACCCTTTCCCCAATAGGGGTCCCCTCTGATTCATCCACAACCTTGTGAGTGGGAAGGACAGGTGTTCTACCCACTTCACCAAGTCAAGGAGACATTCTTAGTACCCCAAATACTAAGTCCTCAAATACCAGGACTAAATAGTTCAGGGCTCCTGACCACCTGCCATGTCATCTTTCTGCATTAAGAAACAAGCGAGCAAGTACTCAAATAATACAACACTTTTTCATGTTCTTCTCTTTTGAGATAGTCTAAGTTTGGGCAACTTTTTGCTGTATATTTATTAATTTTAACCAACTTGTAGCCCATAGTAAGTGTTAAACAAAGATTCTTTTTGAAATAGAATATTAAGATAACTAATGAGAAAACCAAGGTAAGGCTATGACAGATTATATCCCAGAGAGCTGAATGTGTGTGTAGATGTAATAAAATACAACCTTCTATTGTAGTCTCTATAATACATTTATGGTATGCTCAGTTTCAAAGGCATATTGAAAGCTTGGATTTCTTTAAGAATCTTTTTCTTTTTAATGAGATGCTTAAAATTTAAAATTTAGCATGCAAAACAATGGACTTCTTTCACTTTGCTTTTCTTATGCCCAAAGACAATGTTTTATCTCATGTTACTGAGATTTTAAAAATCAGAAAGTAACACAACCCCATGGAAAGACTAGTAACTGCCAATCTTCTAAGGCCCAAGACTCATGAGATACACACAAAATAGCACCTCCTGACGGCACTGGTTCACCTGCAGTTAGAGGAGTCTTCCTGCCTCGAGCCCAGAGAGACTCAGTTACATGCCACCACCTCCGGAAGCTGTCATGCTGATATCAAGCTGGCTCCATGTGCTGGACCCAGCACTGCTTCCCACAATTCCTCCACAGCTACAGACGCAGAGCCCCCAGTTCCTCACCTGCACAGCCTCTGGCTTTCTCTCTTCCCATTGCTGTGGGGTCACCTTCCTCCCCACTTCATGCTCTTTCTTTGAATTCCTAGTTCAGAGCTAATGATGTCACTCACTCTTCTCTATCAAGTGAGTCTGCCATCTTCTCTCAAAGCTTCCATAAGTAGAACATGTATACATTTCTGATGTATTATATATTATACTTACATTATTTGCAACTAATTATCTCCCTAATTGAATTCAGTTCTTTGTGGAAAGGGATTATGCTTTGTTCATCACCAAACCCTTACCCAGTAAATGTTTTTATTTAAATTTTTAGATCATAGTTATCTAAACAAGATGGTAAAATCATTGAAGATAACAGAATAGACATATATATATATTTATATAGTCATTTTACCAGTAAAACTAACATGATTTTTTTTATTTAAGAAGATTTCAGTAAGTGTTGCTCAAATAAAGCAACACACCATCACAACTGCCCTGAAAATCAGGACATGAAAGACTGTTAAAAGTAATATGTATGCAGCTATAAAGTAGGAATAACAAAATTCTACCATGTCATATCATGTTTTGTTCAAGTTCAGTTTTTTTTTAATGGGAGCAGTAGCTATGGTGACTCTCCATGAATTACTAAATTTCTCTTATACCTGGACCTTAGTTCTGTCTTGTGCTGCCCCTTCATTCACGACATGACCTCCATGGCCCCATGTGTCCTGGCTCACCTTCCACTGCTTATGGAGCTTCCTGACAGCTTCCTGCAGCCCTTGCTGCTCCTGCTCGGGGAGGATGTCTGTGAGCTCATCGCAAGCTTTCAGGAAAGCATTAAGCACCCTCTGATCCAGCTGGCTGAAGAACTCCTACACAGAGGGGAGAGCAGTTACAATGCTGGGTGGAATAAAAGTCACCATCACCAAACGTGCTCCTACCTCTAAACAAGCCTCCGAGCCAGCTGTTGTCTTCTTCCAAACTTCCAGGCAACAACTTCTTTCTTTTATTCGGGAATAAACTATTGTCATATGAGTCTGAAGTCAACACCTCTGTCAATCAACTAGTACCTTTTGTATTTTAGGAAAAAATCTTTGCATTTTTCAAATTTGGTAGACTATTCTGAAAGGCTGGAGAAAGATCGTAATTCTCTGTTTCCATCATGACAGAGTTCTGCTCCTTCTTTGGTAAAGTCAGAAGAGCAGGATAAAAGCCTGGGCTGAGGTTCCCAACACCTCACTTCTCAGCTACAATGTGTTTCTTATGAGACATTATCACACTCCCCAAGTGCGACTTGATCACATGTGTTGTGGATGGAATTGTGTCCCTCACAAATTGTACATTGAAGCCCTATATCCCCAAAGGCAAGGGTATTTGGAGATGGAGCTTCTTGGGGTGATAAGATTTAAATGAGGCCTTCATGACAGGATTAATGCTTTATAGGAAGAGACATCAGAGAGCTTGCTTAGCTCACTCTCCCTGACATGTGAGGACGTGAAAAAGAAGGTGAACTACAAACTAGAAAGAAGGTCTTTGCCAGAACCCCATCCTCTGGCACCCTGATCTCAGACTTCCCAGCCTACAGAACAATGAGAAAATAAATTGCTATCACTGAAGTCACCAATCTATGGAATTTTGTTATGAAATTCTGAACAGAGCAGGCGACACAATACACATGTACATACACACTCAAGTCTCACGCAGTCTCGGGCATAGGTGTGCAGAAATATTTTGAAAGTACAGTGATTCAAAACAGAAAGGCGTTATAAACTGAATGAGGTGCTTTGTGCCTTGTGGCCTCAGACATGGGCCCTAATTCTAGAAAGCAGCATGTCCAGTACATGGCATCATTATTGAGGGGGTGGTTTACACAAACGTCCTGAAATAATCCTCCAAAACCTGTTTTCCCAGAATGCTCGCCATGCCCCACACAGCACTTCATGCATCATCAATGTCCTCAACACTAATGTAATTTAAATAATTAGGATAAGCATGAAGATGGCCTCACAGCAGTAGGAGAACTTGTGTAGACTGCTAGGCTCCAAGTGACGTGACATTTACCCTAATGGCATGCAGGCCTTACCGTGAGCACAAAGGACCTCGCCACGCATGCGACTTTGGTTTAAGAGAATCTTTAATTATATAAGAATTTCTGAGCTAAATGATGAGTTAGTAATTTAGAGATCCTGAATTATCCAACTCTACTATTCCAGGGACTTAAAAATGCGCACTTATAAGTCAGCAAACCAATTACTCTTGAAGTTCTTTCTGTCCTCTGTTTCTTGGGTTTCCTATCTACAAACTTTCTTCTTTCATTACTCATCACCTTCCTGACCCTCCACTTTAGATCAGACAACCTCTTATTTTCTTATCCAAGACTGCTTTCCATGCACTTGAGGGCAAATGCACCATTCAGGGCAGACTCACGGTGTGTCTACGCAGGAGTTCTTCAGGGTCCCCCTTCTCCTCCAGGCCCTCCTGAGCGACACGCAGCACCTTTTCCAACTCTGCCCGAGACTCCTCAAACTTCTTCATCAAGCGGCTGTTGGCTTCCACGTGCTTCTTCCAGTCTCCAGTTTTCTTTACCATGTTCTTATTGTAAAGAATACAGTCATCCCTTGGCATCCGTGAAGGGTTGGTTCCAGGACCCCAAGAGTCCCCACATTCACAGATGCTCAAGTCTCATATATAACATTTTTATACATAATTTTTATATTTGCACGTAACCTAGGCACATCCTTCTGTATCCTATAAACCATCTCTAGATTACTTAAAATACTTAATACAACATAAATGCTTGTTAATAGTTGTATTGTTTAAAGAACTGTGACAAGAAAAAAGGCTGCTCGTGCTTAGTAGAGATGCAGTTCTGTCTCTAATATATTCAACTTGTAGTCGGTAGAATCCACAGAGGGGAAGCTATGGGTCATGAAGCCTGATGGTAGTCACAAAAGGATGCTCTTTTCCAATTACTGAAAGCATCATTTGGTGAGACAGCATCTTTCTTTGCTTTAAAAAAATACTTGGAAGGAGGCTATTTCATTAGGATGAGAATAATTAACTGTTTTCAATATTAGTATTTGAAAAAAAGTAGTGAAGTGATTGGTTTCCAAATACCAGAAGGTAGGGTATTTTAGCAACCAGTGTAGTTTACTTGTCTTCCCTTTTTGTATTTTTCTGGGTTTAGAACTCTAAAGTACAGAGAGAAAATTACCTGAAAAGCAAAATGAACATCTGCAATCTGTCTCTGTAGCTTTGTCTGATCAAAATGCTTTAAGACATTGCTCATGCTTATAAACTTTTGAACACTTTGACTGCCCTTGTCAATGAGTGTTAAAGTCTTCTTACAGCTTTCTTGGCAAGCTACCAGCTCCTACAAGGAAAGGAAACTTGAGATAATACTATTTATATGACAGTGAGACCAGAAAGAAGGAAAGAAGGGAGGGGGAGAGAAGGAAGGAAGGAAAGGAGAAAGAGAGGCTAAGAAAGAAAGAAGGAGGAGCCATTATAAATAATAACAACATTACGTATCTCTATCTTTTAATCAACAGAGTATAGAGAAATATTTCTTTTCAAAAGAGCCCAATTTTAAACAAGCATGGAAGCCAGTACTTTTTATACGAGGCATTTCAATGTCACAATGAGTTTTTGAGTTTTCTATTTCGTGCCCATCTAATTGACATGAAGAAGATGACAGATCTTTAAAATTGTTATTTGTCTAGTGTCTATTCTTCCAACTGGTTGATAGGCATATGGTTTACTGAAAGAACAATCACAAATCAATCCCCATATTAGATTTTAATCAGACTAAATAAATTTAACACCAATGTGCATTTACTTTCTTGAGCCAGAGGTATCAGGTTATACATTACTTATGTACCTTTGTTATGGCAGTTGAATTCCTATGGTTCCTAAGCTAGCAACATAATTAATGCAATAGTGAGCTTCAGATCCCCATAAAAACAGGCAGCAAACCAATAAGACCCAGGGAAGACTTGCAACTGTCATGGGGGGGACTGACAGGCTCTTTCCCTCTGACCATCATAGCAGCTTTGGCAAAAGACAGAGTAGAAATGATCCACCCCCTCGAAGTGGAGAGTCATTTTATGTTGAATCTTTGCCACTTGCATTTCAACATCTTCACAACTGCTTTGAAAAGAATACTTTAAACCGATCATTTGGATGCTATTTTTTGGTCATCCAAATGCAAATATTAAGAGCAGGACTTGTTTTGGAAAAATGGATAAGGATATAACTTTTCTTTTGTAGACTCAGGAGGTCTACAAAATACATGGTTAGATAAGAATATTTATTTTCAATCATAATAATATAAATATCACTTTTCTTATGAAATATTATTTGATGGCAATTTGGGAAAGTAGGAAATGGAACCAAGACTCAAAATGAAAGATTTTTATCCAATATGATACAAAGTCATTAGAATAGGGCTTGGTGATACAGCGACTGTGGCTTTACTACCAACAGCAACAATGATGCTACAATTACAGAGTACATATTATTAGGGGTAATCACTTTCATTTGAAGATGAGGAAATTAAAGTTCATCAAGGCTTTTCATGTGCTACATCAGACCTGAGATCTGAGTTTCTGTGTGACTCATTTCAGACATTCTCTCTTTCTACTAAAGGAAACTGCCTCCTTCCATGAATCTATCTCAATGAATGTGGTGGCAAACCTTTCCTACGTTAGTTTCACTCCTGTCTGACAGAAAGGTTCTTTTCTAATAAACCAACCAAATAAATCAATTAGCTACACCACTCAGTAGGAGACAACTATGCATATACATCTCACTAAACATGAGGCAGAAAAACACTGATTATCACACCACATACAATTCTATAGCTTTCTGTGTGTTCAACCAGCTCTACTCCCATAGTCAAAGAGAAGATCTCATAGGCACAGAATATATATATATATTATATATATAACTACTACATGTAATTATATTATTATATATTATATATTATATTAGTACATGTAGTTATAATATATATCTCCAAAAAATCAAGGGATGAAGAAACACTTTTTAATGAAAGTAACCATTTTTTCAGTTAATGAGGAAGCAAGTGATGCCCAAAGATACGTGCAGAGCAGCACCAAGTTACTTCTCAAAAGCAAGTCAATGTAGCTGCCAGAATGGTTCCAAGTGGTAACAGTGCCTGCCTAGCAAGCATGAGGCTCTGAGTTCAAACTACAGTGCCACCAAAAAAAAAAAAAGAAAAGAAAAGAAAAATGAGAACATAAATAAAAACAGAACATCAGTATAAAGATAAAAGACTTGAAATACATGTATTTACTATTCTTTAAAAAGTACAAATGAGAATTTATTTACACTAAACTTTTTGTAGACTTTGTTCTCGAAATATGATCCCCAGACTCACTGGTAAATAAGTATGAAGCAGAGAGGCTAATGGAAGGTGCAGGTACTATGAGTACCCTGTTTGTTTCAAGACAGAGTAGTGGATTTGGCCTACTTGTAAAACATACTCCTTACATCAGAGACACAGTGTGAACTTCTGTACTGAGGTTCAGAATGCTGGGCCTGGCATACACTGAGCACACATCCATCAGTGCTTGCTGAATTGGTCAGCTCATGTGCCCAGTTCATCAAAGGCAGAGGCAAGTGCTCAAAATAAACAAGGCTTCCTAATTTTTCTTAACTCAAAGAACTTTTTAATTTAGAAGGGAAGAGCCTAGCTTCCACCAGCCTGGCCTCTGGGAACAGCTCCCACCCCTAAACACCCTTCACCAACGAGGGACAGGTTTGCATCTGTGGGCAAGACATGCACTTTTGTTTTGAGTTACTTGTACCGTACTATTTGGAAAAATATTTTTGTGCTAACTGAATTTCTATTACTGTAAGCAGCACTCCGATCTTATTTCATATGCTTTAAAATAATTATATCTCTGAAAGGGATTTTTCTTACCTGATGTTTTTGTTTAAAAAGAGCACTAGATTGTGCCTCGTGCTCAAGAACGGTTATAATCTCATTGATTTTCCCAAGTGACTCATAGAAGCATGTCATCTGCTTTTCCAGCTCCTCCAATGGAACTGACAGCTGCTGGGACTCATACAGGAGTGGGGAATGACATTCTTTGACCTTTAAAAACACAAAGCCAAAAATCTCATGGAAAGGCAGAAAGTATTGTGAGTTCGAGGTACTATGCCTAGCTCTCAGGAACCAGTCTTTAGTGATCTGGTCATTTGGGGCTTACAAAACTCTAAAATGCTTCTGTATTGACATTTCCTCTGTATTGCTCAACTTTGCTTTCCAAAAAAACCTACTTTACCACGGAGACAAATTAAGGCCTATGGAGTTTTCTCATAAAAATTCATGTCAGTTTTCCATCTGGATAACACTTTCCCATTTAAATGACTGCTGTTAGTAGGCAGATGGCATCAAACTCTGTTTCATAAACCATGCAACTCATTTTTACTTTGGTCTTGAAATCTGACCTAAGACAGTCATGAATCATCATTACACTGTCTGGATGTATACGTTTTCCAGCTTTATTTTCATGAGCTCTAGGACTCAGGATGTTCTTGGCTGGAACAAACTTACCTGTGGACTCTTTCTTCCTGGACACCTCTGTGTTTTCCTACCTCCCACCACCAGCTTTAGGCTTCGCTACTCTCCGCTTACCAACATCCTACTCGTCCCAAGCACACATGTCACACACCACTGTATTAATGAATGTTCTCATGGTAGGGGATGTCTCCTCCCCCAGATCAGTAACATGCAAAAGTGATCATGGAAGAAAGTGTGTAGCAGCAACATTTTGTTATGCTGTGACAGAATTGTATGTGCAGTACTATTTCATGTTCTGGGATATACTGCTTAAAGGATAAACTCTGCAGTTGAAAGCTACTGTCTTCTGCAACAAGACTACTAAAATTAGCTTGAACAAAACCAAGAGACTCCACTACGGTGTATAAAGCCAGTGTGATTTCTGCTATTTCCTGGGAGCCATAGAAAACTTGTCAAGATGCTGCATCCTTACCAGCAGTAAGAAAACAATAGCACAATTTGCTGTCCCAAACATTGCCCTAAAAGCACTGCATCTGGCTCAGGCTAAGAAGCATAAGTGCAGATATGGCCTAGAAAGCTGCTACAAAATTGAAAACGCTGACTTTGAATTCTTCATATTCCTTAGCAAATTTTTCTGGCAGTCGGTAGTACCATAATTATCCACTCCCATTACACTATAAGTAATGTAGGCTTGAATATTAAAATCAATTGAGAAATGAACTTTCTGATATACACAAGATTGACCAAGTTCTTTTTCATGACCATAATTCCTCTCCTTATTTTTTTTCATTTATTCTTTTTTCATTTTCACTTGAGTTAGTCTTTCTATTATTCTATTTAATTATTTAATTCTTTCTGTAATTCTGTTATCTACTTAGTAGATACCTCTGCTTTTATTTGTTTTCAGATTCCATCTTATAAAATATTTTTGCTCATTTATTTAATTGCTCCTTTTGCTAGAAGTTAGTAATCCAAGAAAACAGTGCCATCTTCCTAGAATTCAGATGAAAGAACCCAACGGAACTTCCAAAGCTAAGGCAAAGTCTCGCAACAAAACAGAAAAGGCTTTTGTGTGGTGCTAGTAGCCATCCAGAACTCTGCAGCAGAAGTGGCACCAATGGATATCCTAAGACAAGAATGAGCTTTATGAAAAGTCACGGGCAGAATTCCCACTGTTTCAGTGCTATGCTAGCAGAAAACAACAAACTTAGAACAGGGGTACTGCAAATAAATCTGAGACATTTTCACTAAGATATGTTTTTCTCTTCCTCCTGCCCCTCTTCTACCCACATCTGACTCTCTCCCCTCTCTATTTTACCTCATTTAATTCTACTCCCCTGAAAAATAACTTTCTAAATACAGCTATAGCTATATCGTCTCAAAATTAGCAGAGGGTAATCTGTGAATTAATTTATTTTTTAAATTCATGAAAAGGTGACTAAATGATGAAGTTACTAAATCAGGAATACCAATATGACACAAAAGCATGATTTGTTGACAAGTAAAGGATTTGCCATGGGTGACAGGGGTGGTGTGGGGCTGACAGCACTGTTGGTGCCCATGGCAGGTGTATATTGCAGTATTTCCACACCTTGCTTAGCTTTTCTTTGAGCTGGGACATGGTTGCAAACATTTCATTAGCTTCCTCTTGAGGGCTTTCTTTGGCAACAAGATGTGCTGTCTTTGTCATCATCTTGTACTGAGCGTCCATAACAGGTAACTTCTGCTCAATGTCCTGCAGGAATCATTGCAAAAACTTGATTAACACATGACACGTTTCCTTTCAGGTTCAGGATTCCATAGAAGGCAGAACAAAAATCAATAAGCACTGTGCAAAATTCTAGACTTACTGTAAAGTTTTACAGATTGTAGCCATTGTTTTCCTTCATTACTAAAATATGGGCAATATTATACAAATAAATAAAAACTTACCTTTAGAAGTGATCAACTATCCTTAAGTTAACATAAAGACTAGTTGAAGTACTCTTTACACTTTCGGAAATATGTTAGTGCATTACAGAAATACTATATCGTGCATGTTATAGTTTGGAACAATTCTGACTTTAAAATTTAACCTAAATTTTTCTTTAAAAAGTAATACTTTGTCATTGTAGAAAACATAAATTAGAAGTGTTAGGATGGTGAAATTAAATTACTTATAGCTTTCTCACCTGGAGAAAAACAAAGCCAACATCTCATTGCATCATTATTTTTTCCTGTGTGTGTTTATACCTTTTTATTTTTACAAAAAAACAAAAAGATGATACCATGGTTTACTTTTCCTGCTTAATGTGATATTATAAGATCTTTCCAAGTAAAGTATTCTTCCATTATTACATTTTTGAGAATCAGGCTCTTCAAAATATGCAAACACAATAATTTGTGTAGTAATTCTTTATTGTTGGAGGCATTCTTGTGGAGGCACTATCTACAAATGTCTCCTGCTATTCCTAATGCTTTATAATTTGGTTGTAAAAACTGCAAATTAAAAATTATTTTCACTAACAGGAGAGGGAGGGTAAAAGAAAGAAGTTAAGACGGTGAATATGGTTGGTGTACTTCCTATACAAGAATGAATACAGAATTTTTAAACCCGTTGAAATCACCATAAAAAGGGGATTAAGGTAGAAAGGATAAAAATAGAGAGAATGAACCAATTTGGGTTATAATTTGTATATACATGGAAAGGTCACAATGAAATCCCATGTATAGTTATCTTATACAAACAAAATGTCATTTTTCAAAAACAGAGAAGAGGAAGATAAAACAGGTCCTGTCTGGGGGTTGGTACCAGTGTGACAGGGGAGTATATAAAGAAAGGGTGTAGGAGGGAAAATATGGTGTAAATATTCTGTACTCATGTATGAAAATGGAAAAATGAGACCTGTTGAATCTATTCCAGGAATGGGGGAGGGAGGGCAAAGGATAATGATGGAGGGGGATGAATTCAACTATGATATATTTTTTGTAAGAACTTCAGTGAATTTCACAATGTACCTTCAGTACAATAATTTAAAAAAGAAAAATTATTTTGAAGTTGCTTCATATGATCAAAACCTATCTTTTAAAAGATTCAAGTATATTTTTTAATAAAAGGTACAAATTACGTTCAGTGGACCTGTCAAAAATGATCCCCAGTGCACAGACACTTCTGCAATGATCCAAGCATCCGTGTTGGTCTTTATTGTCACAAATAACTTCTTACCTCCAAGTCTTGAATTAATAACCTGACATTAAGAAAGGAGACTTCTAAGGCCTCAGAAAGTTTCCTATGGGCTTCTGTTGCAAAATCAGAGAGGGTGGTAACACAGTCTGTGTATTCTTTCTTCATTCTGTCCATCTCGTCAGCTCGAGCATACTGTGAAGACAGAGAGAGGAGACATCTGAAAGTCATGAAGCTGTGCATCCAGAAGCCCCCACCCCTCATGCATTTCAACATATTCTCATATGCTCTGCAATTGCTATATGGTAAGAACAACTCTCATTCCTGATTCTTATTTTACATAAATTTGAAGCAAGTCCAATTAATTTGAAAGGGAAGAAAGGAATCAGCACAACAATGAAGAACTATGATTCGAAGAGTGAATCCTTTCTCTAAGCAGGCTTTAAATGTCAACACAATCTTAGTTAAAGGCTGCATTTCTGTAATGTTCTTCCATTATGAATGGAAAAGAATGAACAATTAAGTGTAAAACACACCCTTTGTAAACATGTCTGTACTCCACCTTAGTGAGCCCATGCTACAGAGGTAAAAGTGCTTCTAACCATACTATCCCCACAGTTCTAACACAAACACATTTGAAGTGAAGATAGATTTCCAAGACATACTTGGTTGACTTCCATAAACAACTCCCTCCATCGCCCATTCAGCAGCAGCAATTGCTGCTTAAGGTCACGGGAAACCATCTCATCACAAGTTTCAATTAGAAAGTTGCCAGCATCATTCATGGCAGTATGCTGCTGGATCCAATGAGGCAAGTTTCGAAAAAAATCCTAAAAAAGAAAGAACATACACACTTGTAAACCAGAAACCAGGTATTACTAACTGATAGGAAAAATGAGTGTACATTTCAAGATAAATCTTAAACCTCTTTCAAAGCACAAACTTTAAATAAAGTTTTAAAATGTGAACTAGAAATACTGAGTGTTGTTCTTTTTAAGAACGGGACTTGCCCAAGCTGGCTTCAAATTCCTAGGGTCAAGGGACCCCCCTGCTTACTTCACCAATGCATGGACTACAGGTGCCCGCACCATGCCTGGCTCTGGGCATCCTTTTATAAAAACACCTAGGGCATGTCTTTTGCTGAAGATAAAACAAAACTTGATGACCATTTTCTTATCCCCATTTTATAGATGAAAGAGCAATCAATTTCCATAAGTGTCAGAGACTTGTGCAGTGCTGACGTCATGTAAGAAGCATGCTATGTTAAAGTAATATATAACTTTATTTAAAATTTTTTAAAATAAATTTTTGATCTGTCAATTTTTATTTTAAAGTCTGAATATATGCCATATTAAAATAATTAAGAACTGTGGAGATAAACATCAAAGGAAAACAATTTTTAATTTAAGTATTTGATACACTAATATCTTTTCTTATTTGCTTAAGGATAAATGCTTATCAATGAAACAGTTTCCAACTCATTTCAAATTAAATACATGTGTTCACACATGCACACACACACATCACAGTAAAAACCAAAGATTAAATCAAACTCCATTTCATAAGCCATGAGTGGGAGGATTTCCTACTTAAATAGATGAGAACGCTTCTGTTTCTGGTTGTTACATCCTTTGGATCAAATTAACATACAGAATATCGCTAGCGCCCTGTTAGTCTGCTTACAGACTATGTGAATACAAAGTTATTGCCTTTTCTAACTACATGAGAACATTTAACCCATAAGATAAAGAGTGAGAACATTTAAAAATGATGTATCTACTTGTACAAACAATAACAGATGAACCAATTAGGAGTAATTCACTGTAGTGTTTGTATTTTACTTCTTCATGGAAGCTTGCCATTTTAATGTCTTTGACATATAAATTGATTTTCCATGTGAAAATATCTGGCTTCCCTTAAGATGTGTGTGTGTGTGTGTGTGTGTGTGTAACCCCGTTCATTTAATTTGATACTTATGTATAATTGGTATTAAAGAAATGCAATGACCCCCCCACGCACACACACATACTTGTAACTTGTGAAAAAGAAATCACTTCTATGCAGAATGAGACACTTGACTGAGAGTTGATAAAATCCCAAAAAGCATATTTAAAGAGATAAAAATATACACTGCGTGCATGTTGCCACACAGGTTTATTACTATGCTATCCAAAATTGTTTTCATTCTCTCTTAAATGACAATAGCTGGGCCCTCCAGGAGCCCTTCCTGTACAGACCTCAGAGTGAGCAAAGTATCCTCTGATGCCTGTGGGATTTGGCTGCCTGTCTATCTTCTGAATGCGAAAGTTGAATGCTGGACTGATCAGATAGGGAACTGTTTTAACAGAACTTTAATTAGCCAGCATTTATTGCCTTAAAATAATTTAATAACCTGAAATGCAACTTTTCAGGAAAAGTGAGAACTCCTGAGTCATACTTGCAAATCTATAACAGCCCCTAGAGAGAACTATGCTGTAAAAACATCTCTCCTTTCTAAATTCACATCCTGTCTTTTTTCTTTGATATGAAACTCTCTTACCTTTTTGGCATTTTCTGATTGGTTTAGCATTTTCTCTGCATCCTCCAGCCAGGCTTGAAGACTAGCCACGGTGTTGCCATAGCGATCCCAGTTGGAGATCACCTCCTCCAGCATGCTCCTCACACTCCTCACCTCCACCGAGAGGTTCCTCCACTGAGCAGTGGTCTCATTCATGAATTTCATCACATTCTCAGCTTCTTCCACTGAAGGAGATAAAACCAGTTCCAATCCTCGCTTTTCATTTAAAATCCTCTATGCTTTTTTCCTATGATCTTATACATTGGTGTGCCTTAGTATCAATCACAAATGCTGAAGTTCAATTACAACAATTACGACAGGCATATGGACAAACTGAAGACAAAACACATTTCACAAATTATGTCTTAACACTAACCTAAGCTCTCATTTACCTATGATATTCAAGTCATTTCAATTCTTTTTGTCATTAATCCTTAGAATTGAAACTAGGTTGAAAATTGCAATTTAGAGCCTGGAGAGTGGCTCAAATGGTAGAGTGCTTGCCTAGCAAGTATGAGGTCCTGAGTTCAAACCCTAATGCCACCAAAAAAAAAAAATGCAACATAGAAAAACAAATGCTTATTTTGTCCTTTCCTAGTCCCTGTTCTCTTCTCTGACAGCACCACAAAGAATTCTGTATTATGTTTTACCTGAGCCATCTGCTTTAACATACATTTCAGCTGTCTGCTTCAAGATCTGGTATGTCACTTCATATTGTTCAAAAAACTTACTGTTTTCTATAAAAGACTAGAAAAAGGAAGAATGGTCAGTTAGAAGATTGCAGAGATTAGGCCTGTGTACAGATGTCAAAGTCAATTATCTTCATGCAGATATGTGGATATTTTACCCAAATTTGCCAGCCAAACTCTTCTGCAAAGTACAGAATTAATTCCACTGCCACAAATAACCTCAGGTTGTTCTGAGCATAAATACTGATCCCATTCCAATTCTAACTCAGACTGGATTGAGAAAATATTTCTTCACCACCCAAGGATTTGCTTTTTTGAAAGGACAGAAGTTTCCACAGAGAATTTGTGCCTAACACATAGAAAGCACACATTGTGGAGTCCCACTGTGTCAAATTGTGGGAGTCTCTTCTTTGAACAGTAGCCCAATGACTGCTTTGAGGGACTTTAGATTATAAATGAATGACAGTATACAAACACTTCCCTTAAAATAAAAAGTAAGTAAAAAAATTTAAAATAATTATATATGGTATCCATGTTATTGATGGTCTTATATTCCAATTACTTTCTATAAAAACACAAGTACCATATACTGACATCCATATCTATATGTAATTTACATATGCAATAAAAAACCAGTCTCAGCAAATGTATACAGTAAAATTGAGAACACAGAAAGTTCTTAGGTAAACTTTTTTTTTTTTCTTTTTGGTGGAACTGGGGTTTGAACTCAGGGCTTTGTGCTTGCAAATCAGATCTGCTACCACTTGAGACTCACCTCTAGCCCACTTTGCTTTTGTTATTTTAGAGATGGGGTTTCATAAACTACTTGTCCAGGCTGGCTTCAAACTGCAATCCTCCCAATCTCAGCCTCCTAAGTAGCTAGGATTACAGGTATGAGCCACTGGTGTAGAGCTGAATTTTTATTATTATTAATGCCGAAATAATAAAATAACTCCTGTTCCCATGCTTATTCTTACTACTATAAAGTTGAAAATCAGTGTAATTATAATTGAGAACATATGGCTAAAGCGTCTTTCATTTCTTTAGTAGTAGAATGAGCTCCTATGATTTGAATCCATTAAAATAGTTGCTTGACAGATACCTTAAAAGCAACTGAGGCCAATAGGAGAAGGGGACCAGGAACTAGAGAAAAGGTTAGTTCAAGAAGAATTAACCTAGAAGGTAACACACATGCACAGGAAATCAATGTGAGTCAACTCCCTGTATAGCTGTCCTTATCTCAACTAACAAAAACACTTGTTCCTTCCTATTATTGCTATACTCTCTCTTCAACCCAATTAGAGATAAGGGCAAAATAGTTTCTGCCTGGTATTGAGGGGGTGGGGGGAGAGGGAGAGGGCGGAGTGGGTGGTAAAGGAGGGGTGGGGGCAGGGGGGAGAAATGACCTAAGCCTTGTATGCAGATATGAGTAATTAAAAAATAATAAATAAATAAATAAATAAAATAGTTGCTTGATAGGCTTTCAAGATAAAATTGTAAAACATTATAAATAAAATAATTGTTAATCATTTGATGTTTATGAAGCATTTACTTATAAACTAAGTATTCTCCAGGAAAAAAGTGAAGAGAGAAAGCTGTGAATTACATGGAATGGGAGGTTCCATGAATAGTACTTTAGTCAGTAATTTTTAACAGGCCTCACTATTTTTGGGGGGACTGGAGTAAGGCAATAGTAGACTGGCTAATTCCTCATCTCACCTATGTCCTCTTTCTACTATCCAGTTGGGGAAACAGTAATTTAGTGGAATTTAAATCATGAATAATTTATCCAAATAAGTAAGTCACAGTTTGTTAAAAAAAAATGGAAAATTCAAGACACTGTTTAAGAAATTGTAGAAATAATTATATATGACAAAGTTTAAAAAATAGTCTTGATAAGTTTTGGTACAAATTTTAAGAAGCTAATGGGAAAACAATTGCTGTGTCAGAGAAATGGAAACAGGTGCGGTGGACAGGAAGACTTGACATGCTTTTGCTGGAGGGTTGACACAGTAATTACAAATGACTAAGAAAATAAAGCTTATTTCCAGATTTGCTTTTGGTCCAAGGGTTGGGTAGGGTGTTTTAAGAATTTTATAAAAGTTATAGGGATTCTTTGTTTTTGAGCTTTCCCATTTAAAAAGCTAGGTAATTAATTTTCAGAAGAAGATAGTCTCATTTGATAATTTAGTTTTTATTACTACATGTGACTTGGCCTCTCTTTGCTGAATATGAAGTAAATTCACTTAGCACATGAATTGTTTTAGTAGAACTACCTTAAAAGGAGAGCTGGTAAGTCCCCTTTTTTCAATTTTCTGAGACATACCTCTCAGAAAAACATGAAACAAATGTCATGTGTATTTTAAGTAATAATGCTAGGTTACTTTACCTCTTTAAAAATTAGGCTGAAACTTGGATATCAAGTTCAACAAAGAAGCTACATTAGTCATTGGATTTTAAAGTCGATTGTACTTCAAGAAAAGATAGCTCTTATGCTACTAAATTAAAAATATTGGTAAAAGTGACTAAATTTCTACTCTCACAAGATAAGTATAGATATAATAAATTAAAAGCTCATTAATTTCATTCAAAAGGAGATAAACCATGTAATATAAGATTCTTTTTCTTTTGGTGGTGCTTGGATTTGAACTCAGGGCTTTGCACTTGCTAGGCAGGCACTCTATAGCTTGAGCCACAACTCCATGCTTTTATGTTGTCATTATTTTGAAGAAAAGTTCTTGCTTCCTGCCCAGACCACCTGGAACTCAGTCCTATTTTAAGTTTCTCGCTATCAATGGAAAGAGAGACGTGTGCACCGCCATGCTTAGGTATTGGTTAAGACAGGTCTGGAAAACTTTTTACCTGGGTTGGCCTAGAACCATGATATTCCCAATCTCAGCCTCCTAAGAAGCTAGGATCACAGGTGTGTCCACCAGCACCTGGCTAAGATTTTTTTAAATCAGTTTAAGGAGTAGTTTCATGATGATTGTCTATTTTTATGGCTAAAATAATTATAAATAGTGAAATACATAGTCACATTACTATAGTCCACAATTCCAAGAGCTCTTCTTTTCTTTTATATGAAAGGCTGAAACATTAACTTATCCTTTCCATAGTGAAATAGAAGCATGTATAACTGACAAGATCTCAACAATTTCAGCAGCAAGGATCAAATCAATTGCCTTCTGATTCCCATTACTGTAGGTAGTCACTTACCAATAGCACACGGCCTAACTTAATCCATAGCAAGCATTCTCAAGTATTTCCCAACATCTGCTGAACACTTGGTGGCTTGGTGGGAAGCAGAGTTTCTAATTCTCTAACACTTAAAAGCATGCATCCTCTTTTTTTGTTTGCAGTTGATTAAGATTGAATTAATAATTGCGACAAAAAAAATTAAAAAAAATTCAGACTAAGGACAAAATAATTATGGACTCTCATGGCCATTCCATTAGATAATATAACAGCATGTAACTAATTACAATATATTTTATTAAGTAACCAAGGAAAGGATTACATTCAAGCAACTGACTTTACAATTTTGTTGAAAGGTCTTCATGATCTTTCAAATGGTCTGTTCTATAGAGAATGATTTTCCCTAAAACTCCAAAATCATGACAAAAGTCCTATGGGATGTGACATAGGAGAGTGGTGCCTATCAGTTTTTGTTCCTCAGAAAAGTTCCTATCATTCTGTAATTATTATCATCATCATATTAAAAACTTGAGAAAGATTTAGTCTTCCAAAATTAAGTTATTCACAAAGTCATGTGGGTAGTAAGTCACAGAACCATGAGTCCAACACACATTCTGTGACTGGTAGGCTGGGCTTCAAAATTTCTGTCCTAATGCCATACCAAGCTGCCTACCACATAAAAGCAACAGTGATAACTGCTACAGTGTGTAGGAGTAAAATATTACCAAACATGGACCAATATTAGAACTAACATTTATGTGAACAACATTCTTTTGTACACTAAGATACGAGATATTTTGTTTTTTTAAGGAAATTTTTTCCATTAATCATTTACTTAGTAAGTACCCATGTGCAAAGATCTTTAATTTGGAAAGATTTGGATTCAAATCCCAACTCCACATCTGGAACACATGACTTGGATTTTCAAAGCTCCAGGGCTCCTCCTCTTAGTGTCATAAAACAATTCAAAAAGCACAGCCCACATGGTGGGGTCTTCACTGGGATGAAAAATGAAAAACTCAATACTCAGTTACTAAAACTGTTAAATGAAAAAGGACCTGACAACCTTGTGTGGAAAAGAAGTGCAAGCATTAACTAGGTATTCTTCACTAGGCTATGAGAATATTAGGGATGTTCATTAAAGCATGCTGTGTATGTAGGGTAAGTAGTAATTTTAGAAATAATTGTGAAATTTTCAAAGCAGTTTGAAATGAGCAGCTTAGTGAACTCTAACTTTATGCAGAAGGCAGGAAGTAGTAAGGTTTTATAATTAATGTCAATTCTCTATTAATATATCCTCTCAGAAGTTCAAAGAGAATTATTAACATCACTGTATTGGAACATTGAGCTAGTGAAAGAGTCTTATTTGAATTTGATCTGATTGGCTGTTCTTAAATAGCTAGAGCAAAGAATGGATCCTGTATAATTAACTCCTGGGTTCTGAGCACATCATTTGCATAACTATACCTGAAAATACAAGCATATATGTACTTAACATTCAAGGGACTCATGTAATTGCTTGAACTTTTAAAAATGGATCTTTTGTTACTTTCCAAAATAACCCCAAATGAATAAAGGAACAAATCATAATACATTTCACAGTTTTCGACAAATGTTTCTGAGACAATTTTAGTAAATCTAGACAAAAATTTTACTGTAAACCAGTTAAATTCTTTTTTGTTTTAAATACATGTTCACACATCACTTAAAAAATGAAATTAAAATGTAGCAAAATAGATTATGGTTGTAAGGCACGCCAGTAAAGATATGGCTTTAATACATATTCAGGCTCAACTTATTCTTGAGCCACTGTGACTAATCAGCTTATAATGAGCTTATATTTTAAAAGTTCATTGATTTATCATTCAGAATTTGTGTTTAAACATAATGAAACAGTACAAGACTGACATGTCCTATTAACATTAATTTTATGAGCAAATTTGTGTTGTAGATAAATTTGGAGGGGAGCATGTTTGGTAAATTGTCTTTACTAAATATAATTCACTAACTATACATACATGGAACTGCTGCCATAGAACAACCCGAGTTCTTCCATTTCATGCAGGGTCAATATACTAGATACAGGACTATCTGTATTAATAACACACACATGAGAGAGACTCTGTCTGGATTTGCATATAAAACAAGGAAGGACAGTGGTGACCAGGGAAAAGACACGCCGACCTAATCTAAAAAAAGTAGACAGCCCCATGGAGACAAATGAAAATTGTGGCAATTATCCACAAGTGGAATTTAGGAGGCATAAAGACAATCTTTAAGCACCATAATTAGTTTCAAAGGTATAATTAAGTTGGACTCAAAACCTTTCTAAAGTCAGAGTTTGGAAGAAAAAATTCCAAAGAATACAGGTCTATATTTCAGATGACTGAGAAAATTCTATAATCTTAGATCTAACCCATTTTACACCTTGGTATCTTTGTGTTTAAATTCAAGATGAAACTTCTCTGCAGGGAAGAAAAGTGCAGGGACTCACGATGTAGTTCTGCAGAAGCAGCTCCACGGACTCCCGTCTCCCATACTTGATGATCCAAGACTTCAGCTTCGACTCTGCAAGAACCAGCAGTGAGAGCAGACGGTACTTTAATTCTAGAAATTCCATTTTCATTAGGTGTAGCTCTGATGTAGAGGAAACGAAATGAAACCTAGAAATGAAACAGAATAAAAGAGAATGTAACTAATAGTAACAGAGCAAGGCTTACTTAACCCCTTCCATATCAGTCTTAAATACATGCAGCCATGGGGTCTTCAAAACTCTGACTGGTCACCATCAGGGGGATCTGATTCCTTTGCTAGCTCTGGGTTTAAAGGCAAAAGAGGATTGATGGAAGTTGTTGATTTAGTTCTCCTCCCCACCAACACATCTCTCATCTGTTTCTTTTATAAGCTGTTTTTGCAATATTACATAATGTTCCTTACAGTACTGAATAAAAATACAGCCCATGAAGAAACCATTTCTGTGGTTTCCAGGCTGTGGGAGCATTCAGGATCGCTCTATATAGCTCACAATATATTAGAATGTTGGTATTCTTAGCATGTGTTGTGGGCACCCACTTTTCATTTACCAAGTGTTAGCATCTCTGTAAATACAGTAACAATTCATAAGAAAGAAAAGAATGTAAAAAGCATCCACCTAGCATACAAAAACACTATATAAATCTAGACATTCTCTTACCTCTCGGCCATGTCCTCTAGTTGATCAGGTGGCACTGGGATCCCGTTAACAGACCTGGTCCTGTAGATTTCATGGAATGCTCTTTTGTGGGCATCTGTGTTTTGAAGCAGATCCTAAGACACAATTTAAAAAAAAATAAAAAATGAGGAACCATGTTCACAGGAGGTTGGGAAGCATAATTTCAGGCTGCACCGATGAGTCAATGTATTCAAAAATTTGTTCCTGCAGCCACCTTCACACGCAGCCGGTGCCTGTCACTGGCTTTTACCTTGAGCAGGAGTCCGTGCCTGTATGGAAAACACCATGCTGGAGCTGTGCTAATAATTACGGCATCTTTTAAACACACATGACACTTCACAGCAATGCATTCAGACATTTTAAAGGTACATGATCCAAAGGAAAATGTAATGACTGCTTTAAACAATGACTTAAGCACTTTTCTCCTTCCTTGGTTTTAGATATGCTAGTTTTTAAAAGCTGAAAACTAAACATAGCAAATTTAACCCCTTATTGGTAGAAGATATTAGAATCTCTACTGCTGTTTTATTTTGATTGTGTGCAGGCTATTTTAAGTAATATTTGCTTGCCATCTAAAGGAAGCTGATTTGATTATAATATATTTTGAAAACATCTTTAAGAAAAATTCCAACAAGTGCAGGGAATGTTGCCTAAAAAACACCATGGGAAGATCAAATGTGATGTTTACAAAGATTCTTTATCAACTATACAGAACTCCTGTCCATTTTTAGGTTAATTTGAATCTTCCTTGATTTGTTTGCTACACTTTTCACCATCCAAAACCTTATTTATACATTAAAAAAAAAAAAACATGTTTTTCACCATGTCTCACAAGGAAGCAAGAAAAGAACGAGGTAAAAATAAATTTATGCCATATTTTCTGGAGTTTAGTCCGAATAGCACAATAAACACTTAATAGTGTATCACTCATTGAGAAGTAAGACATGTTAGCTCACCTATATGACAAATGAAAAGTAATAATTTCTCTCAAACCAGGATTTAGTGAATGAACTGGAGAAAAAAGTAAAAATATCTTAAATCCCAAAGACACACTTGAGGGAAGGGATAAATGAAAGCTCTTTGTTGTAAATTAAAAATTTAAGGCTCATATGTTTTATTCACATAAATGACATCGTGACATTGTTGAAAATCTCAAGCCTAAACTATTTCTCTCCTGATATATTTTGCTATGATTGTGCTTACACTCATTGTCTATAGGTAACTACATATTCACAAGTCATTTATACCAGATGGAGGGTACTCTGAGCAACCAAGAGCTGACCATGAGAGGACAGAGGTCTGTTCTTAAAGCAGCTATTGATGGTGAACATTTTAGCCCCTTTACCTCCTTTACAGTACACTGAGTATCTTGTCTGGTACTCCTGCCAAGTGAGTGCAGGACAAACTTGGAGCCACCACCATGCTAGCTCTGATTTATTATACACCTGACAGTTAATATCTAGTACATTGGAAAAAGTCTTTACAAAAAATCAGAACAAACAAAAACATCTTCACATATGTATAAAGGAACTTCTACAGCTGAAATGACTACATGCTGAGAAAAACATGATTTCAATTCATTTTGCTGGGGTCATAGGAAATAAAATTCTTTTAGTTCTCCTTTTCTTAGTAAAATGTGACTCAAATTGGATCAAAGAGCAAAAACAAATTCAAAAAGTCAGATTGGCCTGAGCAAGCATCTGCCTCAACACTGCAGGAGACTGGGTCATGGAATATGAACAAGGTGATTTTTCTCCATGTATCCAGGACCCACAGTGAGGGCTAACATGGCCCAATGGAAAGCAAATACAATAGGAAGGAGAAAGTATCCCAAACCACAGGAAACAAGCCACCATAAGTGAGAACCAGCAGAAAATTCATGGCATTAGAAAAATGTCAGCCATCTAATACTTGACAATGACAGTGTTTCACTTAGAAGGCAAATGCATTGTTAATTCTTACATTATTTAAGAGGAAGTTAAGCTATTGATTAGTTTTTAATTTTGTTAAATATCTATGGTTAAATTTCAAGGACAATCATACTTTACAATTAGGAATTAACCACACTAAGATTCCACCTCACTCCTATTAGAATAGCTATCATCAAAATACCACCACCAACAAGTGTTGGAGAGGATGCAGGAAAAAGGAACCATCATACACTGCTGGTGGGAATGTAAAGTAGTACAACCACTTTGGAAAACAATATGGAGGCTTCTTAAAAAACTAAGCATAGATCTGCCATATGATCCAGCAATCCCACTCCTGGGGATGTACCCAAAGGAATGTGAGTCAGGTTACTACAAAGGCACCTGCACACCCATGTTTATTGCAGCACTATTTATATTAGCCAAGTTATGGAAACAGCCAAGATGCCCCACTACTGACGAATGGAGTAAGAAAATGTGGTATTTATACCCATGGAATTTTACTTAGACACAAAGAAGAATGAAATTTTGTCATTCGCAGGTAAATGGAGAACATCATCTTAAGCTAAGTTAGGCTCAGAAGGCCAAAAATCACATGCTCTCCCTCATATGTGGATTATAGACCTAAAACAAATGCAGTAATATTATTGGACACTGGTCATACTAAGAGGAAGCTGCGTGCAGGAGGGATAGGCAAAGGAAGGAAACCAAAAACTTGAATATGGTTGATGTGCTCACTGTATAGGAACAAATACAGTAATCTTAAACTGACAGAGGCCACTATGGGAAGGGGACTAGGAAGTAGTGAAGAGGTCTGGCAGAGATGAACAAACGTGGGTTGCAATACACAAGTGCATGGAAGCAACGCTAGGAATCTCCCTATATAGCTATCTTTATCTCAAACTAGCAAAACGCCATGTTGTTCTTATTTAAAAAATCATTGGTTAAAAGACAGAGACTGTCAGAGTAGAGGAACAAACAAAATAAAACCATTTGCTCCTTACAAGACACACATATAACCATTAATAACATGGCTAAGCTGAAATTAATAGAACGGAAAACAACCTGTCAGGCAAATGTTAACGGAAAGAAAGCTAGTATACATGTATTGATATCAAACAAAAGAGATTTCAGAACAGAAACCATTAAAAGTAATTAATTGCTTAAGGATGCAACTTTCAACTTACTAGAAGATATATATTAATTCCGAGTTTGAATATACCTAGTGAACATCAAAACACATACGCAAATCTGATAGAACTACAGAGAAAAACTGTGAAATTTACCTTACTCTGGGGATTACCAACCTCCCTCCATGACTGAGATGGGGTAAAAGCAGCAAGAAGGATGGCAGGTTGCAGGTAAGGGAGGGAGGGGAAGGACTGCAGAAAGGTCTAAGAACTTTTGCCATTTATTTTGAGTAGATGGGAGACAGGGAATTTTGCAGAACTGTGAAATGATCTGAGTTACATTTTAAAAGGATCACTGCTATTATACTGAAAACACCTTGTCCACACTACACTTGCTTCCTTTAGGTTCTGAGATACCATAGCTGGAATCCCTCTGCCTTACTGGCTGCTCTTTCTCAGATTCTTGCTGGTTCATTTTGCACTTTTACGTTGTGTAATATTGGATTCCCTCAGGAGTCAGTCCCCGATCCTTTCCTCTTTGCTGTTTATGCTTTTTGTTTAATTTCTCCAGTCTCAGAGCTTTAACTATTCTTCCACATACCAATACCTCTGCATTTTTATCTCCAGCCTATGCTTCCTTCCTGAGCTTTTATCATCTACTGCCTACATGACCTAGCAACTTAGATGAGAAGATTCATCTTGCTTCAAAACTGACACTTGATCTTGCCTCCCAAACTGGCTTCATTGTTTCCCCATTTCAACTGATGGAAACTCCCTTTATCCAGTCCTTCAGCCCCCAAATCTTAGAGTCATTTGTGACACCTCTTCCTTTACAGTCAATATTTAATATATTCAGAATCTAACCACTTCTTACAATGTCTACAGCTACCATTTGGGGTCAAGCCACTCAACCTGGATTATTGAAACAATATCCTATCTCCTCCCTCTATGCCTTCCATACTTTATTCCCACACAACAGCCTGGGAAAACACAGTTATTCTTCTGGGAAGAAAATGGATGGGAAAAGATGATCAGGACATGACAGGTCAAATAAATAGCACTGAAGTTTGAGAAAAAAATGAGAAGTTATGAACAAACAGCATTGGGGGAAAATGAGGTTACTGAGCACAGACACAGAAGGAACAATTTTAGGGCTATTTTGAGCAATTTATGCCAATGATTTTGAAGACTTTGTCAAATGGACAAATTCCTAGAAAGTATGAATTAGTAATACTGACCCAATTAAAATTTTGAGAGCCCGAATATGGGGATATAGTAAAAAAGAAAACAGTAATACAATAATTCTTTCCCTTATGGAGTGGACATTACAGTGAAGAAAATCTATCAATAAGATAAAGATAGGTGACAGTTGAGATAATGATAAATGCTGAAAAGAAACATCAAACAGGAAGGAGGCAGCCAGGAAAAGATTGACTAAGAATGGGCTTTTCAGTGAAGATGAGGAAGAAGGAAATTGGAATACAGGTGGGAAGAGAACATTCCAGAGAGAGATTGCAAGGGTAAAAGCCTTGAGGTAAAATGTGCTTGTCTGTTTGATGTCATCTTTCCAGTGAGTGAGGCCTCACTGACTCCTCTATAAAAATTGCAACCTCACCTAATATTCCCTGGACTATTTGTCTTCTAACCTAAATTTATTCATTTATTAGGTTTATTATTTTTTACCTGTCTCCTCCCACTGGAAGACAAGTCACATAAGGTCAGGGATTTGTATCTGACTTGCTTATGGTATTTGGTACAAACATCTAGAATACTGCTTTGCACTTAGCAAAAAAATTTGTTGAAAAAAATAAGAAAGTCTAGAAAGGTACAGCTGGGGTTGTAGGAAGAAAACTAGGAAACCAAACGAAGAGTGTCTCAAGGATGCAGAATGGTTACGTAAAAGGTTTCTGATATCTGTGAATGAAGAGGACTGGCTGTTGGTTGAGGAACAAGGTGAACCCTGGTCACCTTGGCATGGTGAACACATAAAGAAAAGCTTTGTTGGAATGGGGAGAAGAGAGTTTTGAAATACAAATG